TCCAAAATTAAATTTTGTTTCGATATTATCGATGAAATAATATTACCAATTAACTGATTACGACTATTTACCATTGATTTCGGTATTCGAATCTTGATTGTTGAAGAACTTTTTTTGCTATCTCTCAAAATTTATAAAATCTTCCTTCATAAAACATTTTACGGGTGTGAAGAACCGTTTAAGGGTGCCGGAAAGTGAGGTGACGCGATTATAACTTCATTTGTAGTAAAGATATTAATGATATTGAAACTTATATTAGTAGGGTATATACTAAGGTTTTATTTCTATGATATTGAGTTCTTAGATACTTCCAGTATGAAGAAAACTGCTTTGCATTTTTCCAACTTGCGGACCTATCTAGTCCCTGGTTTTTCCATGGCAAGGGCTAATACTCCAGGACTGATACATAGGTACAAGATACTAGATATTTTACAGAAAACATTTGGCACTTGTTAAAAAGTGTCGAGATGCAATTAGTGGGTAATTTTAAAACTAAGACCGATTGCATTACCATCTCACTGGATTCTGCTAATTACCATTAAGGAACAAACTCACTGGTAGTTGTTTTCAGTCGAAATGGTCTCATTCAAAGTTAAATTAGATTTGTATCTAGTCATCCAATATTGTGTTTAAGCCAGTGAGATATATTAAACACAAAATTTCAATAGCTATACTAAAAGTTTTACAGAACAAATTTTATTTTCAATTCTCATATGTTGAGATAAATGCACTTTTTCCCTTCCAGATTTTAAAAATTTTGTATGATTTTTGTGTTTTTTGATAACCTTATGTTCATAAACATCGATTTTACTTAGTTTAAATATGATACTATGATACATCATCACTTAAGGTTTATACTCATATAAACAAATCAAAATAAAAATGATTTTATGGGTTTGAAAAGTGTTGTTTTCAAAATAGCTTTCACTTCACTTTCCGGCACCCTTAAGCATAGAATTTTATTAAAATAAGAATTGTCATTATAATTCCTTTAGAAGATATTCATATTTTTTTGAATGATACTCAAAAATTTGAAAGTCCATTCATTTTTCACAAAAGAAATTTTATACAATATCGCCCAAGTATCCGCATATTCACGACTTGCGTTCAAATTAAAATCAGAATACTAATTTTTGATTCATGTTGATTCTTTCTAGACTATTTCTTCAGTAAATTATGAATTCCGAGAACCAAAAGGAGTTGAAGCTTTCGAGTTACCAAATGGAACATGGCTTATTAAGATATGGGGAGCCCAGGGAGGTTCCTTCAGCTCTGAGGCCGGTCATGGCGCATATTCCGAAGCAATCTTGATATTAAATTCACAAACTACACTTTATGCGTATGTTGGCTCAAAAGGACGTTGCGGTTATCAAAATTTTATTACAAGTCCCTTCGAAGGAGGCCAAAATAAAATAAGTAGTATCGATCGTATTAGTTCGTGTACAGGTGGCTCAGCCACATTTATATCTAGAGATCCACATGGACAGAACATTCTCCTGATATCAGGTGCTGGCGGCGGATCCGGATATAATGATGTTGAGTCTTTTGGCGGTGTTGGTGGCCCATTTGCAGGAGATGCATTGGGCGATGCAGACCATATTTCTCCACAATATGCGAAGAAAGTTCGTGGTAAAGGTGCAACAATATCCAAACCTGGTGAAGGTGGAATCTATGTAGGAGATGGTACATATGATTTGGTCAGCGGACAGATAGGAAAATATTTGAAAGGCGGTGATGCAAATTGCAGCGCCTCTGGATCGGCTGGGGGCGGTGGAAGCGGGTATTTCGGCGGTGGCGGTGGTGCAGATCTGGCAGGTGGTGGTGGTGGGAGCAGCTACGCATCGCCAGATCTGTACAACGTCATTTTACTCGGTGGTGACAAAACATTCAATTCACCGAGTGGAAATCCCGTCATCGGCCACACTGGCGATGGTTTCATCCGAATTGAACCATCGAGTCCTTTCACTCTTGAGAAGAACACCATTGGCTGCAAATGTTCTTGCCCACTAAATAACTTTATTTTGTATTCTGCTCATCTTTTCAGCATTGGACTGGTCTCTCTGATGCTTGCATAATAAAAGTAACATATTATAAAATACGAAACAAAAAACATATATTCATTCCAAAATTGAGATAAAGTTTAAAATACTCTATTAATGAAAAAATAAATATTAGTAAAAATATGTGTAGATCTTAACATATTCATTGAATAATTCATGTTTGATATGTTAGGAATTAGGGCTGATAAAGAATTATTCTTGTTTCTTTGTATAAACAAAAATTTGAAAATTATATCTTAAATTGTAATGAATTTTGCTTTCGATAAGATCACTTTGCTTATATCTAGTTTGAAAAGAAATTTTATTTTCATAGTAAGAAAATTTTTATGGAACATCAACATGCGACTTTTTTTGGTCATAAATTTTGAAGCCATAAAAAAAATTGATAAATTTGAGAATAAAAACACATCAGTTCATTTTTATTCATGACATTCAAGTCTTACCAAGTTGTTGAAGAATTGGAAGAGGAAGAAGAAGAAACAATGAATAGTGAAGATTTATTCTCATTCAGTGAAGAAAATGATGATAATAACGATAATGATGATAATAACGATAATGATAATAATAATGACAGTAATAATGATGACAGTGAAGATATCACAATCGGTGACTATGTTATTGGTCAAGATAATGTTTCTCAAGGATGTAAGAATAAGAAGTCGATTCTCGATAAAGAACGTATTCGTGATATTATCAAGAACAGGAAGAAGCACAACAAGTCAACATTCATTCGTGGAATCAGCAAGAAGAGGAACGGCAAGAAGTCTTTCCCAAGATGGTAAATCAACAGATTTTCTTCTTATATTGATTCAATCAACATATCAATTTCGAATAAATGTTTTTTTATGCTTCAAATCATCATTATTTACTTCATCTTGAATATTAATATTAAGATAAAATGGATATGTTCTTCAATTCCTATATATTTGCATAATGAGATATATCCTTTAACTAAAGGCAAGTTGTAAAAATTTTCTATTGTATGGAAAACAATTTTCATTAGCAAGTAGAATATCATCCAGAAACATTAATTGGCAATAAACTTCTTTCCAAATATGAAGTGACCAAAATATTATTCACGAATCACAATTGTATTAGATTTCACAATCTTGTTCAATCTTTATTTTTTTAACGATAAAAGATGAGGTGCTGTAGAAGTTTTTGCAATATCAGAAAGAAAAGTTATTTTATTTGATATACCTTTTAGAATTAGTAAGCAGCTTTCGTTATATCTAGGAAATGTAACAGATCCTGCTCCTGATGTTGACATAGTTTCAACACATGAGTCAGAAATAGATAAAAGAAAATCTTTATTAGAATTACAAAACATATAAACTGCTATGTTATTTAAAAATGTGCAGTGATCGACATAAGTTATGTGATCACAACAAAACAGCACTTGATTATTATTGATTCCGCATTTATTTCCAACAACAATGCAGTAAGAAACTGTTTGCTTATATAATATCTATTTTCAAATCTAATTGATTCACTCTCGGTTTGATTGTTTCCTTCAAAAATGGAAAAGTTGCAAATCCCAGGATCATAAGTTCTTAAAGAATATAATGATGATCTACCAATGCATCTGTTACTTGTGATATTATTATTCGAAATGCTATTATTTCCATAAACTATAGCAATCGTCCATGTTCCTATTGATTCGTTTTCCCCACATTTAGAAACTGAAATATCGAATGCATAGTTTTTACAGGAAGAACCGGATTTAACAGCTTGACCAAATGCAATGCAATTTTTTGCTTTTGATGAATAAAAATTATTTCTTCGTTGAACAAACTCTCCATTCCAGAAGCAGTTAAAAAATAGAGATCCACCTTGAGAATCTGAACTGCAGTTTTTAAACGTAGATTCTTCTAGTAATGCACATATTTCATTATTTCTTTCAATTCGAATTGCACCTTTTTCTTTACAATCTTCGAAATCACATGAATTAATATAAAAATTGCTAGTGCCTGTGCTATTATATAGTACTTTTCCATCAAGTGTCTGAGTGACTTTTTCTGTGGTACCAAAATACTCATCCCAGCTGAATTTTTTTTTGCATTTTCCAAAATTAAATTTTGTTTCGATATTTATCGATGAAATAATATTATCATTTAACTGATTATGACTATTTACCATTGATTTCGATATTCGAATCTTGATTGTTCATGAAATTTTGTTGCCAATCTCTCAAAATTTATAAAATCTTCCTTTATAATGCATTACGGGCGTGAAGAACCGTTTAGGCAAAGAAATTTATTAAAATATGAATTGCAATTATAATTCCTTTAGAACATAATCATATTTTTTTGAATGATACTCAAAAATTTGAAAGTCCATTCATTTTTCACAAAAGAAATTTTATACGATATCGCCCAAGTATTCACATATTCACCACTCGCGTTCAAATCAAAATCAGAATACTAATTTTTGATTCATGTTGATTCTTTCTAAACTATTTCTTCAGTAAATTATGAATTCCGAGAACCAAAAGGAGTTGAAGCTTTCGAGTTACCAAATGGAACATGGCTTATTAAGATATGGGGAGCCCAGGGAGGTTCCTTCAGCTCTGAGGCCGGTCATGGCGCATATTCCGAAGCAATCTTGATATTAAATTCACAAACTACACTTTATGCGTATGTTGGCTCAAAAGGACGTTGCGGTTATCAAAATTTTATTACAAGTCCCTTCGAAGGAGGCCAAAATAAAATAAGTAGTATCGATCGTATTAGTTCGTGTACAGGTGGCTCAGCCACATTTATATCTAGAGATCCACATGGACAGAACATTCTCCTGATATCAGGGGCGGGTGGTGGATCCGGATATTACACTAAAGAATTTTTTGGCGGTGTTGGTGGCCCATTTGCAGGAGATGCATTGGGCTCTGCAGGAAATGTTTCTCCACAAGATGCGAGGAAAGTTCGTGGTAAAGGTGCAACAATGTCCAAACCTGGTGAAGGTGGAATCTATGTAGGAGATGGTAGATTTTCTCCAATCAACGGGACGATAGGAAAATATTTGAAAGGTGGTGATGCAAATTGCAGCGCCGTTGGATCGGCTGGGGGCGGTAGAAGCGGGTATTTCGGCGGTGGCGGTGGTGCAGATCTGGCAGGTGGTGGTGGTGGGAGCAGCTACGCATCGCCAGATCTGTACAACGTCATTTTACTCGGTGGTGACAAAACATTCAATTCACCGAGTGGAAATCCCGTCATCGGCCACACTGGCGATGGTTTCATCCGAATTGAACCATCGAGTCCTTTCACTCTTGAGAAGAACCTCATTGGCTGCAAATGTTCTTGCCCACTAAATAACTTTATTTTGTATTCTGCTCATCTTTTCAGCATTGGACTGGTCTCTCTGATGCTTGCATAATAAAAGTAACATATTATAAAATACGAAACAAAAAACATATATTCATTCCAAAATTGAGATAAAGTTTAAAATACTCTATTAATGAAAAAATAAATATTAGTAAAAATATGTGTAGATCTTAACATATTCATTGAATAATTCATGTTTGATATGTTAGGAATTAGGGCTGATAAAGAATTATTCTTGTTTCTTTGTATAAACAAAAATTTGAAAATTATATCTTAAATTGTAATGAATTTTGCTTTCGATAAGATCACTTTGCTTATATCTAGTTTGAAAAGAAATTTTATTTTCATAGTAAGAAAATTTTTATGGAACATCAACATGCGACTTTTTTGGTCATAAATTTTGAGAATAAATAAAAAAAAACTTGATAAATTTGAGAATAAAAACACATCAGTTCATTTTTATTCATGACATTCAAGTCTTACCAAGTTGTTGTTGAAGAATTGGAAGAAGAAGATGGAAATTATGATTATGAAGAAGAAAAAATGAATAGTGAAGATTTATTCTCATTCAGTGAAGAAAATGATAATGATAATGTCAATTACAATAATAACGATAATGATAATGATGATAATAATAATAGTAATAGCATTAGTGATAGTGATGACAGTGAAGATGTCACAATCGGTGACTATGTTATTGGTCAAGATAATGTTTCTCAAGGATGTAAGAATAAGAAGTCGATTCTCGATAAAGAACGTATTCGTGATATTATCAAGAACAGGAAGAAGCACAACAAGTCAACATTCATTTGTGGAATCAGCAAGAAGAGGAACGGCAAGAAGTCTTTCCCAAGATGGTAAATCAACAGATTTTCTTCTTATATTGATTCCATCAACTTATTAATTTCGAATAAATGTTTATTTATGCTTCAAAAATACATTATTTACTCCAGCTAGAGTATTAATATAAAGAATCTCAATTAAGATAAAATGGATATTGAGATATATATCCTTTAAATAAAGGCAAGTTGTAAAATTTTTCTGTTGTATGGAAAACAATTTTCATTAGCAAGTATGGTACCAATCATTCAGAAGCATTAATTGGCAATAAACTTCTTTCCAAATATGACAAAACCAAAATATTATTCTTGAATCACAATTATATTAGATTTCACAATTTTCTTCGATATTTCAAAAACACCTTTTTATTGTATTTCAATTCCTTTTTTATTTTTTTAACGATATAAGATGAGGTGTTGTTGAAGTTTTTGCAATCTCAGAAAGAAAAGCTATTTTATTTGATATACCTTTTAGAATTAGTAAGCAACTTTCGTTACATCTAGGAAATGTAACAGATCCTGCTCCTGAAGTCGACATAGTTTCAACACATGAGTCAGAAACAGATAAAAGAAAATTTTCATTTGAATTACAAAACATATACACTGCTATGTTATTTAAAAATGTGCAGTGATCGACATAAGTATTGCGTTCACAATAAAACAGGACTTGATTATTATTGATTCCGCATTTATTTCCAACAACATTACAATATGTTACTATTTGATTGAGGAAATATCCATTTTCAAATCTAATTGAATCACTTTCAGTCTGATTGTTTCCTGCAAAAATGGAAAAGTTGCAAATCCCTGAATCTCCATTTAGGTATGAATGTAATGAAGATCTCTCAATGCATTTGTTACTTGTGATGTTGCTATTGGCAATACGATTATTTCCATAAGCTACAGCAATCGTCCAATGTCCTGTTGATTCGCTTTCCCCACATTTAGAAACTGAAATATCGAATGCGTAGTTTTTACAAGAAGAACCGGATTTAACAGCTTGACCAAATGCAATGCAATTTTTTGCTTTTGATGAATGAAAAATATTTCTTCGTTGAACAAACTCTCCATTCCAGAAGCAGTTAAAAAATAGAGATCCACCTTGAGAATCTGAACTGCAGTTTTTAAATGTAGATTCTTCAAGTAATGCACATATTTCATTATCTCTTTCAATTCGAATTGCACCTTTTTCTTTACAATCTTCGAAATTACATAAATTAATATAAAAATTGCTAGTGCCTGTGCTATTATATAGTACTTTTCCATCAAGTGTCTGAGTGACTTTTTCTGTGGTACCAAAATACTCATCCCAGCTGAATTTTTTTGCATTTTCCAAAATTAAATTTTGTTTCGATATCTACCGATGAAATAATATTACCAATTAACTGATTACGACTATTTACCATTGATTTCGGTATTCGAATCTTGATTGTTGAAGAACTTTTTTTTGCTATCTCTCAAAATTTATAAAATCTTCCTTCATAAAACATTTTACGGGTGTGAAGAACCGTTTAAGGGTGCCGGAAAGTGAGGTGACGCGATTATAACTTCATTTGTAGTAAAGATATTAATGATATTGAAACTTATATTAGTAGGGTATATACTAAGGTTTTTATTTCTATGATATTGAGTTCTTAGATACTTCCAGTATGAAGAAAACTGCTTTGCATTTTTCCAACTTGCGGACCTATCTAGTCCCTGGTTTTTCCATGGCAAGGGCTAATACTCCAGGACTGATACATAGGTACAAGATACTAGATATTTTACAGAAAACATTTGGCACTTGTTAAAAAGTGTCGAGATGCAATTAGTGGGTAATTTTAAAACTAAGACCGATTGCATTACCATCTCACTGGATTCTGCTAATTACCATTAAGGAACAAACTCACTGGTAGTTGTTTTCAGTCGAAATGGTCTCATTCAAAGTTAAATTAGATTTGTATCTAGTCATCCAATATTGTGTTTAAGCCAGTGAGATATATTAAACACAAAATTTCAATAGCTATACTAAAAGTTTTACAGAACAAATTTTATTTTCAATTCTCATATGTTGAGATAAATGCACTTTTTCCCTTCCAGATTTTAAAAATTTTGTATGATTTTTGTGTGTTTTTGATAACCTTATGTTCATAAACATCGATTTTACTTAGTTTAAATATGATACTATGATACATCATCACTTAAGGTTTATACTCATATAAACAAATCAAAATAAAAATGATTTTATGGGTTTGAAAAGTGTTGTTTTCAAAATAGCTTTCACTTCACTTTCCGGCACCCTTAAGCATAGAATTTTATTAAAATAAGAATTGTCATTATAATTCCTTTAGAAGATATTCATATTTTTTTGAATGATACTCAAAAATTTGAAAGTCCATTCATTTTTCACAAAAGAAATTTTATACAATATCGCCCAAGTATCCGCATATTCACGACTTGCGTTCAAATTAAAATCAGAATACTAATTTTTGATTCATGTTGATTCTTTCTAGACTATTTCTTCAGTAAATTATGAATTCCGAGAACCAAAAGGAGTTGAAGCTTTCGAGTTACCAAATGGAACATGGCTTATTAAGATATGGGGAGCCCAGGGAGGTTCCTTCAGCTCTGAGGCCGGTCATGGCGCATATTCCGAAGCAATCTTGATATTAAATTCACAAACTACACTTTATGCGTATGTTGGCTCAAAAGGACGTTGCGGTTATCAAAATTTTATTACAAGTCCCTTCGAAGGAGGCCAAAATAAAATAAGTAGTATCGATCGTATTAGTTCGTGTACAGGTGGCTCAGCCACATTTATATCTAGAGATCCACATGGACAGAACATTCTCCTGATATCAGGTGCTGGCGGCGGATCCGGATATAATGATGTTGAGTCTTTTGGCGGTGTTGGTGGCCCATTTGCAGGAGATGCATTGGGCGATGCAGACCATATTTCTCCACAATATGCGAAGAAAGTTCGTGGTAAAGGTGCAACAATATCCAAACCTGGTGAAGGTGGAATCTATGTAGGAGATGGTACATATGATTTGGTCAGCGGACAGATAGGAAAATATTTGAAAGGCGGTGATGCAAATTGCAGCGCCTCTGGATCGGCTGGGGGCGGTGGAAGCGGGTATTTCGGCGGTGGCGGTGGTGCAGATCTGGCAGGTGGTGGTGGTGGGAGCAGCTACGCATCGCCAGATCTGTACAACGTCATTTTACTCGGTGGTGACAAAACATTCAATTCACCGAGTGGAAATCCCGTCATCGGCCACACTGGCGATGGTTTCATCCGAATTGAACCATCGAGTCCTTTCACTCTTGAGAAGAACACCATTGGCTGCAAATGTTCTTGCCCACTAAATAACTTTATTTTGTATTCTGCTCATCTTTTCAGCATTGGACTGGTCTCTCTGATGCTTGCATAATAAAAGTAACATATTATAAAATACGAAACAAAAAACATATATTCATTCCAAAATTGAGATAAAGTTTAAAATACTCTATTAATGAAAAAATAAATATTAGTAAAAATATGTGTAGATCTTAACATATTCATTGAATAATTCATGTTTGATATGTTAGGAATTAGGGCTGATAAAGAATTATTCTTGTTTCTTTGTATAAACAAAAATTTGAAAATTATATCTTAAATTGTAATGAATTTTGCTTTCGATAAGATCACTTTGCTTATATCTAGTTTGAAAAGAAATTTTATTTTCATAGTAAGAAAATTTTTATGGAACATCAACATGCGACTTTTTTTGGTCATAAATTTTGAAGCCATAAAAAAATTGATAAATTTGAGAATAAAAACACATCAGTTCATTTTTATTCATGACATTCAAGTCTTACCAAGTTGTTGTTGAAGAATGGGAAGAGGAAGAAGAAGAAACAATGAATAGCGAAGATTTATTCTCATTCAGTGAAGAAAATGATAACGATAATGATAATGTCAATTACAATAATAACGATAATGATAATGATGATAATAATAATAGTAATAGCATTAGTGATAGTGATGACAGTGAAGATGTCACAATCGGTGACTATGTTATTGGTCAAGATAATGTTTCTCAAGGATGCAAGAATAAGAAGTCGAATTGCGATAAAGAACGTATTCGTGATATTATCAAGAACAGGAAGAAGCACAACAAGTCAACATTCATTCGTGGAATCAGCAAGAAGAGGAACGGCAAGAAGTCTTTCCCAAGATGGTAAATCAATAGATTTTCTTCTTATATTGATTCCATCAACTTATTAATTTCGAATAAATGTTTATTTATGCTTCAAAAATACATTATTTACTTCATCTAGAATATTAATATGAAATATTAATGGATATATTGTTTAATTCCTATATATATTCCCATTATGAGATATTACCTATATAAATCATAAAAAGAAACTCAGTCAAGATTAGATGAATACTTAACTATTTCCGCTATAATATTATTTCTTGCCTCTTTATAAGCTCTAACAGAGATAAGATATTTAACTACTTCAAGATTGCCATACCATGCTGCAATATTAAGTGGAGTGTCTCCATATTTATCTCTTACTTCTTCATCGCCGCCACAATCAATCAGGGATTTAACAAGTCGAAGATTTTCTTTTTCATTTGCATTATGAAGGATATTTCTTCCTTGTGAGAAGAAAGAAATTTCTCCTTGCATTTTTTTTCCTTGCATTGAAAAACCATCAATGAGCTTGTAAATTTCTTTTTGGAGAATTACAGAAAAAGATTATGTCTTTTTAATGGAGATTGTCATTTTAATCTACAAAAGAATCATAATATTCGTCATCCAAAGTAATTCAATGATAGATGCAAATATTACAAAATTTAATTTATCATTTTATTCATGTGAAGAGATGAATACTTATTCTAGGAGCATAAAAACTATAAAAGAAAGCATTCTGAAGAGATTGAATTATTTATAATAAAAGTGATAAATAAACAAAGAAAAAAAGTAATAAATTAATTGTATTACTGGTCTCCAGCGATGTAAGAGAATCCAGTGAAGGCTCCGTTTGTCTCCACGATCGCTGCGGTTGAGTCGATGCAGGCTTCTTTTGTAAATTCCGAGTCAAAGTTTTTAACGCTGCGGTCGGAACCGATTCTTGGTCGGAACGGCGGTTTGACCTTCAAAGCGAGTACATCTTCGAATTTTAAGCCATTGAAGAAAGGATGGTTCTTCAAATCCTTCAGTTTTGCGCGCTTCTTTGGGTCCTTCTTAAGGAGTTTCGTAATGAAGTCAACAACGTTTGGATCTTCGTTGTCTGGGAAATGAGGTTCTTCATTACAGATTTTTTCGTACATTTTATGCTTGCTTTTATGTACAAATGGTGTATCTCCGTAAATAAGCTCGTAAGTAAGGATGCCTAAGGCCCACCAGTCGATCATTGCGCCATAGTATTCTCTCTTGATCATTTCTGGTGGTAAATACTCGTTGGTTCCGCAGAATGTCTTTGTTGTGTCTTCGCCTTCGTCTTCTGGTAAAACTTTGGCCAATCCGAAGTCAGTTAATTTAATGTGGCCTTCCGCTGTAATTAAGATATTCTCTGGCTTCAAATCGCGATATACAATACCTAGGGAGTGGATATACTCTAAAGCAAGGCCAACTTCGGCAACATATATTCTGATGGCCTTCATTGGGAGATTTTCCACGATTTGCATCATGTGGAACAGCTCACCACCTGGTACGTATTCCATACCGATGTAAAGCTTGGTCTCATTTTGAAAAGCATACTTGATATTTACGATGAAAGGATGATTGACTTTGACAAGGATATTTCTCTCAGCAATGACTGTGTGAACTTTCTTTTCTTTAATGAGACGGGCCTTGTGAATGGTTTTCATCGCACAAATCTCTTTAGTATATTTATTTTCGACAAGCATAACTTTTCCGTAAAATCCACGACCAATAACTGATATAATGTTGAAATCGTCCATTGATATGTCTTTTGAGCGGAATGTGCAAGTTCTAAGTGCTTGTACCCACTGTAATTGTAATTCTTGAGATTCGACTTGTAAAAAAATTACGTCGTTGCCTGTTTTGATGGTGATCTTTGGGGCCTTTTCACCATCCTCCTCTAGAACTTCGGTTTCTGGTGTCAATTGAGTCATAAATTCAATTTCACTTGATTTGCCTTTGTGAACGAAAAAATTTGATCTTTTAAGCTCAACAAAGCTTGATCGCCACATGCTGAGGTGACCAATTTTACGCTTTAAATTGCCAGAAATTGTACATTCACTTGAACTCATTGAATTTTGTCACGTTTTGGGACCTCGCAATTATTTTTATTACAAAAATACTCTAGAATTGATATGTAATATAAAAATGTCGATTTCTATTTTTTAATAATTTTTCTTATTGAATTCTGTGTAAAGCTTGTAGAATTTTGAATTGACCTGAATAATTGTATCCGACATTTGTTTCTAGTATATACACAAGATAAACTCTGGGAAAATTACGACCAGTATGCAGAAAAATGTACTTTAGGAAATGTCGGAATCTAATTTTCATCGAATCAATATGATATAGACATAAATATAATTCAAACCGTGTGGAACAAATCGATTATATGTAGATCTTGAATTAATCGGAGGATTCAAAAACTTATGAAAAGCTGGAATAAAATAACGCAAAAACAATAATATCATAGCAGTTTGTGGGCATTAATAAGTCAAGTTTTCACTAATATAAAGCTCAGAATAATTGGTATTTTTGGGATATATCTCAATTTTATTGTTTACTAGAATGAGTTGTAAAAAACAATGTGCTTAAGTAAAAAGTTACGAAACAGAATATCTTTAGATGGAAAAATAACAAAGTTAACCAAAACATGAGGAATTTCGAGAGTATCTATATAATGACGTACATGTTCGAATTAATTTCGATGGACATTGTTTTGTACGCTGAATTTTAGTGCTTATAACTAATATTATCGGAAATTTTGAAATTTGAATTATTTTGAAGGATAAACATATTTCTGAAAAACATTGACTGCAAAATTATATGATTCTTCGTCGATTGTATTCATTTGTCTGACAATCCTTGCTAATATTTTGGGATTTGGAACACTTGGAATTACTTCCCCATATACTTGTATATACATTCCGGATGATATATTTGAGAGGAATTCTTCTGGTATTTGGCATTCTATTTGTGAATTATTACTTTCAACAAGTGCTGTTCTGTTTTGAATTTCGATTTTCTCAAGAGTTCCGAGGATACGAACCAGTTGTCGTGCGTATCCGCCTCGAAGGATCTCTTCAATTGTTGCATATTGAGCATATGAAGATGTTTTTTCCATCAGTGAACTTCACTGATAATGGTAATTTTAGGGTCACCCCTATTTAATAATAGTTTTGATTTTTATACAACAACATACTTTGTTGCTTATTGGATCGTCAATTTTCTTATTTAAACCTAATTTTTCCATGTGATTCGGAATCAATCCATTCCAAAAATGCGTTTTGCGCGCTGAGAACGCAGAAATATGCACTTTATAAGGAGATAAAGAAGACCCTTTCACCACACATTTCCAAAAAAATCGCTCTTTCTTTATTTTCTCTCCAAAAAATGTAATTTTTTAATTCATAATTTTCAAATCGTAATTTTTTTGGAGAATTTTGCGATTATATAATATGAAGAATCTGTGTTATTTTAGATAATCTACTAAGTGATCATCTTAGTTTTGAGTTTTGATCAAAATTAAAAATTTGGAAAAATTAAATATATAAGAAATCTTCATTATCTGATATTTATACTGCTATTTTTTATCATTTTTTATAAAATCAAGGGGAGTTTGTATTAAATATGTCACCATTCAAAGAATATCTCTTCAATATTGGGGAAAATTGAATTTAGTTCATATTTAATCTTAAAATTATAATGTAGTTCATACATTTAATCATGTCATCAATGATATTCTTCTGTCATTTTGTTTATTGACAAGATATAAGTTAAGATTTATAGTTCATGTTGAATATTTGCATATATAATCTTTGATTCACTAGGAACACCACAAATTTAATCAAACATTAACCAAGGAATCTGTACAATAAAGTAATTAAAAGTTTGATATATTATATCTTCTTATTCTTTTGAACCTGATGATTTCCATTATGAAATTAGTATTTACATGACACAATGTAAAACGAAATAGAGTTCTTTCTGATATTTGTTGTTTTGAAGAAATGTTAATCAATTTTTTGTAAAAAATAAACGGTTGGAAATTTAATTTGAATTCAAAACTAATGAAAAATAATTTTCGTTGATAGTACTATTGACACGTTATAAAGACCAAAATTGAAAACCTTACAATTATTTACAGGTTCATTTTTTACTGATGATTAAATATTGATTTATCACTTAAGAGCAGTTTATAAATATCAACAAAACAATTACTTATCGCAGTCTCAAATTATTTAACTTTCAACATTATAGTATTCGTGAACATGCATGTTTAACAAAACTAGTAATTTAACCTTACAAATTTTGATTTCAAGAATTAGTGTTTCAAAGCTGACCTTCCAGAGGATTCTATCACATACTGGACGGATTTGTATATGCAGGTCACTAAGGTATCATTACTCATTGCCGAGTTAGGTTATTCGAACAAGGAATGCAAGAAAAAATATCATATTTTTCAGTTAATAGAAAAAACCCCCAAAGTTCTCAATTCCTTCTCCTTTGTTTTAAATTTTGCTCTCAAATATTTCAATGGATGTCATCAAAAGATATAAGGAACACGTTTAATTAACAAAAATGTTACATATCATTGCTATAATTAGATTTTATTTTTCTACGTTTTTTCGATGCAATTCAACTAAATTTTTTTTATTGGATGCAATTAGTACAATTAGATGGTCCTCCGGATCAAAATCTCGGAGTGAAGAACATGCTAATAGGTGCTGGTGAAAAGCTGATTTCCACAGCCACAAATAATCAGCCAACAGTTGCAGCACCAAAAACCTCAATTAGCGGATTCTTCATGATCATAAATGAAATCTGTAAAATGCACATATGGCATATCCTTTTCTATACCATCCAAATGATACTTCCAATTCTTCAATTTATTGCATTACATTTTTGGTCTACTTTCACATACTCTCACTATTCATCATCGGGTACCGGAAAGTTCATTAAAGGAATCCATACTCTTCTTGGATTCACGTTTACTGATTCTCCAGGTTCCTTAGAAACAACATCAATCATCGTTGCAATTGTTCTTAACGTCGTTACACTTTTAATAGTGATCGTTTCTCTTGCAGTGTATAGTATTTCAGGATACATACCAAAGATGATGATTCTTGTGGATGCATGCGCTCTTGAAATCCTTGTATTCGCCTTTATCATGCCATTAGGCTATCTTTTTGGCTGTTCGATTCCAGGACTTGCTGATTCTGATACAACATCAATCGTAGTATTCTTTGTCTCCTTGATTTTATTGATCGCTGTAACTTTCCTCCTGTATCTCTCATGTTCTACGATTAACTATTTCACAAATCCATCAGAATCAATATTCACTACATTTACTGGATCACATTCGAGAGTTTTCTTCATTTTAGAAATTATTTTGGCAATTATTGGCCAAATTGGTCCAGTCTTCCCTTCGTGGTACAAATATGTTGTCATGGTAATCTCAATCATCATACACGTTGCCCTTATCATTAATGTCTTTACGATCCCATTTGCAACAATCTCCGGAAACTCCCTCGCTTTCGGTATGTACTGCTATGCAATTGTTGCAGATATCCTTACATTAGTGGTTGCAGCCAACGCAAACCTTCCAGGACCTGTTTATCTCGTTTTACCTTTTGCTGTCTTCATCATTGCTTCTATCGCTGCTTTCTTCATATTCAGGAGCATCATTATTCACCATACAACTATGATTACTATTGACGATAACTCGATTCTAAGTGAATTTTACGCAGATCTTGAGATTATGAACCAAGACAAGGCACTTTACTACTGCAGAGCCGCTTTCATTGGTGGTTCCATCTCAGTACTTAACGGAAACTACCCAATTTGGCTCTCAGAAAAGTTCAATAACATAAATGCCTGGATTTTCACTTGCAGCATCCTCGCATTCGTTCCAGGAGAACATGAAGCCTTCCTCCACGCGTTCAAAGTCATCTCTTCCATGGTTCCAAAGGGATTAATTGAACAAATTTTGGTTCAAAGAATCACTTCCATCGAACAGATGCGTTTCTCATCCAATGATATCCGTACAAAAGACACTTACAACCGTATCAAAGACAAAACAAACAACATTATCGGTTTTGTAAGGCAATTCTGGTCGGATGTCGGTGCAAAGAGGAATATTCCATTCAACGAAGTCGCCGGTTTCGGTTATTTGGTCAGCCAAACAAAGAAAGAATGGAATGAGATCATGGAATCGTTCCCCAACGATCCTAAGTTCTCAGAACTGTATTCCACTTACAACCTCGAAGGCGCTGGTCGATTTGAAGATGGTGTGTACTGGTTAGTTAAGTCTACCCATCAAGAACAAGGTCTATCAAACGATGTCGACCCACTTTTCAGAGCATTCCTCATTTCTAAGCCCGCTTTCATTCACAGAAGACTTGTCGATAAGTACGGTAACGTTTCTTCGGCCATGGATGGAGATTTCACCTTATCAATGACAATGACAACCAGAACTGCCATGGTTTCCGAGAAACTCGAAGAGGATATCGATGCTGGTATCATAGAGAAGAAGTCTGTTGAGTTATTCCAGTATCCGAAGCTTCGTGCCCAAGTTGAAAATATCACTAACAGATATGAACCTCCTCATCAACTTTTATGGACAGTTTTAAGAATCTTCGGCTTCGTAGCTGCTGTTATCATCACTTGCGTCATTATTTACTTCCTTTATGTCTCATTCGACCAACAAGACCTCGGATACAGGCAACTCGGCCACGTTGTGAATATTCTCGAGTCTCTTGCTTATAACAACTTTTTCATCTATCTCCGCGCCGCTAACGCAACCGACCAATTATACGATATTGACTTCTTCAAGAAGTATATTCCGGATGCCGTTAATAACGAGAACTCGTCAGTCTATTTCGATGATATCAGGAAGTCCCAGGAGAAGTATCTCGCTGTTTCCGCAAACGCTTACATTAATTTCTTCAAAGAATTCGCTACTGGCAGTGATAAAGGCTTAGAGCAGACAGACCTGATTGAGGCGATCACGGATTCTTCGATTTTGAAGTTCAAATGCGCTGGACAATATCAAAAAACGCTTGACAACAGTACACAAGCGGTTAAATCAGCAGTAGTCGAGACAGTATGGAATGAATTCTCATTAGAAGATGACGATTATTCTGATTACTTGAATAATTCCATTATTTGCCAAGAATCTTTAGTCCAGATCTATATTACACCAAGACTTACTGAAATCATGAATAACATCGTCGATGAATCCATGAATTACTCAGATGTCCGTTCTAAAACAAACAGAATTACGATCATCGTATTTGTTGTCATTTTCTTATTCATCAGCCTTACAACAGCATTTATTCCGATGATTAACCTCAACATTGCTCAGAAGAATATCTTCAAAGCCCTCATTTCTGTCAATTCCAACGGTGCCCTCGAAGGAAGTAACCCAATTTGCGCTACTTCATCCAGCGAGAAACTCCATTCGAACGTTCAGTCCCAGATTTCCTCATACAATAGCATTTTCATGGTTTTCACCGCTATTATCGTTATATGTCTCATTATTCAGTTCATTTTCCCAATTATCGCATACACACAGACAATCTCCAACATGGACAGTTTCGCCAGTGTCTTAGAACAAGCTGTTTCCGGTGCTCTTCGCGGTGCTTATTGCCAAAGACTTCTTTCAATTCTTTCCTACGGTTTGGTCGCACAAAAAGCGTTAGTAACCTCCGGATATACAGGCCGACCACCTACTAATTATAAGAGACACTGGAACACGAGTAGAATTTATGACGAGTTTTCCAAGGTCTACGGCAACTTGCAAGAGGCCAACAGGTTCTTCCAGCACGGCGACAACAATGATGGTATGGTAAACCACGTAAAAGAGATCTCAGATTTACATGCAATCGATTCTTGCTCGAACGCTTCAGCAACGACCGAACATGACTCGTATTCATGCTATGGTATCGATAGAGGTTTGAGCTGGTACATGAATCGTGTTTCAGAAATGATGATTTCAATTAATCAATCAAGTACTAACAAACCGTCCAATTATACAATGAATTCAACCACATACATCGATTTACTCCACTACATGGATGCCCATTTGCCACCTCTGCTGACGAAATGCAGAGTTTTGACAAAAGATTATTTGGTTGGTCTTATTGACAAAGGACGTGTATCGGCTATCATTTACGGTGTTATTTCAATTGTATTGGCCATTTTTGTCCATATCTTTATTTCTCTTTCGATTTCCCTTCAAAAGAATACGATTGAAGGTCTTTTGATGCTTATCAGGCACTTGCCACCACCTGTTATTGCAGAGAGTAAGACAATCATCGATAGTCTTTCTCTCGTAAAGTCAGAAGAAGTCGAAGCAGATTTAGATCCTCTCCAAGTCGTATTCAACAACGTTGCATCACCAATTCTCTGCGTCGGAGAGAACAACGTAATCGAAGCCGCTAACACTAAGTTCCTTAAAACATACGGAGTGACGATTAACGAAATTGTCGGTAGAAGAATCAATTCTATCATTCAGATGCCAAATCCGAATGCAACAGAGATGACAATCGAAGAGCAGGGTGCATTCCATTTGATCGAAAAGATGGGATTAATGACAAATGACGTAGAAGTCCAAAATTGTTCATATAACCTTAATCTTTATGTCAACAATGGAAACTATATTTTGGTACAAATGATTGCATACCCTGTAAAGAACACAAATTCAAAGACAAATTTCGTTGTCGTTGTAAACGATACAAGACAGATTAATGCAACAAAGACAGAGCTCGAGGCCCTTGAGAAAACAACAGATGGCTTACTCAACCAGCTTATTCCAAGAACGATCGCTGCTTTCATCGCTGGAAGAGACACGAATTTCAAATTCATCGGTAAGAAGGGAACAGTTGTCGTTGTTAGATTAAACCACGCATTCGAGATGGTCCAACACTCTACAGAATCACTCGATCAGATCATGACTCAGCTCGATGCGATTGCATCTCATAATCCACCATACATGCCGATCAGAACAATCGGTGGTTCGTTCTTCTACATAGGAGGTCTCTTCACTTCCCACGACATTAGTGGTCCACCATCGATTGGTATCAAGTTGGCATTAGCAATGAAAGGTTTCCTCGACGATTCGATTCCAAAGGAAGGCGACAATGATAACAGATTCCAGATCGCTGTAATGACAGGAGGCCCAGTCATTTGCGGACTCGCAGGAAAAGTTCAGCCGCAATTCGAAGTAACTGGACCAATAATTGACCAGGCAAATACACTGCTTGAAAGCGCTCCTTCTGAAGGAGTTATTGTTTTGCAGTCAACAAGAACTGATATCGATACAAATCCGGAATCTGGCATCAAGTTTGAACACGAAGGACCACAGGTTTTCGGCCAGAAGACTTACATGTTCTAATCCTTTTATTTATTATTTTTATTTTTTATTATAATTTTTTTTTTTATTTTAATAGAATTTTAATTAATAAACTGGCCATGATAATTTATATTTTAATTCAATTCTTTCATTCATTTCCTCTCTAATCAAATTCACTGAGCAACATTTTTATAAAAATTATTATGATAACACTTTGATCTTTGGGAAGAGGAAGCTTTCTTTCTCAATGGAAATGATACAGGATCAATTGTTTATGTTGCTACTTGAAAGCCTTATGTAAATTAATTAAAGACTTGCACAAAATGTAGCTCAAAGTGATGTATATGTATATAAACAAGGCAAAATCATGATATTTGAAGAGCCGAGTCTAGGTTTCGATTTGACAAAATTCGGTCTCGAATCAAAAAATAAAAAAATAAAAAACTTCCGATGAAATTTTCAAAATTAGGATCTCTAAGACTGGCTAAGATGATTTTAAATTTTTATATAAAATATCATATCACTTCCTTTTTTTATTTATGAATCTTATTTCAGTCCCTTTATTAGAGTCGAGAGATCCTATGTTATCAACACATGAGGAGCTTTTGATCGAAGATACAACTAATCACTCGGACTGGGTAAAAAGATTCATTGAAAAGCCAAAATTTACATATGATTTGGTGGATATGCCTTATTTAGGCGAACCAGAAACATATCAATGTAATAATGAATATAACTTACATACTGATGACAAGAATGCGTATCTAAATAACATCGATAAAGATGTCATTGATCAATTCATTTCAAAAGCGCGCGAACCATATTCAAGTGAAATATCATACAGTATTCTACCAATATCAACCATCTCTTCCTACAGACCCGCTTACAAGAAAAAAATTTTGATTCCTCCTACGTATAACAAACTTTTTTTCGAATATTTATCAGTAGAAATTGAACCATTTACTATTTCTGGCTCAGGAGTACAATTAGTTGACTATTCTGGCGTCTTATTTTTATACGACACAAATATCAAACTTCCTATTTCAGAAACAGTTTATTTCATCTACAACGATGCAGAGATTTTCTTCAGTGTATCCAAAAGTAAGAAAATCTACTTCAAATTGCCAAAAAATAATTCTCATATCGTTTTGGCGACGATTTTGTTCAATAACGATACAGAAAAACTAGAGTCCTATAAAAATGGATTCATTCCGAAGTCAACTTCCAATACAAAACTGCCTTCAAATGTACCTTTTGCCACTTCATTTATCCCTATTACATATACATCAGAACAAACGATGTTTTTGAATACTTTTGCGGTTGCAAATCAATCCAATCCGATGGAAAAGATCGGACAACCTCCTTCTGTTGATGATTCAACAATTTTACTTGTTGGCAAGGTTTCTATTGAAAAATTAGACATATTAGATGTACCATTGAGTCAAGATTCATGGAAGTATAATTACGAATATCCTTTCTGTGCTTTAAATTGTCATTCCCGAGTATTTGATATGAAACCAGTAATTACTTTATCAAATATAACTTTCGACTTCACAAATACAACAGAAGGATTAGTAGTTGGTTTTAGAGTGTTTTTCTGCGATTCTCAGACAAATTTGAATTTTCCTGATGGAAATATCGGTTTTGTTCCAAAAGAAGGTGGCGAACTTATCAAATGTTACGAATCGTTTACAGTTAAACCTGATAAACACGTTGTTTTCCCAGATGTTGTTAGATATTATCCTCAAAACAAAATTACACCAGAAAGCCACTTCATTATACAGTTTTTAATCTACAAATCTCAAAAAGTATCAGTTTACAAATGCGCTATCGTTGAAATTATGAAAGACAGAGTTTTATTTACTGGATACAAATCATATCCTACAACTCCGACTCGGAACATCCCAACTGACTACTTAACCAAATACAAATCGACTTCACTATCTACTGTCACGTTTTACATCGATATTCCCGCTTCATATATTTTGCAACCGCAATTTAAGGAGTTATCGGAAGCTTTAGTACCCATGCAAGTCAAATGGGAGACAATAGCCAATATGCCGATGGATATTCTCAAATCCCAGCTACTTCCTGTTGTTGCAAAATTATTATCGATAATTTCACCACAAACAATCCAATTTGTTGTCAATTTATTAACTATGTTTGACAACGATAAGGAGTGGAATGTTCTTTTTCGCTCCTGGATCTATCATTACTTTGATCCAGGAATGATGAAACATAATTTCCTTTCAAGTTTTACAAACTCGCTGGATCAGTTGTTACAAGAAGTAATGAAAGGAGATATCATAACGATGAAGAATATTGTTAGAAATATCGATATAATTTGCGTAATTTTGATGATTTCTTATTTACAGAAGACAGAAACATGGGTTCCACAAAGTTTAATAACATTATTAAACAGATTCACAGATTTTACAGTTTGGATCATTAAAATTGGCCAAGAAAACGAATTAGGTAATTTTTGTGGATTTCTTAGCCACATGGTCCTTATTTTCAGTTCATTAATTGAATCTAAATGCATGTTATCTGTAATTAATAAGTTCATTTCTTCTCTCCTTCAAAGTTCCAACTTAGAAGTGATTTATGAGTATCTTGAACAGTTCGCCAACTGGAATGACTTCATTTTATTCCTCAGCCTAAAGATTCCAATACGTCCAATAGGTAAAAATTGGATGAATCCGTATAATCAGACGATTTCCTTGCTAATTACGTTGATTGACAGGACATTTACGTCAAATAACACAGATTTGATCCAATTAGGAGCAACATTCATTGCTAATTTGACGATTTCCCTTGAAAATTTGGATATTAAAAACAGATTTAGGGTTGGATACGCGATTTTCCCTATTTTTGATATAATATCCAGACATTACATCTCAGAACTAGATGATGTATCACGACAGACATTGTTAACAAGCATAACTTTCTTAATCGGATATATTCCAAGGCTCCAACTTCATTCGTTTTTCATTTCCATTGATAGACAGCACAGAAAACACTTTTTGAAGTTCCTCCAGTCAGTTGTCCAAACAAATAACAACATTCTTCGTCCAATCAACAGCCCGGACAACGGAATGTTCTCAGATCTCACTAAAAGACTCTTAATGTTCTTTGCTATGAATATTGATGATTTCGGAGATTGTCAAAATGAAGCAATTGACTTAATTTCTTCGCTTTACCTCAGCGACTACCAAACACCGAGTAATTACCCAAGAATATTCGTTGCTGTCGCACAGATGATGCTCAGATATCAAAATAACAAACTGTTTCTCGATACTTTGCTTCCATTATTAACAAAAAAGCAGCATATTGCAAGATGCTTCAGTTGTTCACTTATTTTGCTGTTCTACAAGACAGATTTCCACACAAATAACAATTGTATTGAGAGTAATGCAAAGTTTATCGATTCTTTTGCCACAATTTTGTTTAATCTTCACGTATCAAACATACCGATGTACAAATTGATGTGTGATAGAGTAATAGAGAAGAGTTCTCGCTTCAATAACGAAAACTTCAGCAAGGAAATTAAAAATAAATTTTCTGCTGCAATTTCTTTGGCAGATTTGATCATTTCACTCAGGAATTCACCACATGATGTTGCAAATAGATGCGAATTGATCATGAAGATTGCAAATCAGTATCAAAACCAGCCATCAATGAAAATTAAGTGGCTGAAAGAAATTGTTGCGACGAATCTCAAAAATAATAACTTTGCAGCAGCTTTTGTCGCACAACTGCATATCTGCGCTTTAGTTTCTACAGTAGTTCAGAAATTACAAAAAAGTGACGAAAAAATACCAAAAAGTGACACAAACTTTACAAAAAGTGACGAAAAATTACCAACTTTACATAACTTGATAGTTTGTCAGCCAATAACTATGGATTATATATCAGGTGATGAGTTTCCTGTATATGCGAGAGATTTTGAGTTCAACGAATCTGCTTTTTCAGAAACAAAACTTGATTTCGACGAATTAAGTGAAGATTTCAAATATGTTTCAAGTTATTTCGATCTGGAGCTTCTCAAGCAATCATTGAATGAAGCTATAGATATAGGACTCCAGGCAAAGATGTTTTACTCCCTGAGATGTATAAAAAGTTTACAAATGAGAATTTGTCTATTTGAGAAGGATTTCAAAAAATTCAGTGAGATCTCTCAAAATTACGATATCATTTATAAGTCGCTTTCTAACTCATGTTCTACAACATACGACATACATCAGGTGTTTTTCGTTAACGGAGACAAGATATTCTGTGTTGATAGCGATCAAAGCACAAACGGAGTGATTGTTAATCAATATGAGTCAGAAAGTACAGAAACAGAAAGATATCATTGCTGGAATATATTCAGAACAACACCAAGCTACAAAAACCTTGATTTCGTGACGAATTTTGAAACAAAAGAAGTTTCATTGACTCAATACACAGTAAAATACGCTCTACCACGATATGTTTCGTATTCACCGATTGCTTCAATGAAAGAAGTGAAGATTTCGCTAAAACATCATTGCGATTTGGAAACAGATAAAATTTGTAGTTCATTAACTCGAATTTCGGAATGTTTGGAACGATGGTTCCCAACAAGAAACGTATCAGAGTTAATAGGAGACTACAAGCCAAATCTCGAAAGAGACCTCAGATGCGTATCCTCAATTCTCGAGGAAGTTCACGGAAATTCAAAGTTGTCACTTTTTTCGATTCTGAAAATTTTACACGAAAAAGGAGGAAATGAAGCCGCCAAGAACATGGCAATTAAGACATTGAGAGAAGTACAAAGACTTGTTAAGGTTTACCACAGAGCAATCGAGTTTCTTCAAAGCGAAGAGCATTTTCTAACTTATGCAAGATTATCTAAGTCAAGAGTTGCTTTCACAAACTTCTTTGGACTTCCTGATATTGATACGAAAGGATATGAAGGAAGAAAAGATATGATGCTTGAAAAATGCGATTTTGAATAAATATTTGTTTGTAATTTGATTTCAATTTGCGTTACTTTTTAACAGAATATATGTTTAGTGAGAATAGCGTAATATTATCCTATCTTCGTGCTATCTATTTTTGTTGAATTTAACTTTCATATTTTCGAAAGATCGTTGTGTATTATTATTACTTCCTAATTGGCCGCCTAAACATGATAATCATTTTTGAATGCTTTTCAATGAGACTACCAAAAGCCGTGATGGTGCTCTTTCAAAAAACAGATTTTTCAAGATCTATGATTCTATTGAAGTGTGAAAATGATTTGACTAATGCGAAATACCCGATTGATAGAATTAATTCCGATTTTCGCTCTCTTACATCAATTTTTATGAACTTCTTAAAGCCATTCAAAAATTGAGAATCTTTTTAATCCTTAAAAAATCACTCTCCATTATAATAATATATACTTTTTAAATATTCGAAAATTGAGGTGTAATCAATTTGAATATGTTACTTTGTTATTTCAATGTCTTCTCTGCCGTTCCTTCATACCACCAACATTCAAGTTCCCAAAAAAGCATCAACCATGATGCGTTCAATGAATAGAACCTTACCTGCTACTCGATTAATGACAGCTTCGATGCCAAGAACACCAAATAACGTACCTGCTGTTCCAAGCGCAGAGTATTCAAATCTTGAAAGGAAAGAGAAAATCTCTTTAGAAAACACGGCCGATGATTTGCTTAACGGCGTTTCCTTCAGAACAATCTAACCTGCAACAATTTCAGGTTTAATCATCGTTATGAAAGAGAGGAAGCGAAAGGCTGGTCGCATAAATAACTATGCTCTTTCACAGACTATTTCAGACATGATTGCTCGTCTTATTTCAATGAAATTCCAAATAAAGGTCGACGCCATGAAATCCCAGCAAATTAAGGAATTAAATGCCGTTATTACCCAAGCCAAGAAAGATCTTGAGAATCTCAAAAATAAATGGAATGAAAGAATTGAAAAATTTAATGCCGACCAAGCGAAAGCAGCTCAAGACATGGAAGCAGAACACATCAAACAGCTTGAAAACTTCGATAATAACATTCCAACAGATTTACCACCTCAATATTGTAAACTCACTCCAGATCTTCTAAACATGATGGAAACGGAGAGAAAACTTGTCTTGATCAAAGAATATGATCAAGCCAAAACATTGAAAGCAGAAAATGATAAAAGAAAGGCAAAAGAAACAGAAGAACAAAAGAAGAAATTCTTGGCTGTCGTTGAGAAACAGCGCAAGGCATTACTAAATGAGCAAGAACATGCAATTGAATGCTTCACTGCCAGATGGACAAGAGAAGCAGAAAAATTGAATAATCAAAAGGATAAAGAAATTGCAACTCAACAGAAGGTTGTAGAGCATTATGAACAAGATCTTCAAGATCTTATAAATCCACATTAATCAAAATCCCTATTTTTCTTTATATTTTATAAAAAGAATAAAGTTATGTTGTTTATCATCAATATTAATTATAAATTTGCCATTTTTGGAACATAAAAGCTTGAATGGTTTATTTCGATGATTATTTGAAGAGAAAATATTTGAGATGAAATCAAAATTCACAAATATGATAAAAAATGAATTAAAAATATTAAGTACTATAGCAAAAATACAGTTTTGTTTATGAAAAATTATATGTTGTCGATTAAATTTTGAAATTTCATATAAAATATAGAACAAGATGAAGTTAAAAAGAAGGTTTGAGTTTAAATTATATATATCCTCAAAAAATCAATATTTTATTCTCATTATATTTTAAACAAAAAAAAGATTATTATTGAATTAAAAAAAATTAAGCTGTATCTGTTGTTTCAGGTGCTGGAGCCTCTGTTGCTACTTTCTTTTTCCTTCTCTTTGGCTTCAATTCCTCATTTCCGTCGTCATCCGCCGATTTCTTTACTTTTTTCCTTTTCTTTGGCTTCAGTTCGGCTTCTTGTTCTGGAGTTATCTCTGGCGTATCTGTATCATCTGGCAAAGGAACGCGGTTTGCCTCCGGAATGACTGTTTCCTGTTTCTGGCTCCATCCTGCCTTGAAAACAGAAACAGATTTGGCACTTTGTTTCCTTTTGTCCCTTGGAGAAGGCGGAGGATGCAAATCTTCGCTGTCAACGGACATATCTGCATCCGACTGATAATCTGTAATTGCTTGGTCGATGCCTCCGTCCATTGCAAACAAAGATCTGACGAGAGCGTTGAGTCTGATGGATTTCGTACGCCTTCTCGGTCCTGTACCGAATCCTGGCCTTGCTTTGGCTTCTCCGAAATAAGGAGTTTCTTGGACGGAGAGCATTCTTTGGAGCCAATTCTGGTTTGGCTTCAAAAGGTAAAATGCGGAGTAAGGCGTCTTGCTGAGCTTCTCCATACCACCGTATGCATACATTTTACCACTTCTGTCGGTGAAATAAGAGAATTTACGTAATGCGTACGGAACATTGCCGACATCGACAACTTTTGTGGCAACATATGTATCTGTTTTGATGGCAATTGATTCTACTGCGGCGCCACTTTCTGTTGTTCCTCCAAAAAATATCATTGTATCGCCACAAACGAATCCGCCACCGCATTTACGTGGAATAATTTTATCTCCACGTGGGATCTTCTCCTGCCATGTCATTGTCTCGGTATCGAGCTCCCAAGTGTCAGATAATAATTTCTTATGAGCTTTTCCACCATGGATTATAATTGAGTGGCCACTGAGTACTGCAACATGATGATATCTGGCTGGAGGAGGGGTATTCTTCGTCTGAAGTATCTCAAACATGTTGTCAATTGGATCAAATACAGTTACAGTGTCGATAACGTCTCCTTTTTGGTTCCTACCGCCAATAATATAAAGCCTTCCATCACAGAGAGTGGTTGTATGTCCGTATCTTGGCTCAAAAGTCACAGTTGAATTTGGAAGGGGTTCCGACCAAATATTTGACCTCAAATCGTAACAAAGGATCATATCGAAGAAAGTATTCTTATTCTTTCCGCCGATAATGAACAATCTGGAGCCAATTAAAGTCATTGTATGACCAACTCTTCCTTCCGCGCAAGTTTGGATATCCATACGCTCCATGGTGAACTGGTTGAGTGCGGTAAGTGTGTTTCCGGGTGCCATGTTCTCTTCCGGTTGTCCGCCGAAGAATAAGAATTCAGATCCGTTCGCGGCAGCAGATCCAGCGGAAACTTGTGAAAGCTTTGTGTTCATGAGGGCCCATTCGAAGGAGAATTCGTATGTTTTAGTCAATTCTTGTGATGCAGTGACTAATGCTTGGAAAAAGTCTCTTAAACTCAATTTATCAGCGAAGCCGATGAGGTAGTCCTTTCGAGGGTTCATAATGGACTTGTTGTATGATTTTTCGACCGCAGAAATTATAAGACATAAATCATTATCAATTGCGAACTGATAATGGAAAGATGTAACAGGGGAATCGAATAAAACTGTAATGCCTTTGCTCTGATCTTTCGTTACTAAGACAATATCGTTGAAAACGTAGATCATTCCGATATTTTCTGAATGTCCTTTAATAGCGACTTGCGCTTGATGTATTAACTTGCGGTTGGGTACAACGATCTTGAATTTGTTAACAAGATTCTTCTCAATCTGCTTCAAACGCCACATTTGAGAAACACTCTTTGTTTCTACTTCGATTTTACGTAAAATTGCTTCGATTGAGTTCGCTGCTTCCTTGAGAAGGAAGGAGTCAGGGTGGGAGCTTGGCGTATACTTTGTAAGGTCGCGAATGAATAATTGATAGCGAGGAATTCTTTGTACAGGGGTAATAAGGAAGCTAAGGAAATCCTGACCGTTCTGCTGATTAGATAATTCGAGTAATTCTTTTCTAACTGAGTTAGATTTGCATTTTTCTACAATTGTATCGTTGATTTGTGGATAATTTGCAATATAAGTAATAGCAACTTCAAACATAGATGAATGCGAAACGAACAAACCGGCTACTTGTGTGCTATAGCTATGCATTAATTGCGTAAGCTCGTCGAGAAAGATTTGGTGGCAATTGAGAATTGATCCGAATTCCGAACTGATTGTTTTCATTTCTGTTTCGTTAAATATCTTTCGCTTTTTAACTTCTGGAGTCCAAAACTCAATAATACACTTAAGCTGAGAAATGTATTTAGCTTCAGATTCCTTGATTTCCTGGACGATATTTGAACGCTTTTGCATCAGATCTCCGGCTTTTTCAGTTATCTTCATATGGTAGATAACTTGATTTTCCCAAGCTTTCTTGTAGAGTTCTTGGACCAATGTGGTTTCAGGAATATCTTCATCCTGTATTGATATTTTTATTGGTTCGTTTTCTAAGCCAATCGATTCCTGTGCAATTTTAAGAAAATCTTTTACCGTTGCGTTCTGATCTTCAGGGAGTTTAACTAAAAATTTAGGAATTTCGTATTCGCCTTCAACTTTAACATCGCACAAAATCCATTTTGTCTGCTGGTTTTCTGGAGCTAATGGAATAATAGTATAATCTGGCATACAGTACTTTGATGGTCTACTAGGTCGCGATATTAATGGATATTTATCAAGAAGTACAATGTCATCAGTGATGGCTTCTTGGATCGAACCATATCTAACGCCTAAAAAGTCAAAGCCTTTGCAAATATCGCCTTTAAGTTCTGCAACAGTTTTTCCTTTTAGTTTTGTTGCAGGAAAGATATTTACAGCTGCACCGGGCTTAGTAAAACAGGCAAAAGCGCGATGCATAATTCTGAGAAAAGTGACAAAATTATATGATTTCAGAATTTATTTTAGTGAACAATAGGCATTTATTAGATGCAAATAAGCTAAAATAGAAGGATAACTTGGTAAAACATTTTCAAAACTTCTCTTGTTGTTTCATTTGATCTTCCATTTGATTTTCGACACAATGCAAAATACCTTTCCAATTAAGCACATGCTTATTCACAAGGAAAATAAACATTGTCATCAAATATAAATAAAAAATGGTAACATAATTCGTTTAAAAATATAATGATGCAATATGATAGATCTCACTACCAAAGTATAATGGTAACCTACTGAATAGAATTTCCATTTCAAAGTATCTTTAAATAGCGCTCACATTAAATATATTCTTTAATTTTTTTTTTACTAACAGAAAGAATAATGAAATGATAGTTTCAAGCAAGCTGTTTCTTTAACTGGTTGTTTTCTTCTTCCAATTCTTTTCTTTTGGTAAGTAACTTCTCATTTTCGTGCTTTAATGCTCGATAAAGCTTTTTAGTCTTCTCAATTTTAACTGTCAATGCAACATTTCTGACCTGAAGGATGTCTGATGCAGATGGACGTTTGCTTGGATCTTTGTCAAGCATCGAAGATATCACTTTCCATAACTCTTCTGAATATTCACTTGGAATACGCCTAACTTCTGCATACTTTATCTTTCCATTCAATTGTTGTTGACCATAGGCTCTAAATGGCGGGGATTTTGCCGCCATTTCGTAAATTACGCATCCAAGAGCCCAAATATCACTTTTATCATCATACGAATGATGAGAAACCAGTTCAGGCGACATATAAAGCGGAGTTCCTAAGTATGTTTTTGTTGAGCCATCTGGGATAGGCTTTGCAAGCCCGAAATCGCCAAGTTTAACATGTCCGCTACTATCAATGAAAATATTCCCTGGTTTGATATCACGATGTATAATTCTTTCCTTTCCATTATGACATTCATTCAAAGCAAGAGCAAGTTCTGAAAGGGAAAGCCATATTTGATTTTCTCCTATAGGGCTGGTAGAATTTTGAATGAATTTTTGCAAATCTCCGCCTGAACAATATTCCATAATTAAAAATAACGTTCGTTGAGATGTGTCGACAATTCTATCATAGTATGTAACAATATTATCGTTTCTTAGTTTCTTGAGTATATTGCATTCATTAACAAGCATTTCCTTTTCATGAGTAGACATATTTCCATAATTGATTTGCTTTAATGCAACAGTTTTGTTATCTGATTTACGTATGGCTATATAAGCTTGCCCAAAAGAGCCCTTTCCGATAAAGTCTTTAATCTCATAACCTTCAAGATTCGGCTTGGAAAACATTTCTAAACGTGCACAATTTTGTAAACAATAAATTTTGATTTAAAATGTGGAGCTATGGAGCTCCTCTATGCCGATTTCTTAGGCCAACTATCTATAATTTAATTCAAGAACAATCATCTGTTATAATTCTTTGTGGTATTCCCTCTTGGAATTTGACAAATTTACAAAATTTTACACAGCGCACTTATGTTACCTACTCCTTTTTTCCAGATTAGGAATACAATAGTCACATAGTCAGAGGTAATAAATTCTCAAAGATCCTTTTTTTTTCCATTATGAAACAATATTTCTACACCAATTACTAATATAATAATACATAATGCTTTACTTGTCAAAATAATCAATAATGAATAGTTCTATTGGTTATGGTGTTAAATAAAAATGCTAAATTAATTCGATTAATAAATATTCATTGAAATTTCAACCTTAAACAACTGAATTAAAGGCACTGTCATAGAGGCGTAAGTGCACCCCAAAAAAAAACCGACCAAGTTGACAATTTTTCCTAAAAATCGCAAATTCCCGGGATTCTTGGCGGCGATTCTTCTTATTTTGGAGGTTTAGGACAAGCTTATTTTAATTTAACTAATAAAACGAATTCCTGTGAAATAAACCATATGAGAAAACTTTTTGAGTGCCAACGTATTTATTGAATTCAATTATTGCGGTTTGTATTAATCTCTGTTTATACCGCTCTACTTAATATGCTAATGGGATATTAAAAATCAAAATTATCTTTTCCAGAATGGCTGGAAGCGACTTGAAGAATTTAATTTATGAAAAATAAAATAATAAATTTTAATTAATTTCATATCTATGAATGTTATCCAATATTTGTTCACGAAACCTTTTACACAACTCAAAATTGAAATATAAAATCAAAATTGAAACATCGAAACTGAAAACTTTGACCAGCGACTAAGTTTTGTGATAAAAATCCATAATCATAAATTAGACTAAACATGTTGTAATATATTAATATATCAAGAAATTTTTAAAAACCAGGCAGTTTTGAAAGTGTCATTCTAAAATTTTATGCTAATTTTATATAAAATTATTTTAGAAGAGATTAATAATATAAATCATATTTCCAATTTTGCAAACTCATATATAAATAATTTGTAATAAACTGCTATCAATTCTTGACAAAAAATCGGTTTGTTTTACGGGTTTTATCTTAAGGGAGGCTTCCGACTAGAAAGCCCTCTCAATTTTTTGTGATGTTTACACCAAAAGTGAGATTCGTTAAGCGTTTTTCTCGTTGAATATTGAGTTTCCTGGATTTTAAGTTATTCATAAAACTTCTCTATATTATACCCTATCTACTGATATGATTATTTTTGAAAAATCTCTTAAATCGACCTAGTGATGCGAAAAATTCCCAAACATACGGGTTTTCTCATATCCCGTCCCCTATCGTTTCCCCAATTCAATTTTTTTTTGGAATTTTATTTTTTTTCCGCCCATTTGAATTAAAAATGGGCGATTTTCGTTAATGTGATTGAAATATCATAAAATTAATACGTATTTTAGCTAATAATTCTATTTTTATACAATATTCTCTCATTAAATCAACATTTTTTTCTAATTTTAATTTTTAATTTTTAATTTCTTCATAATTTTAGCGATTTATGCTCATTATTAGCAAATAAATAATATATATAATATACTTATTTCATTTTATTCAGATAGGTCTTTGGGATTGGGATACCTTGTCCAAATTCAGAGGAAGTTTGAGAGGTTGGGATGGGGTAGCCCATATTCAATTATCCCAAGTGTACTCCACGAATTTAAAATTATATTATATTAGTGATGACATATCTAAATTTATAGATAAAAATTTCAATGCGTACACAATTTTTTTTGAGAAAATTCTTTTTTTTACTTATTTTCATTCATAAAAGCTCACGTGAACTTAATTAACAACTGAGACATTTCCTATGAAATCATTTAATGCCGTCAAAATAGACATGTCTAAGCTGTTTTGAGTGACTTTCGCTCGATGTCTGATGCAATATCAGACATCGAGCGAAAGTCTCTCATATTGGCAACACATCCATACGATCAATACTATAGCTACGAATTACAAGCCTGTTTGGGCAATTTTTGGCCGAGTTCTGATTTTTCATTAGATCTCGAGCGAAAGTCTCTCAAATTGGCTGCCAGTTCATAAGAGTGAAACTCTAGCTACGAATTAGAAGCTTGCTTGAGAGACTCTCGCTCGCGTTGGGATCTGCATCAGAACTCGACGAAAGCCTCTCAAAGTGGTAAGACCTGCTCATTGTTGAGCAGGAGCTGCGTAATGTGTTCGAGTAGAGTGAGGCTCTTCTAAGATCTTCCTTGTGATTGGAAGAAATTAGAAGAGTCTCACTCTACTATTTTGTAATTGTATGCCCTGGCCTTTGAGTGACCAGGGCTGCGTAATGTGTTCGAGTAGAGTGAGGCTCTTCTAAGATCTTCCTTGTGATTGGAAGAAATTAGAAGAGTCTCACTCTACTATTTTGTAATTGTATGCCCTGGCCTTTGAGTGACCAGGGCTGCGTAATGTGTTCGAGTAGAGTGAGGCTCTTCTAAGATCTTCCTTGTGATTGGAAGAAATTAGAAGAGTCTCACTCTACTATTTTGTAATTGTATGCCCTGGCCTTTGAGTGACCAGGGCTGCGTAATGAATTCGAGTAGGATTGTACAATAGCTCGGCAAACGCCGAGCAAATTGATATAAACGTACATCCCACAAAAAATGGATTGTCAAAATTTATCCCAATTTTTACAAAACCGCAGCGGTTATGACATCCCAGGGCTAAAAAAATTCGGAAACTCGCATCTCTAATCGACCTGCACTGAATTTTTTAGGGAAAATTCGAAATTTTCTAGGCGTTTTCTGTAACGTTTTTTTACGGAATAAAATCCGAAAAATAATTTTTTGAAGAATCATTTGGGTAGAATACTTATCGAAAATTATATTTATTATAATTTTGGTCGATAAAAATAAGCGGATTCAAAACTGGCAAAAACCCTTTCGGCAATTTGTGGACGATTCCGAACCCCCTCATTTTTGAAATTTAATAAGAAAAATAGAATCTTTATTAAATATAGATTTTAAAAAACTTGGTTATAAATTACGAAATTTTCTCACTTGGGCTAAAAAGTGACAATTTGGTCGGAAGCCACCCTTAACCAATGGATTATTAAAATGCATAACATCTGAGCCATAAAATACCTCAAATCACTTTTCAATTTGCTACCTATTTACACCTTATCATGTTCTCATGGTTTTTGTTATCAAAATTAATTAAATTTCCCCACAATCTAATGTATATTCAATTTAGTTTTCAATATTCATAAATTTTATATGATTTTAAATTTAACTTATATTTTTTAAATAAGTAATTTTTACATCAATATCATCAGATAGTATTTAATTTTAAAATCATAAAATTCTGTCCTAGCCTTACCAATAATCATATTATTTTGATTGGTAATTTTGTAAACAGAAATCTAACAAGTATTCAATATTTTGAATAGTTGATGACTCATTTATTTCAATGTTTTTATCATTGTTTATACTTAGCTCTTCTAAAAAATTTAAGCTCAGGAATATTCAACCAAGTGACTTCCAAATCGAGTTGTCGAATGCCCCAGCAGAACACCATCCAAAAGGCCAAAGAATCACGATTTCAGGTCAAGTTAAACTTTCTGAATCAGTTGAAATGTATCCTGATGATGAGATGTTCTATGTGGTTGCACTCACTCATCCTGAAGGTGACACATTTGGTCAAGAGTTTTATTCAGCCGATATAAATTCAGATGGAGAATGGAAACAGTTTACGATTGTGATTGATGGCTCAGAAAATTATGGATTAGGAAAGCACACATTTACAATTTTTGCAAGAACATATACTTCTGAAGAATCTGAACAAATTGAAACATACTTTAACGTTGTAGATCCAAGTGACGTCCCCGTGACCCCAGGATCCGATTCAAAGCCAACAATCACAGGTCCTGACAATATTGCTAGTCAATATAATCCTAGTGACGATATCAAATTTGACGTTACAGTAACAGATGATAAAGGATTTGAAGTTTATTACAAATTTGACGAAGGAGAAGAGAAACCATGTTCCGATAAGTATCCATCAAGCCCCCGTACAGGTATCAAAATAACTCTCAAAATCGATATTCCAGACAGTCTTGAACCAGGACATCACCAGCTTCATGTTTATGCAAAGGATGATGCCGATCAAGCGTCAGAAACACCACTTGTTTACAATTTCGAAGTTATACGTGAGAACAAGCCAAGATTAAGAAATGTCCATGTTTCGAAAACCGAAGTACATAATCAAGAGTTTGTAAAAATTAAAGGTGAAGTAATCTATCCAGAAAGTGGTGAACAAATATCCGTTAAAATAATCTTTGGTGAATATCACACAGATGAAATTTATGTAGGACAATCAGATGGAACTTGGAAACAATTTGAAATGGAAAATTATGCGATTAGTAGTGATGTACCTGTTGGAAAAATCAGAGCATTTATCAGGGCTTATCATAGAACAGATACTTCAGATGACATAGTTATCCCATTTGAAATTAAGAATGATGATCCAGAAATTGCACAAAGAACACCAGAACCAACACCAGATCCAATTGTCCCTGATGTTCCGGAGTTATTCGCTCCAGGATCGATTGATGCAGAATATAGGCCAAGTCAATCACTTCCAATCGTTGTTAATGTTTCATCCAAGTATGCATTCAAGGTATACTACAAGTTTGATGATAGTGACGAGGTCGAAGCAACAATTGAATACCCACAGACAAACGGAGCATTCGTTACTATTTCACTTAATATTGAGTTCCCAGAAGATTTGCAAATGGGAAGTGAACATAGATTCATTGTATATGCTCGAGGAGATAATCGCAAGTCAACAGAATATATATACAAATTTAACTTCTTGGAAGAAATTATTCCAAAGATCAAATCATTGAATGCCCCAGATTCCGTTACAGCTGGTAATTTTATGGACATCACTGGAGAATATGAAAATCCAAGCGGACACGTACTTGATTTATATTATAAATTAAATGAAGAAGATGAACAATCCAAAACCGATTTTGCAGGTGAAACAGAGAATTCAATTCATTTAACTATATCAGCTCCCGGTTATAACCAAAATGTCAACAAATTAGTTATTAGACTGTATGACACAGAGAGCAACTTGTATTCGAGACCAAAGACAGTTACTTTCAGTACCACAGATGGTTATGATTCAACAGATCCAACAAACAGTAAACCAGAAATTGTAGAAGCTCCAGCTTCAATCAATCCAAACTATGATGTCGGACAAAATATTGAGATCGCAATTAAAGTCAAAGATGAGAAGAAATTCAGGATGTGCTACAAATTTGATAGTAGAAATGAAACTGTTCTAGAAACTGAATATCCAAGTACATCAACGCCTACTCCATTAAATCTTCAAATCACTATTCCATCTACATTAAGTCCAGGTCAGCACACTATATCAATTTATGCCAAAGATGAATCAGGACAAGATTCAGATCCAAAGACATATACTTTCAATATCAATGCCGACCAAACACCAGTTATAGGTACATTAACTGTAAACCCTGAAAGCCAAGAACAGTATGGATTTGTTACTGTTTCAGGAACAGTATCAGTTGAAGCGACAGGAAAGACAATTAAACTAAAGGTAATTTTCACTACGGGTGAATCTAGCGATGTTACAGTCTTAGAAGATAAATCAACAGGCCAGCCACAAAATTTCGAAATTACTTTTACTAATCCATACGGTGAAGTTGGAGCTCATACTGCAAGGGTTCATGCCGAAACGGATCCCACATACTCAGCAGAAAAGGAGTTCAGTTATAGCGTTAGAGCTACTCCACCAGATCCAAGAGATCCTATTCTAATAGTAGAACAGGTCAAATCAAAGTATGGAAATGACGAACAAATATCTATAAAGGTCAAGATCCAAGCTGATGCTAATTTCAATATCTATTACAATTTAGGTGGAGAAGATACTAAAATTACACAAACAGAAATCCAAAAGCAATGGAATCCACCATACGAACATAATTATGATTTAACACTTCCAGAGGATATTGTGCTCGGATCAAAGGTCTTGACAATTTATGTTCAAGATAATAATGAAAAGAGAGCCACAAAGCGATTTGAGATTGAGATTATTCAAGCTCAAAAGCCATATATCAGAAAATGCACATCACCAAAATATAATGTATTCCAAGAAGAAAAAGTCGAAATCACTTGTGAAATAATGCATCCACGTGTTGGACAAACAACAAGAGTACTTTATGAAGTCGATGGTGACGAAAGAGACATAGGTACATTAATATTAAATGATGGATGGGAAACCTTCAAAGGAGAGTTTCAAGTACCATTTATTGATGGAGCAAAGACCTTTAAGATTTTTGCCATTGATGAAGCTGACAAGAGATACTCTCCATATGTTCTTAACTTCATGGTTTATGAAAATGAACAAAATGTTCCAACAAGGACACCAACTCCAGAACCAGATCCAAATGATAATGATCCACCTGTAATCGCTCCACCAGATAATATAAATTCTGAGTACGAAGTTACAGATGCAATCGAGTTTGACATGAGTGTAACCGATGACTCATGAATTGCAATATTCTACAAGTTCAATAATTTACCTGAAGTTAAATATTATTCAACCTTATATTCTCTTAGAAGAGTAAATGAAATGCATGAAGTTCATTTGAAGATTCCAATCCCAGTTGATCTCCCAGTAGGAAATAACAAACTTCAAGTTTACGCAAAAGATGAAAAAGGACAAACATCTACGATTAAAACATATTCGTTCTCACTTAAACCTATTACAAAGATTACACTTGTTAATGTAATTTGCGAACGTTCAGATGTAAATCCAGGCGAGTGGGTTATTTTCCAAGGCAGGATCAGATATCCAGGTCCAATTCCACAAACAATGCCATCATTCAAATTTAAATTTGATGACGCAGAAATTAACATGGAATTATTCCTAAATGCTGATGATCAGGATAATACATACTTCAAAGCATATTGCTCACCACCTGACAATGCACAGAATGGTGTTCATGAAACCAAGGTTTGGGCAATTTATAATGATCAAAAATCAAATGAAGTATCATTTAATATAACATATGATACTCAAACAGACGAAGATTGGAAAACTCCTACACCAAAACCAGACATCCCACCATCTATCGATATTCCAGGAGGAATTCAAAAAGAATATAAGCCAAGTGAATTCATAACATTCGATATAACAGTTTATGATGACAATGGTTTTACAATTTATTATATATTTGATAGAGATGAATCACAAGAGCATAAGTATGGTGAGAGACATGCTGCTTCAGCAAGAAAGGGTGTATCATTGCAGTGTAGAATAGATATACCCGATAATTTAGATCTCGGTCTTCATTACTTAGATGTTTATGCCAAAGATGATAAGGGACAAAAGTCAAATATTAGGTACTTTAGCTTCCAACTTATTAGTGAGAGTAGAGTACAATTAGACTATTTAGAAATAACGCCTCTCGAAATTGGAAAGAAAGGAACACTGAAAGGCGAATTCAGACATAACACAAATGGAGAAAAAGTCGATTTCTTCATTGAATTCTATGAGTATAAACTTTCATTAGGATCAGAAACTTATAATCCAACAAGTGGAAGATGGCAAAGCTTCAGCAAAATATTTGATGTTACAGAAAGCATTTCTATCGGTAGCTACAAAGCATATGTCAGTGCAGTTGATGTAAGTGGAGATGTTTCAGATAAAGTACCAATTGATGTTGTGGTCACAGGAAACAAGCCAGAAAGAACTCCAACGCCAGAACAACCAGTAGAAGATTTGAATACAAAGATGGAGACACCAGATATCAATGAAAAATATGAGAAAGGCAGTAATATCGAATTATTAGTCAAAGTTATTTCTCATACTGATTTCAGTGTTTATTACAAATTTGATGATGGAACTGAACAGAAAGGATCAGGAAATTATCCAGAAACGACTGCTGAAGGAACACCAATCCCAGTAAAGATTACAGTTCCATCAACACTTAATGAAGGCGAGCAACACAAATTGACAATATATGCAAAGGATAAAGAGAATCGTTACTCAATTAAGTACACATATAAAATAACAATAATTGAAGATCCAAGACCAGTATTAACAAATCCACAAATTGAACCATCTGAAATTAGTACATTATATATGGAGCCTCCTCCATCCCTTAAATTTACTTTATCACATCCAAAGTCTGGTTCCACAGTCAATGTTTATTATAAATTTGAAACGAATTCGTTCTGACACACACAGAGGGAGGAGCTTTTGCAATTCAAGCCGGACCAACAGAAGCAAATTGTGAAGGTAAAATTAGTCTTAAGGATGTACAACTTTATAGTGGTAAGAACATTATTACGTTTTATGCTATAGATGATAAGAATGTCAGATCTAAGGACGTAACAGTTGAATTTACATACACTGGTGAATCATCATTACCAAGACCAGAACAACCAGAGATTACAGATCCTAAACCAATATTAGAAGGACCACCTACAATCAGAAATAGCTACAAGATTAGTGAGTTAATCATTTTCGGAATCAAAGTTTCTGATAACTCAGGATTCTCAGTTTATTACAAGTTTAATGATGGAACAGAGCAAAAAGGCGCAGGACCTTTCGCTGCAACATCAGGTTACAAGACATCAATGACTCTAAGAATTCCTATTCCAGAAACACTCAAAGAAGGAAATGTTAAGCTTTCAGTTTACGTTAAAGATGACAGCAATCAAAAGTCTAATGAAATAACTTTCAACTTCAATCTTATTGATGATCGCACAAAACCAACACCAGAAGAGAAACCTCCAGTACCAGAACCAGAAAAACAAGATCCTTCAAGTTCAAGCTCTGCGAAAAATGCCGACAAAGAAGAAGAAGAAATAGCTCCAGAAAATCAATATAATGGAACTGGAAAGAAGGGTAACGCGGGTTTAATTGCAGGCGTTGTTGTCGGCGTTTTGGCTGTCATAATTATTGCTGCCGTTATTGTAGTATTGATTATAAAGAAGAAGAACAAGGATGCACAAGAATCAGATCGTGCCGAAGAAGATGAGATCGAAATGGAAGAAACACAAACACAAGTATCTGAAGTTGAAACAGCAACAGTTGATAATCCACTTTATTCGACAGGTTTGACAAACCCAGGAGAAATCGATGTTTTCGATGATGGATTTGAAGAATCAGACTCAGGAAACAAAGTATAATTGATTTTTTTTATTTTTCGGATTTAAAAAAATAATTGCGTTTAATTTATATATTTTTAAATAATGAAATTCATTGGATTTTATGATAAATGTAAGATGATTTTTAAAAATTTGAATCATAAAATTAAATCAAATAATGACATTTTTAATAACACAATATAAATTTAATGAGAAACAATGATTTTCGCCACCGCATCATCAGTTGTTTGAGTTGGTGCTGCACAAACCATCTTTCTAATTGTTTCATCTGTTCTTTTTAGCTTGCTTATCTGTTCCTTTGTTTTGTTGATACAATTACGATATGCTTTCTCGTTTATCTCAACTTTGACATCATAATTATCACGGAATGCGTTAATTGCATAAGCCATGATTTGAATCTTATCATTATTTGCCTGCATATTAACTTCTTCCATGTTTTTATTGAAAGCTGCTTCAGCATTTAACTTTTCTGCTGAGATTTGTGATTGCAAAATCTTCCTTTCACGATCGAATTGACTTTTCTGACTCTCAAGCTGATTTATGAGTTCATTCTTTTCATTCATTGCATCAAATACTTGTTGCCTTGCTGATTTCTTTGACTTTTCAGTTTTTGATAATTCTACCGATAATTTTGTGAAGTCTTTCCTCAAATTTTCAGATTGATCTTTAAGCTCGTGTATTGCTGCTTCATAAGAGTCGATTAATTGTTGTTTTTCGAGTTCATACTTCTTTTCTTGGGAAGCTTGTGCAATTTCCGAAACTTTCTTTTGATATTCTCTATTAGATATCATTTCATCCAGTGCTGCTTTCTGGGCTGCAATAACACTCTTTAGTTTATTGATTTGAGTCTGACTATCTTCGAAGTTATCTGATGTCAACATTAAATTCTCAGTAACTCTCTTAATTTCATCAGACATTTCAGCCTCTATTCTTATTCTCTCTTCTTTACCTTTCTTGATGAGTTCTTCGACTTGAGCGTTATATTCATTGTTATTTACTTCGATTTGGTGTTCTGTTTCTCTTAATTTATTAGTAAGAGCTTGAACTTGGTGCTTAAGAGCTGAGATATCACTAGTTAATTCTGTATTTTCTTCTTTGAACTTTGCATTTTCGTTTTGGAGATCTTCGAACTTTGAATTAGTTTCAACATCTGATTTCTCTTTTTGAGACTTTAAGTTTGTTAATAAGCATTTATATTTCTTGTATTTCTTCTCCATTTCTTCTGACTTACTTTCTAGTTCTCCAATGAGCTTATCTGTTCTCTTCTTGTAGACTCTGGGACACTCTTTTCCAAAAGATTTCTTAATTTTTTCAAGTTTTTCGGAAATTTCTCTTGATTCTCTATATAAGTTATCCCTCTCTGATCTAATGGTAAAAACTTGGCTTATTAAGTTCTGACCTTCTGATTGCATTAATTCATCAATTGTAATTGCTTTATCTGTAGCAGCAATCGACAAGTCAACAACAAATTGACCTATTATGTTCTTCATTAAACAAAATTGATCGTTAATATCATTAGTTTCTTTAACTAGATTCGAAATCTTTTTATTGTAATGCTTGGAAATCAACTTGAATATGTTCTGTATCTTTGATGTTATCTGAAGATTGTCGTTGTTACCAATTTCATCGATCTTCGCTGTTAAAGATTTATCAAATCCATTGAAGTACCAAGCAGTTTTCGGAATTACATCTGATTCTTGAACTTGAGGTTTTTCATATAATTTTCTAGTTACATCTTCAATATTTTCTTCAGATTTTTTGAGTTTTTCTTTTAATTCTTCGTTTTCCTTTAGAAGTTCAATTATTTTGATATTCATTTTATTTATCTGTTTGCTCTGCTTGTTGGCCGATTCTTGTAGCTCCTGAGCTTGCTCTTTGTGATTATCAGCAATAATTTGGAGTTTTTGGATTTTATTAGCTGCATCCTCCTCAATTCTCCTGAGAATTTTATCCTCCTTCTTCTCAAGTTTGGCGTTCCTAGAATAAAGAGCATCTCTTAGAGCTTCAAGCTCTTTCAAGGTTTCCTCATGAACAACAGCTAAAGCATCAAAGTCGCTTCTCTGCTTCTTTGTATCTAATTTAAATTGATCATATTCAGATTGAATGGCGTTCAACTTTTCAATGAAATTATTTCGTTCATTTGTAACAGTTGCCAGATCCCTTGATAAATCAGTAACCCTTGCATTTAGTTCATTATAGTACATATTATCTTCTGGCTCAGATTGAGTTTGCTTCCTAGATGAATTGCTATCTGAAGGAAGTGGTGTGATTGGCTGTGTTAAAACAATCGGTTCTGCACTGTTCTGTTCTTTTCTCTTTGCAATTTCTACTTTAAGATTTTCAATTTTGAGATTTAATATCTTAATTTGGTGCTCATAATCTTCTGAAAGCAGTTTCTTATCTTCTTCAGCTGAATCTAGTTTTCTTTTGATTAAGGCTAATTCATGTGATGCACTTTCACCATCCTTAGCAAGCTTTGTCAAAGATTCAGTTTGAGTTTTAAGAGTCTTGAGTTCTGTATCTTTTTCTTTGAGTTTTTCACATAAACACTTAATTTTCTTCTTCATTTTGGCATCTTCTTTTGATGGCTCATCCTTTTGATAAAGTTTATTGGAATCTTTCGTCGGAACAGAATCATCTTCTGCTCTTTCGATACTCTTTTGTTTAGAAAGATTTTCAACAAGTACAATTAGCTCATCAAGGGTAGATACTTTACGATTCAAATAGAATGAAAATGCTTCTAGAACACGTTGCGCTTTGGCTTCATTTTCCTTTAAATTTGTATTAAGGAGTTCATTTTCCTTTGAAAGATCCTCAATTTCATCAGAAGCTCTCTTGATTTCCGTAATTAATTTCTTTCTAAATTTCGATGTTTCAGTTTTGTTCTCATCTTCATTAATCATCTGCTGACGAATCAGTTTTTCTTTTTCAGCCTTAAACTTTTGGCTGTTTTCGTTTGAAGTTTTTAAAAGCATGTCCAAACGAGTTCTTAATGCATTATTTTCTTGTATTGCTTGTCGTAATCTCGAATGTAATGATTCATTTTCAACTTTGACTTGATCTATTCTATCTCCAATTGAAACGGCATTTTCGAATTGCGCTTTGAGTACAGTATTTTCATGAATTAAACTTGAATTCTTTTGTTCAAGCATAATTTTATTCTCTTCACTATTGAGATCGGATGAATCCCAATAGTTTCCATTCATGAGAAATTATTGAGATTCTAAACGTACATAATTTATTTCAAAATTAATATGAAGGTGCTATTTATCTAACAACAAATAGTAATCAATAATTTTGGAATGAATTAAAGGTTCTGACACTAATGGTAACGAAAAAATATTTGACAATTTTACATTTTTACAGTGAGCAAAAACTAAAACTAATTTGTCTTTATCAAAAGCATTAATTTAGAATAGGTATTCTATGGCAGTCCCAACGGGAACCGCGGTAATTTACCGAGGTTTCCGCACACTGGTTCCTTTTTTTAGGAATTTTTTAGATTAAAAAATATGCTTTGTAAATCATCTTTTGTAAATCGGCAAAAATTTGGAAATATTCTGACGACAATAAATCTGGGAATAGTATTTTAAATACGAGAACAACCTATTTAAAAGTGTTTCGCTCGATTTTGTATAATTTCAAATTTTCGCATATAGCTTTCCGTGAATTACCGTGATTTTACCGCCACATCAATAGTTTACGACACTTTTTCCGTAAATTGAGTAGTTTACTGCACTTTTTCCGTAAAATTGAGTTACGGGAATCCGTAAGATTACCGTACCTCACTTCTAGTTGAAAATAGCATTAGTATATAATAAATATAGGGTGTCCAAAGGTGCGTTTAGCACAGCGCTCTATATGAGACTATTAAAGGAGATATATGCTGATTATAAATATATAATAAAAAATATGAATATATGTATATGATGAGTATGTTGTATTTTGGCGCCATGCCGGGATATAAAATGAATTTTGAGACAAGAGGCGGTTTCGCGGGAAATTTTGGCGGGATTTTTTTTCATTTTTTTAATGAATCATAAAGAAAACATCCTCGCTCTTGCAAAAAATGCAAAGACTGTAAAAAATCTACGAGACATTGGTAAAATGCTTCGGTATGGATGCTCCTAGCTATTCCACTGTAACGTATCATGTTAGGATGTATCACTTCATGAACAAAAAGGCGCCCACCATAAAAATTGACAAAAAATCGCCGGATCAAAGAAAAATCAAAGCAATTCTTCAAGCGCTAGATGAAGACCCAAGAGCATCACTCAGAAGGATAGAGGAGATGACAAAGATACCACGTACAACAGTCAGTTATTATCTGCACAATTATTTGAACTACAAACTAGCGTATACACGTTGGGTTCCGCACAACCTTAATTCAGTTCAAAAAAATCTAGAGTCCAATCTTCGAAAGAGCTCCTCTCTATATTGCGTGCGTATCAATCCAAGAAGTTTCGCTTTTTAGTAACAGGGGATGAGTCTTGGTTTCAATATGCAACAGAAGCCAAAATCATGTGGATCCCGAAGGATGAAAATCCGCAAACATTCCCGAAGAAAAAAATTGACACACCAATGATGATGTTGTCGGTTTTTTGGGGCGTGAATGGCATCATCGCAATTGATATTCTTCAAAAACCTAATACGATGAATGCTCAGTATCTAATTGACAATGTTCTTACTCAAATTATCAATTCTGATGAGTTTGAGAAATCCAAACAACAAAAACAAAAGTTTGCAATTCATTTTGATAATTCAAGAGTTCACAAAAGTCATAAGGTAATGAATTACTTGGTGGAAAACAATGTCAAAGTTGTTCCAAACCCAATTTATTCACCTGATATTGCACCCTCTGACTTTTATTTATTCGGCACGCTAAAAAAGAGAGCTGAAGGACGCGAATTCGCGAGTCCAGATGATCTTGAAAATTTTTGTAAGAGAGCAATTTGAGCAATTTTCTCATGATGATTTAAAGCGTGTCTTTGAAGCCTGGATCGATCGCTGCGAACGCGTGATTGAATCCAATGGTGATTATATTTAAATAAACTTTATATATATGTAACTTGTTTATTTCTATTCGCAGTATTCAGGTTTGTGCTAAACACACCTTTGGACACCCTATAGATATATTATTCATATTTTTGATTTTGAATTACGGAAAAAGTGAGTTCAGAACTTCCAATTATTATTTGATTAATTATGTTAAAAATACTATAAGGAATTAAAATACATAATGTTGAAATTTGAATTACGGAAAAAGTGAGGGTGAAAGTGAAGTGAAAAAGTAAGATATTTTTTGTTGAAATAATCATAGTTGTACAATTTTGAAACTATATGTAAAGCTATAAATTGAATAAATTCAAAAACAAAAATTGTTTATTCTTATTAATAAATTTATATTAATCAATATTTGAACAACCCGTAATTAAAATTGAATTCCTCTTAAAATTTAATCCATACGTTAATTTTTAATTTGCTCGGCGAATGCCGAGCTTCCCTACTTCTCTTGTCATTCCTTCAAAAACTCTAATCTCATCGCACTTACAAACATCATGATTTGATGTATTGTCGAGAAATCTTAGACTTGTTTGTCATTTGATTATAGCATTTGAAAGTCATCTCGAAAATCGATTAACAAGACAATTTCCCAAACATCTACATACAAGTAGATGATGGTAAACCCATTAGAGTTGTTTTGCTATGATTCCTCCAATCTTATGATGAGAAAAATCATATCAAAACAGCTCTAATCGAACATTCTACACAGCTTAGCATCCAGCTAGTTCCAAGTAATGCGATTACAACATCAACGGCCAAAGCCTTTCAGAGTCCTTTAATCATTTCTTCTCATCTCAATGTGAAGTGGCCCCAAACGAACTACAAGCTGACGTTACAACGCATTACAACCCGGTTAATACGAACATATACATTAGAGCTGCTTTGTTATGATCTCCCTCATCAATTGATGAGAGATCTCATTATGAAGCAGCTCCAATCGAACTAAAAACCTACATACAAATGAGTGAAAACAAACTCATTAGAGTTGTGTTGCTTTGATTTCTCTCATCAGAAGATGAGAGATACCAGAACAAAACAACTCTAATCAAACTTTCTACACAACTCAGCACAGTATCAATGCAAAGTAATGCGTCTGTATCGTTAACAAGCAAAGTTGTTTCGGGTCCTTCCATTTTGGAAGAATTCGGAACAACTTTGCGAATTGATAGTGTAAACCCATATACATGAAAGCGTGCATGCATAAAGACAGGTATTGCCAGCAATGACTACCTGCCCAGCTATGAGTGATCAGAGAATTACCATCTCAGGCTTTTTGAGAACGTTTCAGCCAGGACCCTCGTATGTTGACTGTGAGAAAGGCATCCTTTATCTGAAATAGATGCTTTTCCAACAATCAAATTCGAAGATCTTCGACGTTGTTGTAAAAAGAGAAGGAGAAGGAAAGAAGAGGAAGGAGAGGAAGAAGGAAAGGAAAAGAAGAAGAAAAAAGAAAAAAAAGAAGGACATATTAAATATAATGCGCACTTAATAGTGCCGAGGCGGCGGAGCCGCCGAGGCGCGATTTTTTTGACCCTATATTACCGCACGGCAATGTTTTTCTCGATTTTGTACAGCCCTAAGGTATTCTAAGAATAGCCTTGCTAATACATAAAACAATAGAAATTCAAAATATGTTTTCCATATTTGCTGTATTTTTCAGTGATGTCGAGATGCTTGATTCAAGAATGACAACTGTGTGTTAATTTATGATCAAATACATATCAAAGCACAATATTGAATGATTTTGAGTGAGAATTAATTGCAATATTGATACTAGATTACTATTGAATGCAGTTCCAGATGTGTCCATGGTAATATATGAAAAATGGTTATTGTAAACGCATAATTAGAGCTTTCTATTTCTGATTATTGAAACACTCAACTAACGCACCCTATTTCGACAAACTATTTTGAAATATGCCAGATCTAGCATTTTTATTATTCATTTACATACGCGAAATTCCAATTTAACTAATTTCAAATGTTTGTCGAAATCTAAAATAAAATATTTTTGAATAAAAATACCATTCATCACTATTAGAACTCGAATTTTAAGAGGAACCAAAACTTTATTTCTCTCCTTTCAATTTGAAAATTTGTTACGTTTTTGTAGTGAAATTTTTATGATCCCGGCGTTAGACGAACGGGCCGCCGAGTGGTGGAACTCACTTGTTGGTTGGAGTAAAGTTTACGTCGGCATGCCCAATGAATGTCCACCATGTGAGTCCATTGTTTTTGCATTTTCTTTAATATCACCACCTTTTGTGTTCGCAACGCAATGCTGTAAAGACAAAACATCAACCTGGGAGATGATAAGAGATATTATCGCATCAATACTACCAAATGAAACAATTCCACCAATTGATCCTTTTAATCCATTTCTGAACAATTTATTCGAAATTAAAGACAAGCTTGCAATTGACACAGAACAGAAAATGATCTTAATGCTCGAAAAATATGTAAATCTTCGAAATCCAAGTTTTTTGCTTTGGTCATTTCCCGAATCAATACCAGATCAATCAATCTACTTTTCAGCTATTTCAACTATGATAAAAAATCAAGTCCCATTCATGAAAAAATATCTTTACGGGCAAGGATACGCTGATCAGTTTTTTGATCGATTTCTTCCTTTAATTGATTCTCAGCATATCAATATTTCAAGTTCTGTTATAGATATGCTATGTTCCTTACTCACAGAAAAGATTTATTCTTTCTCAAATTTATCAGACGTTGTAAGTCATTTTTTAGAACAGCTGTGGAAGGCCATTGTATCACCAAATATGAGCCTTTCAGTTTGTGCATGGCGTGCAGTCATTTTAATGCTAAATCTAGGTAAAGATTGCTTCAGCGCAACAGAATTTCTCCAAACAATCGATAGTCTTATTAAAGTTACAATAAATATACCATCTTTACGATACTTAACTTGCCAGTACCTCGTGAAAGTTGATATTCCACGCTTTTCTTATTTAACTCTCGTCAGACAATTATTATACATCGAAACAACAAGTGTTGACAGCTTTGACATTGTCACTATGCTAATAAATGCTGGCGTCTTTTTAAAATACCAGCAATTGATGCAAATTCTCTTTACAATTGCCCTTCAAGATTCAATTTGGTCTCGGGCTGCAATTTCGTGCCTTTCGACCATCCTCAATCAAAAGCTTAGCGCCTCTGATACACAATGGTTTCTAAGTGCTGTCAGATCGATTTTGACATATGTTGGAGTTATCGCCGGCTCAAAAGGGAACGCGGAGCAATGTGATGCAATAATCGACTGCCTGGGTATGATTACTGATACTAAGGTCGATTGGGTCGTAAGAGCAATTTCAAAACCTTATACGGCGTTAATTGTTACGAAAACATTAAAAAAACATCACAGCGATATTCCTCTGGATAAGGCTGTTGACTATAGCATAATGAGAGACATAGAAATAGCAGCATCACGACCCAACGTCAGAATCGTCTTGAACAATATTATGGACACGACGGTTATCCCAGAACAGATAGAACGATCAAAAAGTTCACTTTTATCTAACGGAAAAACGTCGAGAACTCCAAGACCGCAAATTGCAAAGCCTCCAACGAAAAACCATGCGAAGAAGTCAACGGCAAATGCCTTCAAATCTACTGTAAAGACAGCTTTGCCAAGATCTCGTTCATTTCCTTTGAAACAGAAAATATAATAATTTTTTTTTCTTTTATTGTTTGTTTGTTATCTCTTTATATTAGTTTGTATATTAGAATAAATGTTTGTTATGTTTGCTTAACCTATGTCCTTTTATTCCACAGAAATTTTGATGGTAATTTTTGAGCTATGAAAATATTACCATTATTGGTGTAAACTTCAGAATTTACATTTTTTGACATGCGCTATTTAAGCTCTTGATATGTAACATTTTCTAATTTCAATGGAAAAATTTTAAAAATTCCACGATTTAAAAATTGAAAGAGTATTCAAAATATTTTAGCTGGTAATTAAAATAATTAATCATATCATTTTAGTATTATCATGGATTCATTTGATGCATTGATTAATGAAATTAAGATCAGTGGGAACTATGATGATATGTTTGATTCTTTCATTGATCTTTTAGGCTCAGACTCAATTCCAATTGACAAACAACCAGAATTATTGCAACAATCTCAAAAATTAATACATATTATATTATCTTTATCTGGTATATCGTCAACAGAGAGAGAACGCGTATTACTTTGCATTCAAAGATTGGCAACAATTTTCGGAATGTCATTCTGCAGTGGAGTGACAATGTACAAAGAGCCACTCTTACTGTTATTTGAAAAGAATGAAAACTTTTACACCGGAAATGAGCAAGCTACTGCATCATTTAAAGAATTTGTCAGATATTTCATGGATATTGTATTTGGAGAATTCCAATCCTTATTCATCGAAAACTACACAATTGAAAACCTAATATTTATGGCCAAAATTGTTTTAGCTGTTCAATCATCAATCGAAGCAAGTGAATCAATACAAATATTCGAGGAGTTAGCAGATACAATTAATAAATCACTTCAAACACTTATTAACTCGGAAATCAATGTCAGCAAAGAAGATTTGAATACAATATTTGAATTCTGTTTCAATTCAAAGAAATGCTACAGCAATTTACTTATTTTGGCTGGAAAATATTTGAATGGCAATGTTTTCGATACAAAATTTGTTGCTGTCAAAAATATCACAAAATTAGCAAATCTTGATGATAACTCATGCTTCATTGAATGGGCAGAGAAGTCATTCTTCACCGAATTCATTTCAAGAAAGGATCTTCATGAAGAATTATATTCTCATTTGATAACTCCAGCGACAAAGTACTTTGAAAAGCACAAATTATCAATAGAAGAGATCAAGAATCTTTATGGAAGTGTTAATTCAATGCCAATTGGTATTCGAGAATCTTATATCAAATTGATTGCAAGTGTTATTTCAAAATCAACAGAAATTGCGCAGTCATTCATTGAAGATGCACGTAAAACAGAAATTACAATTGAAACAGCTAATCTTTTCTTTCATATTTTGACAAATGGAGAAGATTTGAATGAAGACATTCTGACAGCTCTTATTGATATCAGTTTAAGCAAAGGAATGATTGATGGATTCAAAGTTAACTGGAAGAAGATCTGCAGCATTGATAAATACCAAAATGTCTTATCAAAGTATTTATCAAAATCCATAGAAAATCATTTATTTAATACTGATGTTTATATTGCATTGATCAAATCATGTCTTCCTCAGAATATTGCCATTGATGTTTACAAAGCAATTCTTGAGCAAATGAAGAATGATGACCCAGAAATTCTGAAGTTGTTACAATATATCGATATCGATCTTGTAATTGAGAAATTCACTGAATGTTTAGAATTTATGATTCCTATTTTTTGCAAGACAAAATCAATTCTTTCTTCCAATATTCTCTTAAATGTTACAAATGGTAAAATCAACATCGACCATTCAGTTATTTTCAAATGGATCGATATACTCAATGAGAATATCGAATATACATTAACAGAAAACCTTCCATTCATCAATAGACTTGCATTTGAACTGGCAAGAAGTATTTGCATTAATTCCTCAACAATTTTTGTTTACAACACTACCAACAATAAATTTGATGCAAAAGCATTTGGCCCTCTAATGAAAATATTAGATAGACAAGATCTGAAGGATAAAAATCTAAATTACTTTTTGAGAGGTATGATAAAATTTGTTAATCAATTAAAAACAGATGGCTACAGACAAATGTTCAAACTATTATCAGATTTGAAATCCGTCAATAAAGTTATTTTGCTACAAGCACTTGTAAGACTCTGTAATTGTTTGATTATTCAGCCACACGTTGATACACTTGTGGAATCATATTACTCTGATATCAAATGTATTATTGGTGATGAAGTATATTACGCTCCAAGAAATTATTTAATAAATAAAATATTGAAGAAACAGTATTCTAAAGCACATGGAAATGTACCATTCAAACTCAAGGATGATAAAAGTAAAGGAGAAGCCACAACTAAATCATTTGTCGTGCATTTCATTGCTGAACCACATCCAACAAAGAAGAAACCAGAGATAATAAACTACGATGACCAGACAGATGTTTTAGAAGATATCAGAGAGAAACTTATTGATATATTAAATGATGAAGAAAAAGATGAATATGCTTTCAAAGCATTGGCTTTTATGAAGAAAGTTAAATACGATGATGTATTAGAAAAACTTAAAGAAAATGAGAAAAACAAGTTTAGATAATATATGTTAACAACTAAAGATAATTTGACAGAAGAAATGTTAACATTAATTGCAGATAAAGTTAGTGACGATAAACTCACAGATAATGGTATTTATGATGCATTAGATATCTTGGCTAAACATCAAATATTCAAGATTAATAATCCTGAAGGTTTAATCAAGAATATCGCTAAGATTATGCAAAATTCAAAATATCAACAGACAAATGCAACTGCTTTGATGGAAATTGCTGTGAAAATGACTCATAGAATTGATCCCCAAATTGTCAAAGACATCATTACAAATAATAATGCAATGATTGGTCCATTGTGCAAAGTTATTGAGAATGTTGCAGATAAAAAAGAGTTGTTCGATGTATTATCAACATCAAAGGAAGCATTACCTATCTTACCTGATATATTTAATAGTCAGTGTTCAGCAGAAATTGCTTTCGATATTGCAATGAATAATATTAAAGAAAAAGAATCAATGAGATTAATCAAATATGTGTTAATTGCATATCCAAATCTTTCTGATGAAGCATTGATGCCTGTAATGACAAAGATATTGGATAATCTTCCAATACATAACGCATGGCTCGCTATTGATCCAATTTGTGATAGACCACAGTTCAAAATGATGTTGACAGAAAAATTAAGAGATATCTTTAATGTTTCTGTTGATGAATTTGAAGTTAATGAATCAATAAAGAGATCTAAATATAATATCACCGGATTAAAGAATCTTGGAGCAACATGCTATATCAATTCCGTTTTCCAATCTTTGTTTAATATTGAAGAATTTAGAAAGAAAATATTTGATCTAAATCCAACAGAAAAATGGCAGAAAGCAATGCAAGAATTGTTCTATAGAATGAAGTTTTCAAAGAGAAAGTTCGAAGATACAAAATACTTTTGTGATAACTTCACTTTCTTTGGAGCTAAAATCAAACCAACAGAACCACAAGATGCCGCTGAATTCTTGGAAGAATTGTTAGATAAATTACATGAATCAAGTGATATGTTCCAAGGTGAAATCACGCTCAAAATGGAATATAAAGGAGAAGTTGTTCAAGAGACAATAGAGCCTTTCCATTTGTTACCAATGGCTGTTAAGAATTGTAAGAATTTCGAACAATCTTTCAATGCATTCCTTGCAAAAGAAACAATCTATAACTATGAATCAGAGTTATTACAGAAGAAAGTTGATGTAGAAAGACATTCCATCATCACGAAAACTCCTGAATATTTGATTGTTCACTTAAAGAGATTTGAATTTGATTACGCTCATTATACAAAGAACAAAATTAATACTCCTTTCGATGTCCCAGAATATTTAGATATTTCTCCAATCGCTGAAGGAGATGACAACAAATATAAAGTTGTTGGTGCAATTATGCATATGGGAGATTCAGAAAGTGGGCATTACAAATCATTGATTGCTCAAGAAGAAGGTGGTTTCATGATAAATGATAGAGGTTGTAGTCTCTTTCCAAAGAAAGATGTTTTACCAATGATGTCAGGAACAGCCAATGATTTCTTGTTTAATGCATTTAAGGGACTCAAAATATTTGAGGATGTTACGAAGCAACTTAAACAAATAACAAAATAAAAAGATGTTGGATATATTATTTTCTATAAGAAGTTCCATGGAGAAATTCCAAAACAAGATAAAGATGAAACTAAAACAGAAACTGTGGAAGAATCAATGCAGAAGGTAGAGGATGATATCTCATTACTTACAGATATAATTAATGGAAAATTCGAATATAAATATGAATTAAAAGAGGATGGACACGAATGTCCTAAAGATCTCTTAGAAAGCATCGAAGAAAATAACAAGATTTACCAGAAAACTATTACTGCGTTCAATCCTTCTTTGAGACAGATTATTACAAAAGTCGATGATGAAGATGTTTGGCAAAAATTCTTCTGGAATGTTTTCATTCATTCTGATTTCTCTGATGACGAAGATCAAGCTACAAACATATTGACTCACCTCAAATTCCACAATGTTAAAATTTCAACTGAACAATACACAGATATGTTATCAAAATGCTTGACAAACATCAAAGACGAAAAGACAAAGTCTTTGTTAAATAAGGCTCTCTCAAGTTTAGTTGATATTTCTATAATTGATAGCTTATTTGACAAATTAAAGGAGTCAGAGAAGAACTGGAGATGTCTCCATGATATCATTGAGATTATCATCACAATTGGAATGAATAACAAAGAGAAGTTCAAAGAAGGTAATTATCTATTAAAATTGATCGGTTTCTGCATCGAATCATTGATAAGAGTTAAATCTTCTGCTTATTTCCAGAATGCAAACTTCAGAAATGTTTGCGAGATGTTCTCAAACAACAAAGATTTATTGAATGATGAGATCATTAACATTATTGTTGAAGGCGCATGTTACATCATGCAGAGTACAGAACATTCAACACAATTCATGCAATTAGTTCTGGAATATAACAATAATTTAGCAATAAAAATTGCCGAAAACGTTGTAAACGGAACTCCAGGACCATCATCGAGAATGTTGCCAACAACATTCAGTGCATTGATTAAATATGCACCAAAAGAAATCGATCAATTCTCGAAATTTTACATGGGAACAACAAGAGTTAATTTTGAAAATATTTTGACTCAAAATTTCACGAAAGTAACTCCAGAAGTTGGTGAACATCTTCGTAAGTATGGTCTTGAATTTATGTACAGACTTTTAACAGATAATTCATTTGAAATCAGAAGATCGGCAGAGATCTGCTTAATTGAATCTTTTGAATCGTTTGGAATAAAAGGAATACTTACAGAGTTTTATCTCACCGAACCAAAGAATGCCGGTTATAAGAGATACTTGTTCTGTGATGATAGAGTGAAATACCCAGAAGAAATAAACAAATTCTTTAATTATATCAAAGAAAAACTCATTTATATCAGAGATAATACAGAAAAATATTTCTCCCAAATACCAAAAGATAAGGAAATGATGTTACTTTCATTGATAAGAGCTTACGCATACTTATCACATAAATGCAACAAACATGACAAAGAAAACATTGAATTCTTGATTGAACTAATGAATTCCATTTCCAAACTCAAGATAATGAATGATCTTTATATTATTGAGTTCTACAAGATAATCAATCTTAATGAATTTAAGAATGACGAAGACTGGGCAAAAACTAAGTTACCTATCTTAGCTAAACCAATCTTAGAAGTTCCTGCGAAACTAGAAATAACATTAGCAAGAACTGTCCATTTCTTGGCCTGCTACTATTATTTGCTTGATGAAGAATTCTTGGAGAATTTCTTAAATAATGATCTCATTAAGAAATCAATTTATGAAATGGCTGATAAAGAAGACAATCAAATATTTTATATCTTGAAAGCCTTTGCACTCAGATTCAAAGATATGATTGCAAAATACGTTGAACCAATCAAGGATAAGTTGTATTCAAAGTTAGAATATGGCAAAATGAATTTGCATAAAATTTGCGGATTTGAAATTCCTTTGGAAGTGTTTATGAACGCATTGAAGTGCGATCTCAATCAATGCTTCAAGAAAGGAGACATGGATTTCAATTCTATTGACATGAATGTTCCTCCAAATGTTGATCAATACATTGATGATGATTTTTGCAATAAATTCAATACAATTTGCCAAAAGAATATTGTTGAAAGCCTCAATCTTGAGAATAGGGATAATCAACCATTATTATTCATTTGCTATTGCAATCAGATACCAAAATTAGCCAAAATTATCGATGAAAAAATAAAGATCATTGAGAATTCTTCAAAATTGAGGAATAAAGTATTGATTCTTCTAATCAAAGGAATCGAACTCAGATTCACAGGAACACCAGAAGACAGAGTTGATGTCGGAATGGAAGTTTTAGATCTCTTACTTTCAACTGATGGAAGACATTCCGATTTCAACAAGCTGATATTTGTTGCCAATGGATTTCTATGTAAAGATGGTACTGTAATTCACTATTCATGGATGACTACATTCCTTTCTTTGATAACTGCCAAAGCCGATACAAATGTGAATATCTCTGGTATTCTCCAAAATATGGTATTTGATTTAACAAATGATGATGTTGTTGCTCTAGCAACCGCAATTTTGGAGTCAAATCCAGATAAATACTCTATTGCAATGATACTACTGTGCAAAGAAATGTATAACAGATTTCAATTAATTGTTGATACTATTGGAGCTGATATACACAAAATGCATTCCAAATTTGAAACCATCAAATAAATAATAAACTGATATTTTTCTTTTAAATATTTTGCTATATTAATATTAACTCAAATCTCATTTCGAATATGTAACTTAAATAAAATAATAATTTTCTCGTATATCATGTCTGGCCAATCAAATTAATGAAACATTTTAAAATTATATAGATATTTGATTACTAGAATGAAAATTTAATATTACCTGTGTCACGGTATGCGAATAATTCATATATTTTTTGAATCATAATACATATTGTTTTTGAATCATATTGATCATATCAAATCATCGAAAAAAAAGTTGAGATAGTCAAAATATTGCTATAAAATGTATGGTAGTTGAAATTAGATATGAATCTTTAACTGAGCACAATTCTTTTTGGATCGCATTTAAATTGATTGTAAATAAAGCTAGAACTCATTTCAATTCAATAATTCCTTGAAGATCCATGATAATTTCTAAAAATTATTTTTTCATTTCCATGAATGTAAAAAAAATTGATATTTTCATATTTTCATATTCGGTCATTTCAGTTGTTATTATGTCAGCTGTTATATGTAGTGACTTGCCAACTCCGCATAACAAAGATTACTCAACAATCCCAACTTCGGATAAGGAAATAAAGCCAGATTGCTGCCTTGCGACAATATTTGATGAAGAGCAGCTTCTAAATCTTTATATTCTAGGCTATTCATTGTATTATCGAGACTTAAAACTTCCGAAATTTTATGCATTGTCAAAAAGTAGACTTAACCAATCAGCAATCAATCAAATTTCGCGTTTCTTCACATATGTAGACATATCAAACTATACAACATCCGAAATCAAATTCCATCAAACTTATTTTTGGAATCTTACCGGCTGCAATCCAGTTGTCGCAGTTAGTCCTCAAGGAATATTCCTTAAATCCCCAGCTGACTTGTGTTTAGAATCCCCTTTTTCATCTGCACCATTAAATGGAGACAATTTTAGATTTGATCCTTCTATTCTTCTACTCAATCCTGTTGAGCGACCATCATTTACGGATCAGCATGGCAAATGGACGGATTACATCAATGATATCTACAAACGCTGGAAAGTTCTTCCGAATTATCACTTTATTGCAGAAGATCAGGTCACAGACTTCTTTTATGAGTACAATATGCCTATATATGTTAAGTACAACAAAAACACAATCGAATGCGCATTCAAGAATGTTTCTATACCAGGTTTAGCTTATAATTTAAATAAAGTAGACGATGATGCCAATACAGACAATTCACTCGAAGAAAAATACGATAGCCTTACTTGTTCCGTTATACGAGAATTTATTACTGGATTAGAAAAGCTCCTTTCAGAGAAAAATTAATTTATTTATTAATCCATCAAGATTTTTTAATATTTTGGAATATTTATACTCATTAATCCCATATATTATACTTGGCTTACTTGATTCACTACAATTCCAGTGAGTCTAAAAAAAAAATTAAATTTTTGCAAAAAAATCAAACCAGAAATTGAATTGTTCATCAATTTCTGCTCTTAGCAAGAATATTAATTATTAAGCAGTCTATTAATCATATATTTAACAAAAAAAGAATTTTAATTTTTAGAATAAATGTTTATTTTTTTACTCAGCACCAAGTGATTTAAGAAAACTTTGCATAAATTCATCATTTCGAGCTTCGGCTATCTGAAGAGCTGTTTCTCCATGATTGTTTTTTGCGTTGATATCAGCACCATGAGAAACCAAATATTCGAATGTATTCGGATTAATGAATCCGGTTTTTTTCTGTTGAGAATAAAGAATGGCCGTATTTCCATCATTATCTTTTGCATTGATATCAATGTCATGTGATACTAGAAATTCATATGATTCTCTCTCATTACGTGCTACAGCGTAATGAAGTGCTGTTTTTCCATCTTCACTCTTTGATGAAATATCAACACCATGTGATATAAGTAACTCGAGCATAATTTTGTGGGAAACTTCTGCTGCTTCATGAAAGACTTTTTTCCATCATTATTTTTTAAATTGAAATCTACTCCATAAGAAAAGAAAATTTCTGCATTTTCTGTTGTATTTATATTGTTTTTACGTTTAAGTAAATAAAACAGAGGATTATAACCTAAGAAATTTATTGCATTTACATCAGCACCATGAGCAAGTAAACATCTTATTGTCTCTGTATCATTTGAAATTGCTGCTTCGAAAAGTGGAGTATTGTTTTTGTCATCCCTTGCATTGATTTCAGCTCCCTGAGAAATCAAAAATTCTGCAATCTGTGCATTACCAGATCTGGCTGCAATAAAAAGAGCTGTCTGATCTGATTTATCCCTTGCATTGATTTCAGCTCCCTGAGAAATCAAAAATTCTGCAATCTGTGCATTACCAGATCTGGCTGCAATAAAAAGAGCTGTCTGATCTGATTTATCCCTTGCATTGATTTCAGCTCCCTGAGAAATTAAAAATTCTGCACTCTGTGCATTACCAGATCTGACTGCAATAAAAAGGGCTGTCTGACCTGATTCATCTTTTGCATTGATATCTGCTCCTTTTGATAAGAGATATTCACAAAGAGGAGGCAAATTAAAACCTGGAGATTCTATAAAGCATTTGTTGATATTTTTTGTTTGGTCCAAGTATGCTAAGAATGCTTGAATATTATTATGTACTACGCAATTCAATAATTTTGTCTGAATATTGTATTCATTCATTAGAAATGAAACAAAATCAATGTTATGAGATATAATTGCGCATTTCATACAATCAAATGTCGAAAATGTATAGGGTGTCCAAAGGTGCGTTTAGCACAGCGCTCTATATGAGACTATTAAAGGAGATATATGCTGATTATAAATATATAATAAAAAATATGAATATATGTATATGATGAGTAAGTTGTATTTTGGCGCCATGCCGGGATATAAAATGAATTTTGAGACAAGAGGCGGTTTCGCGGGAAATTTTGGCGGGATTTTTTTCATTTTTTTAATGAATCATAAAGAAAACATCCTCGCTCTTGCAAAAAAATGCAAAGACTGTAAAAAAATCTACGAGACATTGGTAAAATGCTTCGGTATGGATGCTCCTAGCTATTCCACTGTAACGTATCATGTTAGGATGTATCACTTCATGAACAAAAAGGCGCCCATCATAAAAATTGACAAAAAATCGCCGGATCAAAGAAAAATCAAAGCAATTCTTCAAGCGCTAGATGAAGACCCAAGAGCATCACTCAGAAGGATAGAGGAGATGACAAAGATACCACGTACAACAGTCAGTTATTATCTGCACAATTATTTGAACTACAAACTAGCGTATACACGTTGGGTTCCGCACAACCTTAATTCAGTTCAAAAAAATCTAGAGTCCAATCTTCGAAAGAGCTCCTCTCTATATTGCGTGCGTATCAATCCAAGAAGTTTCGCTTTTTAGTAACAGGGGATGAGTCTTGGTTTCAATATGCAACAGAAGCCAAAATCATGTGGATCCCGAAGGATGAAGATCCGCAAACATTCCCGAAGAAAAAAATTGACACACCAATGATGATGTTGTCGGTTTTTTGGGGCGTGAATGGCATCATCGCAATTGATATTCTTCAAAAACCTAATACGATGAATGCTCAGTATCTAATTGACAATGTTCTTACTCAAATTATCAATTCTGATGAGTTTGAGAAATCCAAACAACAAAAACAAAAGTTTGCAATTCATTTTGATAATTCAAGAGTTCACAAAAGTCATAAGGTAATGAATTACTTGGTGGAAAACAATGTCAAAGTTGTTCCAAACCCAATTTCTTCACCTGATATTGCACCCTCTGACTTTTATTTATTCGGCACGCTAAAAAAGAGAGCTGAAGGACGCGAATTCGCGAGTCCAGATGATCTTGAAAATTTTGTAAGAGAGCAATTTGAGCAATTTTCTCATGATGATTTAAAGCGTGTCTTTGAAGCCTGGATCGATCGCTGCGAACGCGTGATTGAATCCAATGGTGATTATATTTAAATAAACTTTATATATATGTAACTTGTTTATTTCTATTCGCAGTATTCAGGTTTGTGCTAAACACACCTTTGGACACCCTATAGATATATTATTCATATTTTTGATTTTGAATTACGGAAAAAGTGAGTTCAGAACTTCCAATTATTATTTGATTAATTATGTTAAAAATACTATAAGGAATTAAAATACATAATGTTGAAATTTGAATTACGGAAAAAGTGAGGGTGAAAGTGAAGTGAAAAAGTAAGATATTTTTTGTTGAAATAATCATAGTTGTACAATTTTGAAACTATATGTAAAGCTATAAATTGAATAAATTCAAAAACAAAAATTGTTTATTCTTATTAATAAATTTATATTAATCAATATTTGAACAACCCGTAATTAAAATTGAATTCCTCTTAAAATTTAATCCATACGTTAATTTTTAATTTGCTCGGCGAATGCGGAGCTTCCCTACTTCTCTTGTCATTCCTTCAAAAACTCTAATCTCATCGCACTTACAAACATCATGATTTGATGTATTGTCGAGAAATCTTAGACTTGTTTGTCATTTGATTATAGCATTTGAAAGTCATCTCGAAAATCGATTAACAAGACAATTTCCCAAACATCTACATACAAGTAGATGATGGTAAACCCATTAGAGTTGTTTTGCTATGATTCCTCCAATCTTATGATGAGAAAAATCATATCAAAACAGCTCTAATCGAACATTCTACACAGCTTAGCATCCAGCTAGTTCCAAGTAATGCGATTACAACATCAACGGCCAAAGCCTTTCAGAGTCCTTTAATCATTTCTTCTCATCTCAATGTGAAGTGGCCCCAAACGAACTACAAGCTGACGTTACAACGCATTACAACCCGGTTAATACGAGCATATACATTAGAGCTGCTTTGTTATGATCTCCCTCATCAATTGATGAGAGATCTCATTATGAAGCAGCTCCAATCGAACTAAAAACCTACATACAAATGAGTGAAAACAAACTCATTAGAGTTGTGTTGCTTTGATTTCTCTCATCAGAAGATGAGAGATACCAGAACAAAACAACTCTAATCAAACTTTCTACACAACTCAGCACAGTATCAATGCAAAGTAATGCGTCTGTATCGTTAACAAGCAAAGTTGTTTCGGGTCCTTCCATTTTGGAAGAATTCGGAACAACTTTGCGAATTGATAGTGTAAACCCATATACATGAAAGCGTGCATGCATAAAGACAGGTATTGCCAGCAATGACTACCTGCCCAGCTATGAGTGATCAGAGAATTACCATCTCAGGCTTTTTGAGAACGTTTCAGCCAGGACCCTCGTATGTTGACTGTGAGAAAGGCATCCTTTATCTGAAATAGATGCTTTTCCAACAATCAAATTCGAAGATCTTCGACGTTGTTGTAAAAAGAGAAGGAGAAGGAAAGAAGAGGAAGGAGAGGAAGAAGGAAAGGAAAAGAAGAAGAAAAAAAAAGAAAAAAAAGAAGGACATATTAAATATAATGCGCACTTAATAGTGCCGAGGCGGCGGAGCCGCCGAGGCGCGATTTTTTTGACCCTATATTACCGCACGGCAATGTTTTTCTCGATTTTGTACAGCCCTAAGGTATTCTAAGAATAGCCTTGCTAATACATAAAACAATAGAAATTCAAAATATGTTTTCCATATTTGCTGTATTTTTCAGTGATGTCGAGATGCTTGATTCAAGAATGACAACTGTGTGTTAATTTATGATCAAATACATATCAAAGCACAATATTGAATGATTTTGAGTGAGAATTAATTGCAATATTGATACTAGATTACTATTGAATGCAGTTCCAGATGTGTCCTTGGTAATATATGAAAAATGGTTATTGTAAACGCATAATTAGAGCTTTCTATTTCTGATTATTGAAACACTCAACTAACGCACCCTATTTCGACAAACTACTTTGAAATATGCCAAACCCAATTTATTCACCTGATATTGCACCCTCTGACTTTTATTTATTCGGCACGCTAAAAAAGAGAGCTGAAGGACGCGAATTCGCGAGTCCAGATGATCTTGAAAATTTTGTAAGAGAGCAATTTGAGCAATTTTCTCATGATGATTTAAAGCGTGTCTTTGAAGCCTGGATCGATCGCTGCGAACGCGTGATTGAATCCAATGGTGATTATATTTAAATAAACTTTATATATATGTAACTTGTTTATTTCTATTCGCAGTATTCAGGTTTGTGCTAAACACACCTTTGGACACTCTATATCTTCAGGAATATGATATTTCAAGCATTCATGCATGATTTCTGGTTTTCCACTCAAAAATGATAAGCCTAAGCATTTCGTTGTTATTCGTAAGTCGAATTTGCTTATTAACAACTTAAAACAATCAACAGATCCGTGATAGCAACATACTTCAAGTAAAGAAAGTCTTTCTGGAATGAAAATGATATTCACACCCTGATTTTCATTAAAGTCTTCTTGTTCAGTGATTTTCACAAATTCTTGTAAGTCATTATCCATTATTGCTCTGTGAATTGAGGCTTTTTCAAAAACATCAATAGTAAGATCTTTGAAATTTTTAATTATCATTTCATCGCAAGGAATTCCATATTCTTTGAACATAAGGTACCTAAATGGATGAGAATTAATAATTAACTTATCTGGTTGATATTCGTCATAGACTTTTTTGAAAAGATTCCAATATGGTTTAAAATATCGGCATCTGTAGCTGACTAATTCTGCAACAGTCCACAAAATGTTTGATGGTGTGCAAATTTTTGTTTCTATCAAATTGATTTTGATTTTTTGATAAATTTTGTCAATTTCGGCCTCATCGAATGTATTTAGTTTGTATAATGCACTAAAAGTATCATGATACGCTTTGCATAAGTTCATTGCCTCATCGTACATGTTTTCTTCCATAGGTTTAAATGTGAAATAAAAAAAATTATACAAATTCAATACAAACACTTTTTAAATGGAATTTAAAAAGTGTTTGTATTGAATGTACAAATCCAAATTTATTTTTATTGAGTTCGAAAAAATTTGAGATGCTCTCAAACCAATAAAAATAAATTTTGACTAGAAAAGTTTAAACTTTATCAATAACTTACGCATATAATAAAATGATTTCTACAATCATAATATTCATAAAATTTATAAATTTTCATATTTTTGATTCTTTGGAGATAAATTCATGAAAGACCTTGCCCAACTCGAGTAAGCCAACATATGCCTAAATTAAATCTTTTTTATTTGAGCTAGAAATGATTAATAAGATGTTTAGCAGCGTTTGAGTATGAGAATTCATCAATTTAATCAATATAAGTTGATTACAGGCAAATTTTGATTGCATGATGGCTGTTTCATGCATTCACTTTAAATTTCAATAGAATATGATGGATACTAGTTAGATATTAAGTTAATATAATTTATTCAAGCTGTCGGGATATTTAATTCATGCCATACATTTTAGGAATGGCAAAGCTCTGTATATGATACAAAAGAAAACATTTTGAGGAAAAAATTACACCAAATTTTTTAGGAAAATAATTTGGGATCTGACAACGATTATTTTTCATAAACGTGGGAATATTTTGATTGATCTTATATAGTTAATCTACTTTTTGTATGATCATAAATTTGCAACTGCTTTGTCACTTTTTATTTTCTGAAATGGGTTCTGTTTCGGATGTTGGCGGCTATATCTTCTTTGGCATTATTTTTGTATGGGGATTAGCCATATTGATTTGGTCATGTGTTGTTCCAAGAAAAGTTATTGAAGACAAGTCAGATGATTCAGATATGGCATCCATGTTCCCTGAAATTACTCCAGAAAATGAAGATGCTCAAGTTCCGGCCCAAAAATAAAAGGTTTCTGTACCGTTATTTACGTAGTTTACTTTTAATAAAATTTTTTTTTTATTTTTAATTCATATGGATCAATTCAAGAAAAATGGCTCTGAATATAATTTAGAAACCGAAATATACTGGTTGAAATCCATTTTGGATGTTCGATTTTTTTTTTCTATTCCGATGGAAAACAAGTTTTCGAATTTAATCTAAAGGTTATTTGGATATAAGGAAGGCTTTATTATGCAGCTTAGAGAAATGGCATTTCTCAATATTTTATAAGAATTCGTATCGGAATTCTTTGTTTAGTTCTAATTTAAAAGTGTTGTTGTTGTAAACAGAAATTCATCAAAAGTGACACCTCAGAAAAGCTAAAATATTGAATTTTTGGAACTTTTGATAGAGCACGTTTTTAAATATTAATTAAAGTAAATGTATATTTTGTAAAGATTCTTTTTAATAAAAAAATAAAATTTTGAAGAAGAACACAAAATCTTCTGAAAAATAATATCACATAAACTCATATTATTTTCTAATATATAACTATTTTATATAAAAATCAAATTCAATGATCTTAAAAGCGAAGGATAAACCTCAAAATTTACGAATATAATGAGTGGGAATATAATGCTTATCTATCATAAAACCATATGAAATATCAATTTTTGCTTTACGCCTAATTTTTGACGACAATTAGCAAAAAATGTTAAATGTTAACACTCAGTCCATTTGAATATGAAAAATAAAATTGACTTTGATTAAATGTTTTTATTTATCATGCAATTCTTCTTGCGACCAAAGATTTGAATAAAAGTTCAAAAAATAAGATAGCTTAAAAAATAATATACGGTAGTGTTTACTAATAGATGAATAGTATATAAATTCTATTAAAATGGATTTGATCCAAAAAAATATAAAACCAAAATAATTGTTATAATTTAAATGAAGAAGTAATTTAAAACGATTTTATTTATGATCAAATTTTATATATTTTTTTGGATCAAATCCATTTTAATAGAATTTATATACTATTCATCTATTAGTAAACACTACCGTATATTATTTTTTAAGCTATCTTATTTTTTGAACTTTTATTCAAATCTTTGGTCGCAAGAAGAATTGCATGATAAATAAAAACATTTAATCAAAGTCAATTTTATTTTTCATATTCAAATGGACTGAGTGTTAACATTTAACATTTTTTGCTAATTGTCGTCAAAAATTAGGCGTAAAGCAAAAATTGATATTTCATATGGTTTTATGATAGATAAGCATTATATTCCCACTCATTATATTCGTAAATTTTGAGGTTTATCCTTCGCTTTTAAGATCATTGAATTTGATTTTTATATAAAATAGTTATATATTAGAAAATAATATGAGTTTATGTGATATTATTTTTCAGAAGATTTCATTCTATATGCCTATGAAAAGTACTCTCAAAACTAACTTTTTCCTAATTATAATTAAATCTAGAATATTGTATTATGCTTAGTATTATTTCATTTTTCTCATTCAATTTAGAATTTACAAATGTCAAAAAATTGAGAGTTGTCACTTTTGATGAATTTCTGTTTATTACATTGTTAAATAGGCAATCAATTAAATTTATGAAATCCAAGTTTTAGTTAAAATCAGCTTTTTTGAACAGAAAAAATGAAAATTGGTTCTTTTCCTTTTGTTTATGCGATATTCATTGTAATTTTCTGCTTCGGATATGCAGCAAATGAATTTTTGATGCAGTCCATGATACTGTGGAAGTTTTCAATGATTCCATCCAAGATTCAGAAATTTCAGATCTGGAGACTCATAACTTACCATATTTTTCCAACCAACTTAGTTCACTTGATCATCAATTCCTTGATTTTAGTACAAATTGGTCCACATTTAGAAAATCATATTGGGCATATTGGTTTCTTAATGCACACAATAATTGTTTCCATATTTGTTGTATTCACTTACACAGTACTTGCATTAATCACAACACTATTTGATGTTTACAAGACTTATAACTACCCAATAATGGGGCCTTTCGGTTTAATTACTGCATTTGCATATATTAATGCTTATATTACTGAGCAAAAGTACAGATCTGTTTTCGGAATTTTTCACGTTCCGGCAAAATTATATCCATACGTTATGATTCTTATTCATCACATTGCTTTGCCCAATGCGTCTATTTTGAGTTCAGTATCTGGGCTAATTGTAGGAAATATATATTCTTGGACTCAATTTAAACCTCCACCAAAGAAAATTAACAGAAAGAAAGAAAGCGCAAGCAGATATATCACATCAATGTGTGCAGAAAGAGAGTTGAGCAATGAAGGATCAATTCATAATCCTTTTGCATTATTTACATTATCTTGATTAGAAAGAGAATCTAAGCACTCATTGAATGAAAAAGTATGATTTAACTACTTAAGTATCCATATTTTGTTTTATTTTTTATTAAATATTTATGTTTTGTTTGGTTTTAATGTGAAAACTCTTCTTTGTCATTGATTCTTAATATATTTACGTAATTTTTTATTCATAAATAAGTTCGACAAAGAAAATAATGAATTTTTAAATTATGATTTCTTCATCTGAATGTATTTCCTTATCTTCACATTTTACAATGAAAAGATTATTAGGTAATATAGGACCATCATCATTTGAGTTGGCATTTTTAACGATTTCTTCGTTCATTTCTATTGTATCATCATGATCTTTACTATTTCTAGAATTATTATTTCTATAATTATCTTCATTTGTAGTTTTACCATTGCTTGTAGTTTTACCTTTATTATTATCCGAATTACTCGCATATTCTTGTTTTCCTTCACTTGAATCGGAATCTTTTTTCTTTTTGACAATACAACAAATGACGACTATAACTAATATAATTAATAGGATAGCTCCTCCAACCGCTCCACCAATTATATAATAGAGATTTTTATTGGAGTTTGGTGTTTTGGTGGGCCCTATTACCGGATTTTCTGTTATCTTTTCAATAACATTAACATATACAGAATGATTTGTTACTTCTTCTGGTGTGTTTGCAATTACAACAGAGACATTGAAAGTAAAGTTTCCAACAGAAGTATTGTCTGGAATTGTGATCTTTATGGTTATGTTCTTTTCAGTTTCTGTTTTTTTTAGTTCTTTTTCTACACTTTTATCGCCTAAGGTAACTCGAATTTTGTATTTTGGGGTTTCAACCGAAAGCTTATATGTTGTTTTAATGCTAACTTGTCCACCTTGTGTTACATTTTCTTCCTCGATCTGTGGACCGTATTCAATAGAAAATACAGATGTGCTCTCATTATTCAATGAGTTTCTATATATCTCTAATGGGGATTTAACATCATTGTGTATGGATGATGTCAAACTAGTAAAAGTTAAAGAGAAAAGGAACATCAGTGAAGAAATTTGTTTTATTGTTATTTATAAAATAAAACGAATTCGGTTTAATATGATGAAATCTGCAGCATGAATTCCTTATTAGAACTTGATTGATTATAATCGAAATAGAAAATTGAAAAGATTATTTTTCGATTTTTGAATACCTTTTGAAAAATCAGAGGAATCATATTTCAATGAATAGCAGAATTGATTGTTTATACTGTTGCATGCTAAGTTCGGTCAACGATAGAAATTGTGTGGAAATTAATCGTCGAGGAAGTGTGATTATGTAAAGTAAAAAAATGTTGTGGAATTTTTAATATTATATATTATTTTATAATAAAAATTTTTGAGTCATTTTAAGAAGCACATATAATTTTTTGAATTTAAAAATTAAAGTAGTGTCAAACGAATTTATCACTTAATTTAATACTCAGATTTCTTAAAATTAATGAAAAAAAGGTTTTCTGAGAACTTTTGAGAATGGTTTTCAAATTCCATTATTGAAAATATATAGGTATTGTATGAAATTCAAACTCTATATTTATTAAAATTCTAAATTTTTAATAAAATAACTTTTCAGAGGAATATGATTTTGAATGGTTGATTAATAAGTATAAAAATGTCTACGACTTTAAGGAGGGAATTGTTCCTTATGAGGAATACATCATAACTATATACCTCATAAGGAACAATTCCCTCTTGATAGCTGGGAAACTTTCTCTGAATAACTTATCATTTGGAGAAAGTTTCCCAGCTATCTATTAGGAACTAAAGGCTATGAGGCACTAATATATAATCAGTGCCTCATAGCCTTTAGTTTCCTATTAAAAACGAGAAAACTTGTTCGAAATGATAAACAATTTCGAACAAGTTTTCTCATTTTAAGGAGGGAATTGTTCCTTATGAGGTATACATCATAACTATATACCTCATAAGGAACAATTCCCTCTTGATATCCTGGATATTTTTGAATATATTTTTTTAATTAAAGTTCTCAAAAGTATTATCAAAAGTGATTTTTTAAAAATATCTCCAATTAATTAACTAATTAAAAGTATTATATTTTTAAAATTAAATAGTTTTTCAATTTTTTTGAAGGAATTGAGATACTTCCCACGACAACAAAATTGAGAGGTTTACATTATGACTGATCTTAGCATGCAACAATACCAAATTATTTTTCATGCATAGAGTATTTTTATCAATATTATTATTTCAAATGAGAATTATTTTTTATGCCTATCAATTTTGAATGAAGCATCGACTTGTTCTCAAAAATTGAGATTGTATAATGATTATCAACAACATTATTTTAATTTCTGTCTTTTAACATGGCTGTGATTTATTGAAAACTTGAAGGCTTTTTTAATAAAAGTCATCTTGAATTCAAGTATTTATTAGAAAAAAAATGTCAATATTCATGAAAATATTAATCTTTATTCATTGAGTGTTACAAAACAAATTCATCATTTGAAATTTCTTCACCTTCACCATTATCAATATTAATTGTGAATACTTTTTGCTGCTTTTGTTGTTCTGCTTGATCCATTGAAGTAAGAACTGTTTCTTCATTGATCTCAATTGCATCAACATAGTCTGTCTTTTTCTCACCCTGCTCTTCTTCCTCATCATCATCCCGTTTCTTGAATATGAAGTATAATATCATAGAACTGGCGATTAGAAAAGCAGCTGCAATAGAGCCAATTATTATCCACAAATTCTTATTTTTAGGTTTTTCATGTTCTTTTTGTTCTATTTCTTCTCTGCGTGATCCCGGAAGAACATCGAGCTCAAGGTTGTATGAATCTATTGGAGATCCTTCAGGATCTAAAACAGTGACTGATACTGGATGCTTACCTGGTTCTGTTCCTTCAGGAACAGTGATATTTAATGAAACTTCACTATATTCTTTGTCTTTGGATGGTGGAACATCGACTATGTATTCATGGCCTTCAAATTCTGCTTTGACTTTGTATGTCGAGTTTGTAGGATTATTTATTTTCATGTTTACTGTTGTAGAATAACCTCTTTTAGCTGAGTTTTCAGTAAAAACTGGTGTTTCTTTTACTGTTGCACGAGGCTTGTCATCAACACTAAATTTGAAATCATGATTTAACTCACTTCTATAGCCATATTCATCTTCCACATAAACTTTCAATGAGTGTTCGGAGAGAGAAAGATTTGCAGTGTTTATGACGATTTCTTTGGTCTTTTCTTCATTATTTATTTCAATCAATTCACCTTGAACAACTTTGCCATCTAACTCATAAACAATTCTTGCAGATGTGTCATCACTGAGTTTGACCTTTATTTTAATGTCGCTTCCAACTGTATAACCATTTGCAGGTGGATGATCAATTGTAATTGATGGTTTTACTGTGCTAATGATTGTTGCCTCATAGTTGGATCGTCTCCTACCTTCATCCAAGGCCCAAATATAAAGAGTTTTCGTCTTTGATGGACCACATTGAAGTGGAATTGAAAAATGTTTTGTTTTTTCTCCATTTGATGCATTCAATGAATCAAGTTTATGCTCTGTGCCATCATCTCCATATTTATAATAGAGGTCAATCTTCGAGTCATCATAAACGGAAGCAAAAGTTCCTTCAACTGTAAAGGTTGTTTCGTTTATTTGAGCTTTATTGAAAGAATTGACGTGAATAATTGGTGGTAGTTTAATTTTGTTTCCTACTATCAAAAGAACATTGAATGATTGTTTCTCTCCTGGTTTAATAACTCTTCCGATCCATGAGATTTCAAATACTGAATCTGTATTTTCCAAAGACTCATCTGGATTTGAAACATTTCTACCAATTTCAGAACGATCGTCATGATACTGTCCCCAATATAAAGTGTCAACATTGGTAACATCATAACCATCTCTAACAAGAAGGGTAAGTATATCTCCTTTTCTTGGATCCTGATCATTTTTATTCTCCATTGAAAATCCTTTTCCATCCGATAATGGTAGGACTGCAGCACGATCGTCACCACCAATTTGAATATCAGCATATACGCCAATGTCAAATAGCTTTGATTCATTTCCATTGTTTGTTAGATCAAATATGACTCTAATATAATCGTCGCCGAGTGATTTATCGAATCTTGAAATAAATGTTAAATTTTCCTCGGAAATTGATCCATTATTTTCTGATAGAGCGTTATAAGTTACGTTTTTGTCCGGATTTGATGAATTTGTTGTATTCGTTCTTAATTGAACTCGCCAGCCAAAATTATCATATGTTGTTTGATAATCTTCTCCATATCTGAAATCAAATGCTCTATCGGGAGCTGTCTTAAAGGTGTAGTAAAGCCCTGAATTAATAAGATGCGTTAGCAAGAAAAACATTGCAATAATGATTTATATAAAAATCCCTCAATTTTTGAATGAAAATTATTTTGAACTTTTGAGAAAATTTTATTTTTTTTGGGAAATAATAAGGTAGTCACAAAATATAAGTAGTGAGGCTCTCAAAAATTGAACCGTAGTCCATACAAAATTTGTGAACCCTCACTACTTAGATTTTGTGGCCTTCAATTGAGAGGTTAGTTTTGATAGAGCACGATATAAAATTAAAAGGGAAAAATAAATAAAATTTAAACATTTAATTATATATAATGTAAGGAGCGTAATTCCAAATTTTCTAAAAACTATTCAAATTTGAGCATTTTTTTGGAAATAGTAAATCTGTTGCATGCTAAGTAGTGTCAATGTGTAAACCTCTCAATTTGATCGTCGGGAAAGCAAAACAATTCCCTCAAAAATATTGAAAAAATATAGAAAATAAAATGAATTAAGATGTACTTAAAATGAGAAATAGATTATGATATTAGATTTTAGAAAAAACAGACTTTTGATATAACTTTTGAGAATCTCATATAAAAAAGCATTTAAAAATAAATTTAAATATCTTATTTATTTTACTATTGTAAATATATTCTGAGATTTTTAGAAAAAAACACTTTTCATAAGTATTCAATATTTGAGAATACGGTCCAAAAAAAAATAGATTCTCTTATATTTGCTTATATAAAAGGAAACTCTCTATCAGATGCGAATGCCTGAATTCAGCACCTCTGATAGAGAGTTTCCTCTTATATAAGCATCTTTTTCATGAGTTATTGTTAATATAAAAACATAAAAAGCTACCAATATGAGAAATTAAACCCTGCGAGGCACAGTCTAGAACTGGCACTTCGCAGGGTTTAATTTCTCTTGACAAATGACAAAACTTGTTCGCAATTGTGAACCATTGCGAGCAAGTTTGCCAGATATCTGGAAGGAATTGCTCCTTATGATATATGCATTGTAACTGTATATATCATAAAGAGCAATTCCTTCAATTAAACGCAAAAACTTTGGTGCAATCGTTGCTGATTGCACCAAAGTTTTCGAACTTTCCCGAGGGAATTGGAGGGTGAGAGATACATAGTCTATCTATGTACCTCTCACCCTCCAAATCCCACTCTAAATGGGAGAAACTTTGTTCGCATGTTATCTTATTCAAACAAAGTTTCTCCCATTTAGAGAAGGAATAGGAGCCTACCAGGCACTGATATATAATCAGTGCTTTGTAGGCTCCTATTCCTAATAAAAATTTGAAAACTTTGGAGCATTTGATTATTGTATTTTGTCAAGAGAAATTCAACCCTGCGAAGTGCCAGTTCTAGACTGGTGCCTCGCAGGGTTTAATTTCTCATATTGGTAGCTTTTTATGTTTTTATATTAACAATAACTCATGAAAAAGATTTGCTTATATAAGAGGAAACTCTCTATCAGAGGTGCTGAATTCAGGCATTCGCATCTGATAGAGAGTCTCCTTTTATATAAGCGAATATAAAAGAATCTATTTTTTTTGGACCGTATTTTCAAATATTGAATACTTATGAAAAGTGTTTTTCCTAAAAATTTAATATAATGCTTAGCACAATATATAAAATTAAAATATCTATAATTATTTTCTATATCACACTTTTCATTACACCTTGAAAAGTCTTCTCAAACTCTATTTTTAATTATTTTTTAGATATATCTCAAGTGTAATTATTCAAAAACTCATATAGACTATATTTATTTTTTTCATTCAAAAAATTATATGAGAATCTCAAATTAACTTTCAAATTTTTTATTTTAAAAACATATTAATAATCATATTTTAAGATACTTTTTCGCCCAAAAAATAATCGTACTTCCTCGACGATTAATAGGATCTCAATTTCTAGAATTGAACGATAAAAATAATACAAACTCAACTAAGTTTCGAGTAGGGGTAATTTCAGCTAAAAGTGACACACCTGTAAAAAGTGACACACCCGTGAAGGGTGTGATTACCGATCGGTAATTTCGACAGTTTAGAATTTAAAATTTTTTATGGAACTGTTGCGAGTTTCATAAAGAATTTAAGGAATATAAGCAAAGATTTGAATCAAAATCTTAGACCTAAGCCGCTCGATTCGCTCGCGGCTTCCGCGAATTACAGATCAGCAAAGATTTGAATCAAAATCTTCGAACTAAGCCGATCGCTTCGCTCGCGGCTTTCTTTATTATTTTAAATTTGCATATTTCCATCAAAAGTTCATAAGGTAAAAAATTTCGTTTATATTAAAAGGTGACCAAACTATTTTTTGAAAGTCCGCCATAACTTTAATGGTACTATTTCAGCGTGTACAATGAATACAAAAATTCTAAGAGTGCCACATAAAATAGTACTTTAGACTTGAGTTAATGCTACCAAGCAAATGTTAAAAAGATGACTTTAGTGTTTTGATAATCAAAGATTAAAATCATTATTGTCTAAATCAATAATCATAACGACAGAAGTTAATGTTTTTTCATCAGTGCTTTAAATCCACTTTTAAAAGTATACCTCAAAAATCAAAATATCAAAAAAAATTGGCCGATAGGTTTGGCTTTAATTTTTGTCTGCTTTTATGATTTGATATGGATGTTATAATTTTAAAAGTTGAGCCAAATTCACCAATAGATTTTTGAGATTTGCAAATACTCAATAATTTTCAGCGTGTTATCTTTTATTAAAAGAACTATTTGGTTTCAGTATCATATAAATTGATATTTACTTTCTATTTGAACCTTCATTTAGCTAATGATTTAATAATACAGATTTCATCTAATCCTTATAAGAGAATTTTGAATTTGTTATAATAAAAAAACAAACAGATATAGCTTACACTTCTATAATAAAGATACCTTTTATAGAAATCAGTATGAAATGTGTTTTTTGACATGTAAAGCTCTCAATTCATTATAACATGTTTGTCGATTTTTATATATTTTTCGCTTTCATTATCTATGATATTAAAAATTATGTCATCAGAATGTGAAATAATTAAACAAATGCCCTGCGGGAAGTATTTTATACTAGAATTTATAAAAAAAATCACTGTACGTTTAGCCTACTGGTTATGTCGTGGGGTTCAAAGGCAATATGTTCAAATCAGTAAGCACCCGTTTTTTTTTTTATTTTTTTTAACAAGGTGAATATAACTTTTGATCGAAATCAATGAGTTACATGAATTATCATTTATCTAACTACAATTAAATTGTGAAAATATACTATCCAATATTAGCGTTTAATAAAATCAAAGATTATTGACTTATATTTTGAAAGTAATCTAAGCAGAATTTAGATATCCAAATTCTAAATATCTTCATGCTTAGATGCTAGATAATATATTCTTATTTGAAAAATTTATAATGTTATTATTTTCTTATTTGATATTTACTACAAGCAGAAAAGCATTTATATTGTAAATTAACAGATTATGATAATTATACTCGTTTTTATATGTTCTTAATGAAGAATATCAAACGTATTTCTATGAGTTTTAAAAAATGAAAAGTTTTAATATGGCTAATATATTTATTATCATTAATAGAATAAAAAAGTTTTTTTCGCATATCACTCGATGATTTACCTTCGAGTTTTGATAAATTTCGAAAAAATTTAAGGAATGCTCTTTGAATTTCTTTACCTATAAGCATATTATCTGCCGTATTATTTTTCGCTAATTGTAGAATTTTATTTAATTTTAATAATTAACCTTCTAAGCTTATTGAGAGATCACATTGTATATTTGATACGTAGTACATATGCTAAATCTGTGAATTAGATTGTAAGATATTGAACAAACGTTCTTAAACATTTTAGATTTTAGGGAATTACTGAATTAAACTATATTTCTTATATGATATCTTCATGTTTGGATGCTTTGGGTATAATTTATTGGGCTTTTTCTATCCAAATGTTTGGCAATGGTAACCCAATTTCTAACAAATTTATGATGGAAAAATTTATGACTTTTATGGAGCCGAAAAAAAAGCATATAATGAATAAGACTATTAAAGATAAGCTGTAATTTGATTGTGAATTTTAAGAAAAGAATTTGGATTAAAATTTGAAATTCTTTTTTTTTGAAAATTAGCCGATGATATGCTTAAGCTAAAAATTACTAGAAGCGGTGTGATATAATTTATATAAAAAAACTCATAATTGCCATTATTATTGGTACATATAAAGTCAAATTATAATTTGCAGTTATGCTTTAATCAAAATCTATATTGAAACGCTTTGTCACATCCATTAAAAAGGCTGTCGCATATAAATCCAAACATTTGCTTGGTATGTACTTTTCCATTTTAACGTCCTGATTGATATAAGCATGTTTTACACTTTAAAATAGTAATTATGACAACCTGTACACCATAGAAGTAGGCTATAACAAGAAAAATTAGATTGACATCGAATAATTTCAAGATTTAGAAACAATTTGTAGCTTTCTCAATTATCTAGAGTTAAAATTCATTTATAATGAGGTCATATATTTTAATTATCTTGTAATAAGGGTTTCGTTTTGCGAAAAAAACGTACAATACGCAATTTCGCTAAAAAACATTTAGCTAGCAATTTCGACCTTTGACTCCACTCAAGACGTCACTTTTTTAATTTTGCGGTATCATATTTTTGGAAAATCTTTATGAATATTATATAAAAAGTCTCTTTAATATCTATATTGTTGTAAACAGAAATTCATCAAAAGTGACACATCAGAAAAGCTAAAATATTGAATTTTTGGAACTTTTGATAGAGCACGTTTTTAAATATTAATTAAAGTAAATGTATATTTTGTAGAGATTCTTTTTAATAAAAAAGTAAAATTTTGAAGAAGAACACAAATCTTCTGAAAAATAATATCACATAAACTCATATTATTTTCTAATATATAACTATTTTATATAAAAATCAAATTCAATGATCTTAAAAGCGAAGGATAAACCTCAAAATTTACGAATATAATGAGTGGGAATATAATGCTTATCTATCATAAAACCATATGAAATATCAATTTTTGCTTTACGCCTAATTTTTGACGACAATTAGCAAAAAATGTTAAATGTTAACACTCAGTCCATTTGAATATGAAAAATAAAATTGACTTTGATTAAATGTTTTTATTTATCATGCAATTCTTCTTGCGACCAAAGATTTGAATAAAAGTTCAAAAAATAAGATAGCTTAAAAAATAATATACGGTAGTGTTTACTAATAGATGAATAGTATATAAATTCTATTAAAATGGATTTGATCCAAAAAAATATAAAACCAAAAATAATTGTTATAATTTAAATGAAGAAGTAATTTAAAACGATTTTATTTATGATCAAATTTTATATATTTTTTTGGATCAAATCCATTTTAATAGAATTTATATACTATTCATCTATTAGTAAACACTACCGTATATTATTTTTTAAGCTATCTTATTTTTGAACTTTTATTCAAATCTTTGGTCGCAAGAAGAATTGCATGATAAATAAAAACATTTAATCAAAGTCAATTTTATTTTTCATATTCAAATGGACTGAGTGTTAACATTTAACATTTTTGCTAATTGTCGTCAAAAATTAGGCGTAAAGCAAAAATTGATATTTCATATGGTTTTATGATAGATAAGCATTATATTCCCACTCATTATATTCGTAAATTTTGAGGTTTATCCTTCGCTTTTAAGATCATTGAATTTGATTTTTATATAAAATAGTTATATATTAGAAAATAATATGAGTTTATGTGATATTATTTTTCAGAAGATTTCATTCTATATGCCTATGAAAAGTACTCTCAAAACTAACTTTTTCCTAATTATAATTAAATCTAGAATATTGTATTATGCTTAGTATTATTTCATTTTTCTCATTCAATTTAGAATTTACAAATGTCAAAAAATTGAGAGCTGTCACTTTTGATGAATTTTGTTTATTACAATATTTCATATTTTTATCGATTTTTAAAGTTTTTGCGAAAAGTATTCGATTATTTTTGCTATTTGGTCGGGTAAATGTCAGATTTGCGACATTTTCTGATATGATATTCAGATTCTACGTTTATATAGTAATTTATGCTTTACATGTATTTTATATAAATTTTTATTGAATTCAAATATTCAATAGTTTTTTTATGCTATATTAGTTGTATTTATTTAAATATATTATATTGGCAACCTTTCTTTACCCTGTCCTAATAAACGCATTTTGTAAAAAATATAGTGCATCAGTTTCGAACTAGCGTCTCGGGTACCCAATAGTATGGGGTAATAACCATTCGACCATTTGCCACGTAAAGCATCGCCGGATTTTTTTGTATTTAATCACTCCCAAAACACTGTTTTGGCTTATTGGAAGCATATCAGACATAATCGCCATAATCAAAAAATCTATATACCCAATAAGTAATAAATTTGTCGATATAGATTTTCCATAAAATTAGTTTTTAGTCTGATCTTAAAATAAATTTAATTTTTTATAAAAAAAAATCACATTTAAAAGTACCTTTTTAGTAGCTCGAAATCCTGTTGGTGGATTTCGGGCGTACTTCAAAATTAGCTTTTCTTCTACATATGCAAGCTATATTTTAAATATGGGGCAAATCGGATCGGCGAAAGGAGTTTAGTTACCTTTTTATATTATTGCAAAATAAAATCTTCATTATCAAAATAATATTAAATGATAATATAATATAATTTATAAACAACTATTATTTAATAAAGTTTAATTGCCAAGGTTCATCTAATTTTTTGATTTTTAATGTTTTATGAATTTTATTTATCATGTATATATCTAATGAAGATTATATATGTAGAAGATAAGTACCTTAATATGTACGTAAAAATTAATGAAATTTATTTTGAATGTAGAACCGAGCAATTTTCAAATTTTGTGCTTTTTTTGAATTTTCTCGATACCAGATAAGTTGTGTTAGCTAAATAATATATGGATACAATGTGTCTTATAGATGAATATATGCACAAAGTTTAAGAGGCCATTTTCTTTCAGAAACCGAGATTTGTGAATTTTTTCAAATTTTGTGCTTTTTTTGAATTTTCTCGATACCAGATAAGTTGTGTTGGCTAAATAATATATGGATACAATGTGTCTTATAGATGAATATATGCACAAAGTTTAAGAGGCCATTTTCTTTCAGAAACCGAGATTTGTGAATTTTTTCAAATTTTGTGCTTTTTTTGATATTGAAATTTCATTTCATTTTTTTGATGCATATCGATGCACCATGCGAACTTAAAGAAAGGCTATCTTATATAGATGCTATGAAAGCTGTCATTGATAACGAATGCCATGCAGGTTGTCCATATCAATTAAAAAAAATCCAAATTTAGGGGGAACAAAATTAAAATTCAGGTGCAGTGCAGATAAATGTGAAGCATGTATCTCATTTCTAAAGGATGATGAAGAATATATCCTAACAGAATATAATGGAACACATAATCACAATCAAATCAAAGATGAGACAAAGAAATACCACACATTATCACAATGCTATCGTCGGGTACTTATTAATTTTATAAAACAGGGGGGGTGATCCGAAAATGGCTCAAATTGAATGCGACAAAAAACTTGATCTGGATGGAGTGGGGGACAAACTCGCCCATTGTCACTTTTCATTAACCTTAAACTTGTAATTTTCATTATTTTCTGAAATTAACTTTAAAAGTACTAAGTAAGATCATGAGATATAGCAATATATGTTTAAACCAACTTATATTTTGGTTGTACACCACTTGTATGTGCCGGATACCATTGTGTCAAATTTTTTCTGAAATTAACTTTAAAAGTACTAAGTAAGATCATGAGATATAGCAATATATGTTTAAACCAACTTATATTTTGGTTGTACACCACTTGTATGTGCCGGATACCATTGTGTCAAATTTTTTCTGAAATTAACTTTAAAAGTACTAAGTAAGATCATGAGATATAGCAATATATGTTTAAACCAACTTATATTTTGGTTGTACACCACTTGTATGTGCCGGATACCATTGTGTCAAATTTTTTCTGAAATTAACTTTAAAAGTACTAAGTAAGATCATGAGATATAGCAATATATGTTTAAACCAACTTATATTTTGGTTGTACACCACTTGTATGTGCCGGATACCATTGTGTCAAATTTTTTCTGAAATTAACTTTAAAAGTACTAAGTAAGATCATTTATTTTTGCATAATATAATGCCAATATGGTTTCTTTTGATTTTATTTCATTTATAAGCAAATCAGATTTACCCAAAAACTCCACTCCATAAGCGTTCATTTGCTAAATTAAAAAGTGACAATGGGCTAGTCTGTCCCTTTCTCGTTTGGTCACCTTTGTTCGTTATTTCGTGTCGATAAAATGGAATGATAAATGCTTGCCTCGAAAAATACTGTTAAAACTGATAATAAAAATTACTATTTTGAGCTCATATTTTAAGAAAACTTTCATATTGAAAAAAAAAGCAGATTCCTTCCATAAAATGACATGAATTGTGCATACGTAGTTATTTTTATTTTATTATTTTCTGTATATTTAATACTAATGACCTGAATATTTTCTTTATTGAATTCAGTCCTTATGTATTAAGTAGTGTATTGAAAAACAACTTTTTGATAGATAGTCAGCAATATTTTAATCAAACAAACAAAATTTATATAAAAAATATTAATCCCAACTTGTAATTTTCGGTTTTGAAGCAAATGGATCAACAATATTATCAAAATCAATACTTCCATCATCATCCCATGAATTTTGGACTTTCTTCTTTGGCAGTGTTGTTTTCTTCTTCGGAGGTGGAGGATTAAAAGCATCTTCTGATGGATCATCCCATGAATTATTATCAAATTTCTTCTTCTTAGCTGGTGCCTTCTTAGCTGGTTGCGGATCGATCTTGAATGCATCTGAAGAATTATCCCAATTCGAAGTATTTTTCTTTTTGGCAGGTGCCTTTTTAGCAGGCTGTGGATCGATCTTGAATGCATCTGATGAGTTATCCCAGCTTGTAACCTTTTTCTTCGGTGGAGATTTTGTTTGAGGAGCAACTCTGAAAGCGTCTGAAGAATCGTCCCAATTTGTGGCTTTCTTCTTAGGTTTTGGTGCAATGTCTACTTTAAATACATCATCGTTATCATCCGCCCAAATGATTTCGGTTTCTTCGGAGTAATCTTCTTCTTTGGAGGAGATGTGACCTTGAAAACATCATCATTGTCATCATCCCAGTTTTGGACCTTCTTCTTTGGCTTTTGTTGAGGTTTGATATCATCGTCCCAATTAATTTGAGAAGATTTTGGTTTAATTGGTCTCTCTTCAATGGAATCTGGTTTAGATGTGTTTTGCTTTGGCTTTTGGTCGATCATTTCCTCCTTTTCTTGAGAATTAGTAAATAATTCTTGTTTTGGTAAAGGAATTTCATCATTATCTGGAGGATTGGCCTTAATAGCAATCTTTGATTTGGGGGTTGCTGTTATTGCGAACATATCGTCCTCATCATCAAACTTGGATTTCGTAGGCGTGGCAAGATCAGTATCGTTTGAAATTTTTGGCTTGGACGCGAAGGGATTTTCAATGTTGTCAAGATCAAAGGAGTCCGATTTATTGTTTTCTTCTTCTTTCTTTGAAAATTCCAATTCACTCTTTTTCTGAATATCGATACCATCATCAACAACCATTCCTGTGCTATCAACTGGTGATTTCGTAATTGTGAGCAATGGATTGCTTCCGGTAATTGAAGATTCTGGTTTGATATCTTCAATTTCGTTCGCAATTTTCGGCTTTGATTTGAATGTATCAATATTTTCGTCGAATGTATAATCGTCTGGTTCTTGTTTCTTATCTGTTTTCTTTGGAGAAATTTCGACTTTCTTTGGAGAAGGAGTTATGGGCTTCTGGATGCTATTTTCTTCACTGATTCCCTTATTAGTGGCTTTTTGAGCTGCTGATTTATCAGATTCTGGAACTTTGGCTGAGATTTGGTCTTGATCTTTCGGATTTTCTGAGTTCTTTGTAGAAGTTTGTGATTGTGGTGGATCTTCATCTTGTTCCTTCTGTTTAATCTCGATTTGAGAAGATTTGTCTTGATTTTGGTCATTATTATTTTTAATTTCTGGTTTGATGACTGTGTTAGTTGATGGTTTCTGCTTCACTTTAATTTCTAGCTTTGTTTCTTGAGGTAATTCTTTATTTTGAGGAGAAACATTTTCAGATAATTTAACTTCCTTGTTTTGAGTTGATTTATTTTCAGGTAGAACTCTTTCTGGTTGTTTCTCATCGGATTTTTTACCTGAATCTGCTGGAATTTGTACTTCTTTGGTTTGAATTACCAAATCATCACCAGCTTTGTCAGATTTACTTGGATTTTGTTCTGGTTCTTTGAATTCTGTAGTTGTAGTATGTTCAGCTATGTTCTTGCTGTTGAAAGGATTGACAATTTTGACATCATCTGAATCATCATGAAGTTTTTCTGCTTGATGTTGTTTGTAAGCATTAGATACCTCTGAAGATTCGGTATTATATGAAAAAGATTTCTCAGAATCACTTGATTCCTTATTATCAATTGAATTCTTTGGTAAAATAAGCTGCGGATTAAAGTTTCCGTATTCTTGATTATTGTCTGAAGAATCAATCTTACTAAATGATGTTTTCCGAGAAGATTTTGAAGATTGAATTTTTGATGAAGAACTTTTTCGACTCGGAGATGGAGATTTAGAAGATTTGGATGTTGTTTGTGGCTTTGGAGTTTCATACTTCATAGGGATTTGTTTCTCCAACTGACTTTTAATATAATTCCTCATGATTCCATATTCAGGATCTTTTGTAAAGTCTGAAGAAAGGTCTTCTGTCCTTCCATTGTTCTGAAGATTTGAATTAATAATTTGAACGGCCTTGGAAATTTGAGATTCGTCGATTCTTGGGGTCTTCTCCTTAGATAAGAAGAATCTTGCGCGTCGAATTGGGTTCGTAACATCTGTAACAGGTTCAATTTTTAATTGATTATCGTAATCGTAAGATTTGCGAGGTGATGTACGAGAGACATGTGGGGATTTTGGTTTCTTGTTGAATATATCATCACCTTTTATGTATTTTGAGTCATTTTCTGTATCATAAGATTTACGAGGAGATTTTCTTGATTTTGGTTGATACATTTGTTGTGATTCGGATGTATCTTCTTGATATGTATAATTTTGCTGTTCTTTATATTCAAAATTATTTGGTTGATAAAATGGAAGATTTTGTTGTGTATTTGCTCTTTTTTCTAACGGCCTTTCTTCTTGTATTATGCTTTGTGTCTGCATTGCCTGTATATCAATGACATTTTCCGTTTTTGAAACTTTTAATGGCGATGGAGGAGTTTTTGTTGGAATATTCAATTCAACAGTCGAAGAATTATCAAAGGGAGTATTTGTGTAAGCAGGTCTTGATATTAAAAGTTCTTTTTTCTCAGCAAGATCAATTCCATGAGATTGTTCAATAATAAAATTGTTTCTAGTAGGGGAAGGATCTTCATGGAATATTCTTGGTTTGGAGATTGATAAATTTGGGCTCGAATCTTGAACATGGAACGGATTTAACATTTTTTCTTGTTCTTTCCATAAAATCATTGAAGATGAAAGCTCATCACAAGCCTTATCAAGATCATCGTTCAACTGCTTTCTTCTTGAGTTTTTCTGCTTAGTTTTTTTAGTTTCAACTTCTTGCTCTAATTCTGTAGATTCTTCTGGTTTATTTTGTTTTGGTGCTTGTTCTTGTTTGATGTTTTCCTGTAATTCATTGATTTTAACGAGAATTTCTTGAATATCATCCGTCTTTTTCGGAATTTGAATTCCTCTTATAGCATTACAATGTTCTAACAATGCTGGATGCTTATTTTGCATATGTATATCGACATATTGGCGAGATTTAAACTTTTTGCTGCATACAGGACATTTGTCACAAGAACCTAATGTTGTTTGTATCAATTCTTCTGCTTTTTTAAGTGTTTTCGATGTTTCACGGTATTCTTTTTTGACTACTTTTAGTTGTGACTCTGTTTTTGTTAGTTTTGATGTGTATTCGTTATTTGATTTTTACAAAAATAACAAAGAATATTGGAAAAGCTTGCAAAGTTTGATACAAAGCGGGTGATTTAGAACCTTTGATTCATCTTTATCTACCTTAGCATGAATTAGAAACCGTATTAATGCATTAACTTTTGTATTTTCTTTTTCTTTCTTTAATTCTTTGATATTGCATGATAAAACATAGTTCTAATCAAAGGATTCCCCTATGTAGTTTGTAGGATCGTACCTTGGTGAAGTTGCAAACACTCCTCCTTTAGCAGAATCGTATCCTTCAATCCACATAGAATTGAAAAGAGAAAAAAAAATATAAAAAGTTTTGTTTACATCTTATTCAAATTTACATGTCAAATTTTTGCGATTAAAAGATTTTTATATGATAAATTCACAGCAAGAAGGGATTACGCATCATACAGATGGTGGTAAAACAAAGTTAACATCATTATCTCGTATGTTCCTTATAAAAGCAGCTGAATGTATTTACGAAAACAGAAGTCCGGAATCATTGACAGATCTTGAAAAGGATAATCCACTATTTTCGCTGCAAATAAGGAAGTCAAATCAGTTAAGATCTATTCTTTCATCAAAACACTTCTTTGGCTGGTTCAAATTAGATATTATTCTTACAAATCCAGATATTGTTATAGAAAGATGGCATTTAATTCAACTCCCTATTCATCCTGATGCAAAAATGCAAACGAATTACAATCAAAATGAACTTAAAATTCAAACTTATAGAATAATGTGTCAAAACATGAGAAGTTTATATTCTATGTTGAACACTTTACCTGCAAAGACATTGCAATTGCAATTAAGTCAACTACCGATGAATAATCTTAAAATTAAAGCTGTTTGCGATCCATTTCAAAAATTGCCTGCGCAAAACGAAGAATTTACAGAACTGGAAACTGCCAGATTACGTTTTGGTCCTATTACAACACCTGTTGGAAGAACAGTCATTTTTTTGAATCATAGAATTTCTTTAGAAGAAGAGATCCCTCGTCCAATCATTTCTACACAACATTGGTATGTACCAATGGAACTACCATCAACTCAGAACTCTCTTTTGCAATTAAATGAATCAACTCCTTCTTGTTCTTTAATGAACGAAAATTCTCTGGCCAATGGTGCTTCTGCTGTTAATTTCTCAAATACACCTGCTTTCAACTCGATGAATCATGATGATTTCATTGCCAAAAATAGTCCAATAGCTGAAACTCCACCATCTCCAACTCCAACACCGCCTCCAGACATTATACCTATGTCTATTGACGATTTTGTTAGATTGGTTCAGGAAAATATGAATGATGGCTTCGAAGATTCTGTTTCATTAGATGATATTAAAACACGATTTACCGAAGTGAAAAATATATTGTTATTATAATATATATACTAAACTGTTATTTATGTTTTGTTTATTATCAAGTTTTTAAAAATTGCATAACAAATATGGATAATGTACTATTTTGATTCAAATTAGTTCGAATCAAGGAAGCAAAGAGTAACTTTAGAGTCATCCTTTATAAATGACTATTTAAAAATGTTAAATCGCTTCAAAAAATAATTTAATAATAAAAGCTTGTATCGGACATTTTTATATTTTTAATGTAGTTTTTAAGCAAATGATTAAATTCTTTGAAGCATTTGTGTAGAATTTCGTCATAATATAATATTATATTTTTATTTCGTATAAAGTAAAATCAGAAACATTGTAATAAGTCAAAACTCAAAAATTAAACCATGTAGATTTATGAAATTTCTCATCTTAATTAGATCAAGCCATTGGAGGTTGATTTGAAGGAGGTGGGTAACTTCCTTGTTGCTGCATTCCCTGATCGTATGGTCTAGGATTTCTATCGTATTGGCGTGGAGGTCTGTCACCTCTATAATTTCTATATCCTCTATCATAGTTTTGTCTTCTTGGCTGTTCCATTGGTTCATCTAATTGCATATCATAGCTTCTACGGCTATTGCCTTCATCTGGCCTATCAAGATCGCGATATTGTTTTCTAAATGGAGGTCTTCTATGCTGATAACGTGGATGTCTGTCCTCTGTAGATAATCTAATACGGATTTGTCTTCCTTCAAGTTCATAATCATTTAATTGTTGAATAATCTTGTTAGCATCTTCTGGATTTGTAAAGTCTGCGAATGCAACTCCTTTGGACTTTCCATCGACACGTCTAACGATCTGGATTTTGGACGCTGGAGCAATGTTGTTTATTAATGTTGTTAAGGTTTCATCGGTTGTTGTATAAGGAAGATTTGAAATATGTATAGTAACATGCTGAGCAAGCAAGTCAGTTCCAAGTGATGGTGCCTGCTGGGCTGGCGCTGGAGCTGCTGCCGGTTCTTGAGGTACTTCACCTTCAGACATTTACTGAACATACCCCTTTTTTTCGAATTTTTACTCCCCCAAAAATTTATAAAATAATTTTTTTCTGACAAAAATGGATAACTTTGTTAAGTTTTGGTCATCAAATTTTCTTGTACAAGTTTTTTCGAAGATGATTAGCTTTATAAGCAATCAGCTACTCGTTCGTTCATTAGATCCATCATTATTCGGTATCTGGAGCGTTAGATTAGCACTTGTTCAAGAAACAATTGTTTTCTGGGCCAGAGATGGTATCAGAAAGGCAGCATCTCGTAGCCAAAATCCACATAAATTTGCTATTTTGCCTTTTCTGATTGGTCTCATTGTTTCGCCTATTATTGTTTACATTTCTCTTAAATCTGCTCCTGAAGTTGAAGGATATACATTAGCAGTTATTATGACTGCGATGTCTTCAGTTATGGAGTTAATTGGAGAAATGTGGGCTGTTCCTCAACTTGCTGTTATGGATGGCTCAACAACTGCAAAGGTGTCCGGTCCTGCTTTCTTAGTTAGAAGTATTTCATCAATTGTTCTCTCAAAACTCTTTTATAAGCAAGAAGGAGAACCTCTACCATTAATGCTTTGTTTCGGCGCATCAAATATCATATTCGGTTTACTAGTCATATTCGGATTCTATTTCCGCTGCGGAAAGCCAAAAATAGAGTTCCCAACTAGAAATGAATACAATGCAATTAAACCATTCGCATTTCAGACAATTCTCCAATGGTTATTCTCACAAGGCGAGCGTATCGTACTAATTGCTTCGAATACACCAGAACAAATCGGAGTTTACGGATTTGTTTCTGATATCAGCAGCCTGATTGCTCGATTAGTCTTCGCTCCTATTGAAGCTGCTGTTTTCTCTATGTGCGCAAGCTCAGCTCCTTTACAATTCGATATGTATTCTCTTATTGTCAGAATCGTTGTTTACATTGGCCTATGCGCTGCTGCATTTGGTCCACCATTAGCGCCTGTTGTACTTCAAACTGTTTACAGCAAGAGATGGAGTGGAGATGATTCAAAATCAGCCATGTCCTGGTTTTTACGCATTATGCCATTCATGGCCTTTAATGGTGTTACGGAAGCATTCTCTAATGCACGTCTTAGTGAAAAATCATTGATGTATTACAACATTTTATTGGCCATTGTATCAAGTATCTATTTCGGCTTGATTTTCTACTTATCTAAGATATTTGGAACACAAGGAGCTATTATGGCCAATGGAGTTAACATGATTCTTCGATCAATCATGGCTATTACAGTTATTTCACGCGAATTCAAGAATTTCTTTTCTCTTTTCCCGAATATCATACAGCTGATAGCATTTGGATCACTCATTTACTTCCATAACTCAATAAGAATACTTTATGTCCTTATTCTTGCTCCATTTTATGGATTAATGATTCTCTTCTTCGAGAGACACTCAATTAAGAAGCTCTGGAATTCGTTAAAAAGCAAAAAGCGAGACTGAGCTTGTTTAACCATTCCAATGAGATGTAAATAAATATTTTGTGTATTTTTTTGTTTTAATTTTAAACTAAACGATTGTTTCATAGTTCCAATATGCAGCTATTAGTTTTGAACATTGTTATGTAATTGAAAATTAGGCCTTGTTCTTTGAAAATCTTCCTTCATTAGTATTCATAAGAATCTAAAACTGGATGAGATTAATTTGTGTGATGTAAAAATAACTGCATTATTGTTTTCTACTGATTCGAATATATTTAATACTCAAATATCACGTATTTGAGGAAAAATTGCCAAATTATTTGAAATTAATCTAAAAATTCAATTTTATATGATCAATCTTGCTTAGAAATCCTAAATAAACAAAAATTAGAACATAAATTTTTCCAAAATTTTGTATATTTTAAAAAAATAATTCTCAAAATTAGAAAATTTCATTTGAAAAAAGCAAATTTCAAAAAAATTTGGAAGAGATTTTAATTATTAAATCTATAAATAGAATGGGATTTTGTTAATTAATATATATCTTATGCGTTTATAATATTTTTTGAAATTTTTCATATCCAGATTGATCAATATGAAGCAAATCACATCTAACTTTGTTCCTTCCTTCATGTATTGTGCTGCAAACAAATATTATATAATTAAATTTCTTCGAAATACAAATCATCCCTATTCAAATGAGTTATGCATGTATAAATGTTAAATTAATTAACCCTCTACTCGTTTGATTCGAAATTGGGATCAAGAAATTTAATGTTGGTATTCCATACATTGAACTACGATAAGAAATTTTTTTTCGAAAATGAGTAATAGCCAAATTCTATAAAATATTATGTAAATTATATAATGAATGAATTCGCATTGCAAATGTTCAGTTTGTTCCGATATAAGAAGTTGAATTTTGATTTTCATTCAAAATAAAAGAATTTGGTTCATCATATTCTTATGTAAGCAGTAGTATAAAGAAATTCATGATGATTGCCACAAAATATAATCCATGATGTGCTGTTGTTCCATTTGAATATGAATTAGGCGGAATTTTCAGATTGTTTTATCTGAAAATGGATTCTTAAATACTTTTATATTAGTAAATTCATCATGAAATTTTTGAATTAATTATCGATAAGTTTTGTTAGATAGTCAAAATTCAAAAATTTGTGAACTATTTAAATCAATGCTTCTCGAAAATTTCATCGAAAAATCTTAATAATAGATATTTAAAGATAATAAAAATAATGCAATCAATTTTTTTAATTTTTGAATAGTTTGTGATTTTAATAAAAAAATTGTTTAATTAAGAAATGCATCTAATATAGATTAGATTTTTAATTCCAAAAATCATTTTTAATTTTTAAAAATTATTATTAATAACATTCTGGACCTATATAGTAATTATGCTATTAAATCCAAATTTTTTTTTCAATGCCTCAAATTTTGATAACACCTGTAATTAATTTTTATTCATATTATTATCCTATGACAGTATTCAAACATTGATTTTTATTATATTTTTGAATACTTCTTTCAAATATTTGAAAGGTAAATCTTGTGGAATTGAAAGAAACATTTTTACAATTCCCTAATTTTTGCACAAAACATTACTTACCTCCAACCACATATTTCAAGATTAATCTCATTCAATTTGTTTGTTTCAGAACGATTTTATATCACTTTTTTTCAGTTATTAGCAAACATGATATACGATTTTTCATCAGATGTACCAGACCTCTCATCAAAAATGAAAATACCCCACAACATTAGAGACTACGAAACGATTCAGCATCGAATGAAATTGAATCAAGAAAAACTTGGCTTCGTCGCAGCATACATTGATAGATATTTTGAGACACATGTAACTACAGCGATTCTCATTTCCTTAGCCAAAATTCTCATCAACAAGTTTGATCTCAAATTGGATCGTTTGGCAAAACGCAACAGATCAGCTCTCCTTTGCTGGTATGCAGAAAATTGGGATCTTATTCTACCATATCTCAGGCAAGGTAAACCAAGTTTCATCAAATCCACACTCGTTTCTCCAAATTATTCAATATCAGATCAAAAATTTGGAGAAAATCACAATTTAAACGATGATTTTGATCCATCAGACATCAACCATTTACTTAATAACCACTGACCTACCAAAAAAATTCACGAGAAAATTTGACAGCCTCATCACGGCTCTCCTTCTCAATTTCACTTGAATTTAGAAAAATCGCATCGGCATGGAAATATTTTATCATGCAAATATTTGTATTTTTAAACATGCATTATACCAATCTCATATTTTATTTTTTGAAAGTACCTTTGTGGCCATTCTCAGAAATTTAATTCAAGATAATAATAGATAGGATTTTAATTAAAAATGGATGTATCGACTTCATAGATATGAGATAAATCCAAATATTTTCAAAATATTTTCAAATAAAGTCAACTTTTGAAAGAGTAAAATTTATAATGATATTCTGTGAAAATGATTCAATATTAGACGTATAGTAAAACATATTTTTTGAAACATAAAATTGATTTGATCAATTTTTCTGATATATAAATCATTTTGTTTTTTTGAGTTCATTAATTGATTTTAGGTATGGAATTGAGAAGTATATATCATATTAAATCGATAAATTCATCAAATTATTTATCAATTAATTTATGATACCAATAATACCTAAATAATATAGCGAAGTTCTTAATGATGTTAAAATAATGACAATTGAGTGAGAGTAATGGCTTACACTTTGAATTATGATTTTTTTTTTTATCATTTTGAATACGTATTCAAGATAATACTAAGTTCAGCATATTGTTTAGTTCATTTGTTGTTTTAATAAACGATAGTTTTTTTTTGATCAATAATTTTTTTTTTTTGTTGGGCCCATCATGAAACCATGTTAAATTATGGATCATAAAGCAATATTTTGAATATCTTTGTTGATTGATTTTTTTAATTTAAAATGATATTTTGAAGTTTATGATCATGTTCTATGCTACTTATGATCTTATCGATCTTATAAAGTTGAAATAATAACTATTAAAGCCAAAAATAACCAATACTAAGGAGGATAGCAATTACTTTCTTCAACTTTTGAAACATTTTGAAAAATTGATAAGATTTTCGCAAATGTAGAATTTTATTCGGATATGAAAATATGTTAAATAGGTTCTAATTTTAATAATTTATTCAATATATTCAGAAAGTTGACTTTTTGAGATCAGTTAAACGCGTACAAACGGAAGATTAAACCCAGATTTGTTTCAGCATTGGATTTTACAACTTAAATTTAGTGATTGTATTCAATTATAGGGAAAATTACAGTTATCTTAATCTAAAATTATGAAAATATTATAATAATCATCAAAACAGATCTGTCTAAATAAAAATAATTGAAAAAATGATTTTCAAAGATCGTCTTTTTCAAATCAAAATATTTCCATTAAAATATAACTTGATTCAAAATGTACTATTGAATTACGCGGCCAATCATTATAACCAAAATTTCTGAACATCATAAAATTTCGCAATAGTATAATTTAAACTAACCTATAAAATCATATATACTTTCATCACAAAATCTTCCTTTTCAATTTTTTTCAATGCATTTGATTTTGGATTGATTTTCAACGCTTTGTTCCATATTAAGTTCTGTTAAAATGTAAGCTATTCAATTCTATCGTCGGGGAAAGTATCACAAATCTATCAATTTTTTTGTAAAAGTATACAAAAACATATGGTGTTCAATTAGTTTATAATAATATACATATTAAGATTATCCAAAATAAGAAAAACTAGGTTTTGAGAACACTTTTGAGATGATAATCAAAATATTTTGTTTGAAAAATAATATATTATTTATCAGATATAGAATGGATTTTTTCAAATTTAAAAATTCTGAAAAATAAACAGTTTTGTAAAGTAAAAAAAATGAACGAAAACTCGAGACCTCGTATTCCAAATGAATGGGTAAGATATATGTATGAAAAACTTGAAAGTGGTGAGTAAGGATGTCAATTTGGAAGAAAAGTGAGAAAATTTTGATTGTGAACTCATCTCTAATATTTTGGCTCCTTAATATATTTGAATCATGATCTTTGAGAAGAGTTCTCAAAAGTATTCACAAAAGCTATTTTTCCTTGAAATTTAACAATCCTGTTTATTATATATTACCGAATTCAATTCCCTACATATTTCAAAATATTCTATGAGCATTTCAATTTTTGAAAAAAAACATATTTTTTCCAAATATATTTATTATCATATTTCTAATAATATTTCCTAAAGCGTCACTTTTTACTTCATCAACGATTATTTCCCTCTCAAAAAATTCAATAGCTTACATTTTGACAGAACTTAATATGTAACACTTTCTTCAAACATCAATATTTGATTAACAGTTAACCTACTATTTTGTTTTTCATTATACCTTAAACAAAACACAAAATATCATTCATTTTACAATCCATCCATGAAAACAACAACAAGGTTCATGATATTATTATTAAATTATTGTCATTTTTACCATTCTCTAATGTGTCGATATGCAACATATCTACTATCCCTCTTTTATTCAATCCCTGATAAAGTTTGCATATTTTTATTATCTTTTTCATACAGACCATATTTAAGACATATAAACACCTATACCCCAATAATCTAAATATATGAGAAACTCAAATCTCCTTATTGATATTTTTTAAAAACAAAAAAATTCTACAAACAATTAGAATAACCACATTAAATTCTGATCAGATGAAATCATATCTCAGTGGTTAATAGCCTAACCCATTTACATTTATTTCTATTTCAATTATTCTTAGAAATATATCTTAAATCACCAAAACTTACACACAACACTTATCACTTCAAATTAACTGTTAATTACCCTTATTCCATAGGGGTGTAGGATATTTTTCAAATTTCAAATATAGTTTCTATTGTTGCATGCTAAGTAGTGTCAATGTGTAAACCTCTCAATTTTATCATCGGGAAAGCAAAACAATTCCCTCAAAAATATTGAAAAAATATAGAAAATAAAATGAATTAAGATGTACTTAAAATGAGAAATAGATTATGATATTAGATTTTAGAAAAAACAGACTTTTGATATAACTTTTGAGAATCTCATATAAAAAAAAGCATTTAAAAATAAATTTAAATATCTTATTTATTTTACTATTGTAAATATATTCTGAGATTTTTAGAAAAAAACACTTTTCATAAGTATTCAATATTTGAGAATACGGTCCAAAAAAAAATAGATTCTCTTATATTCGCTTATATAAAAGGAAACTCTCTATCAGATGCGAATGCATGAATTCAGCACCTCTGATAGAGAGTTTCCTCTTATATAAGCGGATCTTTTTCATGAGTTATTGTTAATATAAAAACATAAAAATCTACCAATATGAGAAATTAAACCCTGCGAGGCACCAGTCTAGAACTGGCGCTTCGCAGGGTTTAATTTCTCTTGACAAATGACAAAACTTGTTCGCAATTGTGAACCATTGCGAGGTAGTTTGCCAGATATCTGGAAGGAATTGCTCCTTATGATATATGCATTGTAACTGTATATATCATAAAGAGCAATTCCTTCAATTAAACGCAAAAACTTTGGTGCAATCGTTGCTGATTGCACCAAAGTTTTCGAACTTTCCCGAGGGAATTGGAGGGTGAGAGATACATAGTCTATCTATGTACCTCTCACCCTCCAAATCCCACTCTAAATGGGAGAAACTTTGTTCGCATGTTATCTTATTCAAACAAAGTTTCTCCCATTTAGAGAAGGAATAGGAGCCTACCAGGCACTGATATATAATCAGTGCTTTGTAGGCTCCTATTCCTAATAGAAAGTTCGAAAACTCGGTCGCAATTGCATCTGATTGCGACCGAGTTTTCGAACTTTCCCGAGGAATTGAAGGGTGAGAGGTATATAGTATGCCTATATGCCTCTCACCCTCCAATTCCTTCTCTGAAGCTGGGAAATTTTGTCCAAATGTTAAACTATTCAGACAAAATTTTCCAGCTTCAGAGAAGGAATAGGAGCCTACCAGGCACTGATATATAATCAGTGCTTTGTAGGCTCCTATTCCTAATAAAAATTTGAAAACTTTGGAGCATTTGATTATTGTATTTTGTCAAGAGAAATTCAACCTTGCGAAGTGCCAGTTCTAGACTGGTGCCTCGCAGGGTTTAATTTCTCATATTGGTAGATTTTGATGTTTTTATATTAACAAAAACGAATGAAAAAGATTTGCTTATATAAGAGGAAACTCTCTATCAGAGGTGCTGAATTCAGGCATTCGCATCTGATAGAGAGTCTCCTTTTATATAAGCGAATATAAAAGAATCTATTCTTTTTTGGACCGTATTTTCAAATATTGAATACTTATGAAAAGTGTTTTTCCTAAAAATTTAATATAATGCTTAGCACAATATATAAAATTAAAATATCTATAATTATTTTCTATATCACACTTTTCATTACACCTTGAAAAGTCTTCTCAAATTCTATTTTTAATTATTTTTTAGATATATCTCAAGTGTGATTATTCAAAAACTCATATAGACTATATTTATTTTTTTCATTCAAAAAATTATATGAGAATCTCAAATTAACTTTCAAATTTTTTATTTTAAAAACATATTAATAATCATATTTTAAGATACTTTTTCGCCCAAAAAATAATCGTACTTCCTCGACGATTAATATGATCTCAATTTCTATCGTTGACACTACTTAGCATGCAACAATCTAATATTTAATATTAAAAACAAGGGTGAAATATATATAAAAAGTATAAAATAGAATGTTGATTACCAAAACTTTGGTAAAGGAGTTTTTGAGAGTTTCGGGCCTTTTGGAACAAATGTAATATCGATCTCATTAAATTTCCTCGATTCTATGTTGGCCATATCATCAAGCTGTTCTTTAAGAAATGATATCTTCTTTGAACCGTTTGGAAATCCTTCAATTTTTGTGTATTTCTGGTCTATTACTTTTAATCTCTCTATTTCTAATCCTAAACAGTGCTTTGGATCTTTAGGAAAATATCGGGGCATCAGTTCATTTTGATAAGGGATGACGCAGATGATATCCCCATCGTTCATAGAATAAAATTTAAAGGTCATTGACTCTATTAGAACCTTCTTTTTATATATAAACAGACAATCTTCTCCTTCTATTGTTTTTAAGTAGGATATATTACTTTCTGGATGCACTCTAATCTTTCTAACTCCATGATCTCTGTTGAATGTCTTTAAATTAAGTGTTGCTTTATATTCTGTGGCAGTTGACATAATAAAAATGAAATATTAGTTTTGAGAAATTATTCAAAATAAATTACATATTTAGTATCATATACTTATCATAATTTTACAATTAGTAAAAAAATATCCGCCAATACATATTAAATTTTCTCTGAATCTTCACAATTTCGTTTCTGTTATTCGTAAAGTATTGAAATTAAGTAGTCTGACGATAGTTGATTTTTACTTTTAATACATTTTTTGAATATTTATGAAATCATAAGTGATATTAAAGATGTCGAATCTTAAATTGAATAGAGAAATATCGTAGTAAAATATTGAATAATAGAATTGAGAGTATGAATTATAGTTCATATATTTTGATATATATTATTTATAGATATAAATGAAATATTTTCAATAAAAATTTCACAGTCTCATCACACTTTTCAATGCTCGATTTTTAAAAACTGTTTAAAAATGGAACTTATATTGAAATAGTGTAGAGACTAAAAATTACCACAGACTATTTCAGAGGATTAAGTGGCTGTGGTAATTGTTAGTCTCTACACTATTTCAATATAAGTTCCATTTTTAAACAGTTTTTAAAAATCGAGCATTGAAAAGTGTGATGAGACTTGCAAAATTAATAAGTTATAATTGCATTTTAATGTATTATTTGATTTTCACATTGAGAATTTATAATAACTGAAAAACAGTTTATAACGGAATTCAAATTCGACCCAGTTTTCATGAAATTATTTTTATTCAATGTTTCCAATTTCATTCAATTCAATTTTGAATACTTCCAATTTCGCCATTCATACTTCTTATTTGCATTCCTTTAACATTTTAAATTTCTTATTTTCATATGTTATTTTTTTCGGCTATTCAATTTTTAGGACGGTTTTTCAATATATCGAACTTCATACCCATAATATATATATACAAATCAAATTCTACAATTTTTTTCATGAATAATTATACATTTCAATTGTTACAAATCTTACTTTTTTTTTCTCCTCATATCGTCCTTCATTTAGAACAAATGATAAATTTATTTTAAATACCATATCTAATCATGTTAAATGATTTTTTCTTTTCCCGGACAACAATTTTGTTACAATTCCTCATAAAATTCCTCACACTAATAATAATAACTCAATAAACAGATCCAATATTTCAAAATCCATCTATCCCACTCATATTATGCGTGTTAACTTGGGCTTTTTTCTTTTTCGATAAAAATTGGCCCAAGCAAATTTGTTATGCTTACGTTTGCCTGCTTATTTAATTTCTCTTTAATTGATATACCTTTTCTTCTTTTTTAATTTTTTTTCTCCAATTGGCAATTAAACAAATTGAATGTCTTTACCGACAATTTTATTACGAATCAAGTTCAAATCCTAAATCCCAAGTAAATTTTTGAATTTTTTTAGATTTGATATTTTTTTGGCTAAAAACCTTTTATATTCATTCTTGACTATCACCATTTCACCCATTGTAACGCTTCTGCTCAGCAAATTTATGTCAATGATTCTTCAAAATTAGTACACCATATCGCTAGATAAAATATACATTTTAATATCGTTTTTTAATTCAATACATAGACACTCTCAAATCAAAGTTCGCTTTACATATATGTGAACTTTCTCGAGAGAAAGCGTTTATAAGATTGGTCTAGTTTTATTGAAAAATGCAACGGTCGATTCAAAAATATTTTCTACCGTTTTAACGAAAATCAATTATTCTGATGATATTTTTCCTTCTCATGTTCGGGTTTTTAAACTTCCAGACAAAGAGAACAGCCCTTAAAAGTCATTCCTCAGGACATCATTCGTCTTCACATCATTCCTCTACTTCAACAAGAAGCAGATCCCATTCAAGCTCCAAAACAACACCTTTGGCAACCGGTCTTACAATTGGAGCCATAGTTATAATAATTGGTGTTGCATTAGGGTGCAAATACTGCAAGAAGAAGAAACAAGTTCAGGCTCAAGAAGAGGAAGAACAAAAGAAGAAGGATGCTGAATTAGGCAACCAAGATCCTGGAGTTCCAGCACAACCAATTCCACAAACATACGATACTAATCAGCAACAAAATCAAGCCATGCCTCCACAATATCCACAGCCAGATCAACAATACCCACAGCCAAATCAGCCTTACCCTCAACAAGGATATCCTCAGCCTTATCCTCAACCAGGATACCCTCAGCAATATCCACCTCAATATCCTAACCAGCCACAGCAATACCCTCCACAAGGATATTATCAGCAACCTGCTCCAGGAAATTATCCAAATCAACAGGTTTACTATCCTCCAAACAATCAGCCTCCTCCATCTAATTAATAATTATTTCATATTCGCTAATAAATGTTTGATTTTATTTTTAATTTCTTTTAAAATCTTGTTTAACAATTACCTGTTCTAACCACTATCTTTTCACACATCTCATATTAAATAATAAAGGTTAATTAGAATTGAATGTCATAAAAATTTAATGTTACATGTTAATGGCATTGGGTGCTCTCAATTTAATTGTTCTCAATTTCGATGGTAAAATTCTGTTCTATATTAAATAAGGAACAATCCCCATCAAAATCAAGTTGAATTGCTTCTCACAAAGAGTAACCTAAATCGCTCTCAATTTTGACAAACGCGAACTCAATATTTGAAAACAATCGTTCACTTTGAATTTTTGTGAATCTAATTTTTTATTCATTTAAAATGTTTCTTATACTCCTCATTAGCTATCTCTTTTCATTCTCAATAAGGGTTTCGTTTTGCTAAAATTGTCACTTTTATAGCATATTTGTTGGATGTTTTGCGAAACCAAAAAAAAAAAAAAAACTATGATATACAATGTGTGTGTAAAGAAAATACTTTATTTACTAGTTAAAAAATCATTTGGTATTGATCAAGTTATTTTTTCTGGATAAGATATTATATGGATAATTGGATAGAAAATACAATTATATAATCTTGTACCTGGTTTAATTAAGCTAATTATCATCAGAAACTTGTAATTTTTATGAATTTCAGATTTTCTTTTCATTACTGCTTTTCTTAATAGGTCAAGTTCTTATTTACGTTATAAAGTATGATATTTAGAAATATCAAGTTATCATGTTTTTTGAGAAATTATGAGAAACAAACAAAAATGAAAAAGATAGGAATAGCAATGAATAGTGATGTGGGTATAGAAAATGTAAGAGATATGAATGCAAAGCAATCAGTATTTAGGATATTGACCATAGATTTCGAAAAAAAAAAGCTGCATATTGAGCGAAAACTATGATTATATTATAAGGCTGTCATTTAAAGCATAATGAAACTATTCCCTTTTCATTTTAATCGAATAAGATAGTAAAGATTTTTGAATTAGCTAGAAACTGATGAGATGTTTTCACAAATCAGATTTTTAATCTCTATAATGCATAATTCACTCAATATCTCAATTTTGATATTGCGAGATATTTTTGCTATCGGTTTCGCAATTTTGACACAATAGCAAGAGGGTTCTATAAGCATTATTATCAACGTAGAATCTGAATATCATATCAGAAAATGTCGCAAATCTGACATTTTCCCGACCAAATAGCAAAAATAATTGAATACTTTTCGCAAAAACTTTAAAAATCGATAAAAATATGAAATATAGATATTAAAGAGACTTTTTATATAATATTCATAAAGATTTTCCAAAAATATGATACCGCAAAATTAAAAAAGTGACGTCTTGAGTGGAGTCAAAGGTCGAAATTGCTAGCTAAATGTTTTTTTAGCGAAATTGCGTATTGTACGTTTTTTTCGCAAAACGAAACCCTTATTCTCAAAGAATGATGTAAAGGAAGCATTAAAATCCCATCATCATTCATCAAAAACACATGTTACTGTTCATAAGACAACAAAACATCATCATAGTAATTCAACTCACACAGGAGCTATTGCATGTGGAACAAGCGCAGGAGCTGTTGTTATTATAGTTGTTGGAATTGTTGTTGGTTGTTGCTGCAATTGCAAATGTTCTAGTGAAGAAGCCGATGAAGATGAAGAAGTAGAAGATATTCCTGCCACACAACAACAAGCAAATGCTCAAGTTACAACAGATCAATCTCAGGCCCAAGCAAATCAAACTCAACAAACAACAGACCAAAACCAACCTGCAACAGATCAATCGCAAGCAACAGTTCCTCCTCCTGCACCTCAACCTCAGACATATGATGCAAATCCAGCTCAAAATCAGCCACAAGCTTATGACCCTAATGCTCCACAATATCCTCAACAGTACCCACAACAATATCCTGATCAATATTCTCAGCAGTATCCACAACAATATCCACAGCAATACCCTGATCAATATGCTCAACAATATCCTCAGCAATATCCACAACAATATCCTCAACAATATCCATAACTCGTGCTTTATGATTTTAATCCTCAGCCATGAGGAAACAGCTTTAATTTTCTGAAATATTATTGAAAATTAGAATTTGTTTTTAAATAAACTCGTATTATCATCTCATTTTACAAGACAATCATTTTATCTTGTTTACTTTTGAGTCCGCTTGTTCATGCGTTGTTTGAATTATGACTATTAAAAGGTAACTAAACTACTTTCGCCGATCCGATTTGCTCCATATTTAAAATATAGCTTGCATATGTAGAAGAAAAGCTAATTTTGAAGTACGCCCGAAATCCACCAACAGGATTTCGAGCTACTAAAAAGGTACTTTTAAATGTGATTTTTTTTATAAAAAATTAAATTTATTTTAAGATCAGACTAAAAACTAATTTTATGGAAAATCTATATCGACAAATTTATTACTTATTGGGTATATAGATTTTTTGATTATGGCGATTATGTCTGATATGCTTCCAATAAGCCAAAACACATTTCATACTGATTTCTATAAAAGGTATCTTTATTATAGAAGTGTAAGCTATATCTGTTTGTTTTTTTATTATAACAAATTCAAAATTCTCTTATAAGGACTAGATGAAATCTGTATTATTAAATCATTAGCTAAATGAAGGTTCAAATAGAAAGTAAATATCAATTTATATGATACTGAAACCAAATAGTTCTTTTAATAAAAGATAACACGCTGAAAATTATTGAGTATTTGCAAATCTCAAAAATCTATTGGTGAATTTGGCTCAACTTTTAAAATTATAACATCCATATCAAATCATAAAAGCAGACAAAAATTAAAGCCAAACCTATCGGCCAATTTTTTTTTGATATTTTGATTTTTGAGGTATACTTTTAAAAGTGGATTTAAAGCACTGATGAAAAAACATTAACTTCTGTCGTTATGATTATTGATTTAGACAATAATGATTTTAATCTTTGATTATCAAAACACTAAAGTCATCTTTTTAACATTTGCTTGGTAGCATTAACTCAAGTCTAAAGTACTATTTTATGTGGCACTCTTAGAATTTTTGTATTCATTGTACACGCTGAAATAGTACCATTAAAGTTATGGCGGACTTTCAAAAAATAGTTTGGTCACCTTTGACTATTATAATATTTTAAGATTTGGTTGGGTGAAACAACTCAGATCATTCTGTTATTGACTGGATACGCGCTATTTTATCGTTTGATTTCATTTAATTGAATTTCAGCAAATTAACTCCATGATTTGCCATTCATATGTCCTTTGAAGATTTTCTACTTACCAATGAGGTATATTTAGAATTTTTGAATTAATACACATTTTTTAAAAGATTTGTTTCCAATATCTGTTATGATGACCTGTTATGGAACGCTTTTTAATGTATTCGTGAAAGGATGCATATACTCTATTATTCTTTTAAAGTGTCACAACATTCTACTAATGCTCGGTGTTTTGTGATTCACAATCTACTATTCATCAAATATGTACTATTCTCAATCTAAAATATACCAACTCTAACACATTGTTACTTGATCTTGGTATGCATTCATCATAAAATCTACTAAAATTTCTATAAAAACTCGGCCCATTATAATTTTTGTTGCATTTTTTGTAATTACATCATCTGTATATACTAAAACAATATCAAAAAATGAGAATTTATTATTTTTTCCTCAAAATGACTAGATTTTATCAAAATTTAACAATAATTAATCAGCATAGTCACCAAAATCATATTACTCGTAATTTTTTTATTTAGATAAATTTTGTAAACATCTGAGTTTTTTTTTTCTACACCAGAAATGGACGAGAGGCAGGTTATTCGAAAACTTGATACCAGCCAAGCTCTTGAGAAACTCAAGAAGCTTCTAACAGAAGGCAAGGAATCCCTTGAATCTGTGCTGGAATTAGATGTTTCTTATCAATATTTGTACAGGACAGCTTCTGATTTTAAACAAAGTGATTTAGTTGAATACTATATAAGTTGCATTGATAAACTTGCTGAACATTCTCTTGGCGAAAATCTTGATAAGAAAACTATTAACGCTTTTAAGATAGTCAGTACAGAAAATGTAGTTCTAAATGAAGCATTATTAGTCTCTAAAGCATTAAATCCAGTAGTCAATAAAATCTTGTCTTCAGAACCAAAAATTCATCAAATTTCATTTTTGGCCAATATTTTACAAACTCTATTTGCTAAATTACCAGAAAAGACAATTCAAAATTGCGATTTCTTGCCAAAATTGTTATTGAATGGAGACAATGATACAATTTGTAGTTTCTTTTTTGACTTATTTAAGACCAAAGACGAAGCAAAACCTTCTACAATGCAATTTATTCTCGAAACAATTCCAGTTGAGATCACAAAAGCAGTAGAAAATGCATCAGACATAAATACAATTTCAATGGCAGGTGTTTATCGAATTTTCGCAGGTCTTGTCAAGTTTTCCGACGTAAAATCAAAACTACATGAAACATATATTGCAGAAAAACTATATTTGTCTCGATATCCTTCAAATAGTTACGTTCTTCAGATGTATTGGGATTCCCTGATACTTTTTATGGAAGAAAAGATATACGACAAGTTTGTACCACTCATAGAAAAGGCAATTACCTCTATAGCTTCTGCAAATAAGACGTTTTTTCAATATCATTCCTCATGTTTTAGATTTTTAACATTAATGTGCCAATGCCAAAGCGCTTTTGATAAATACAAAGGAATTTCTGATATTATTATCAAAGTTTACAAAGAATTTCCAAATCATACAATTGCTTTACATTCTGCCGAGAAACTTGCCGTCAAACTGACACTTATACCTATTATAGGACCTGCTGAAATCATGAATATCCTCCCTGTACTTGAAGAAAATATTAAAAACCGAAAATCAGTTATTATTTATGCTTGGTCGTACAAAATGATCACAGATCTCAAACCTGTATCACCAGAAATGACCCAATTAATCACAAATTCGCTTGACCCAGCTGTCCAAGAAATAATTGAAAAAGAGACCGAAATAATCAACACTCAGTACGGAGGAGACGTTCCTCCTCAGGCTTCTGAGCCACTTCATGATTATTCAGCTTCAGAAAGACTTTCCCTTATCAACTTTTTGATCCGGAATGCAACCAATATATTTAGGTTTTAATTTCGCTGTTTTATTTGTTTTATATTAATATATATTTATAAATGTTGTCATATTTATTATATGTATCTTCGCAAATCCTTACAATTTTTTTTTAATTTTTTACCTTGAAGACTATATCATATCAATGATATTCCTAATTTAGAAGAATATGTAATGCATTTTGATTATACTTGGCTATATAATAAAATATTTTGTTTTAATTATGCAGATTTTCCTTTCACAGATGCAATATTCATTCAAATATATGATATAATACTCATATACTAATAGAGGAATTAATGAAACCGAAATAATTAGGAAGAAAATTTTTTATTTCATAATGAATAGCTCATTTTCTACTACGTCGATATAAATACCCGTTCAAGTAATTCATATTATGACATCCGAACGTTCGGAATTCATATATCAATAAAAATTCAAAAATATTAAAGAAAAAAATAACGGAAAATTGAGAGATAATACAAAACAAGAAAATTTATTTACAGAATATATAGATGATATGGCAAATAACAAGAAAGAAATCATTCTTTTTTGATTCTTTTTGCTTTCTTTGCTTCAGCCTTGATTTCCATCATTCTCCTTCCAATTTCATTGTTAAGCTCCATTTGTTTCTTCTCGAGATCTTCAATAGAATGCTTAATGACGTCAATTCTCGGTTGAAGTGTTTTTTCTTCAATTTCTGCAATAGAAAGGTAAAGATCTTTGTTTCGAAGGAGGTCAGAAATACGAGATGAGCGTTGGTTTATCTCCGTAACCAAGTGTTCTGAAGATGCAAGAAAAGATTTGGATCTTTGGTCCAAAATTTGTCTCATCTTCGTAACTTTGGATGAAAGAGAATTTAATGGCTCTTCAACATTGTCTTCTTCTGGATGCTGCTTTTCCCATTCATTTGCAAATTCTTCGTCAGAATAAGGCCTGACAACACTGGAAACCTCGTCATTGATCATTCTTTCAGCTTCATAAAGGGAATCTGGTGGGATGGCCATTGATTTATCGTCTGTCAAGAAATTCGTTTCAATTGCGTCATTTATAGGAACAACAAGCGTTGGAGGAGGTCTTCTAGTATCAGGATGCTTTCTGGCATCCATAAGTGCAAGTTTGAAAGCTTCTTCTCTTATTAAAGAATCTGCCAAATCTTCAACGCGACCAACAGTTTCTAGATAATCAGATTTCAATGGTATAGGTCTAGGAAGAGATTTCTCGTAAACAGGAGTCTTGTATTCGACTTCTTCCTTTTCAATTTTTTCTTCAATGCTGAAATCAAATTTATTTTGCTGCTGCTTCTGCATTCCGTTAAATAATGATAAAGATGATCTCGATTGAAGATATTCTGAGTTATGATGGCGAAGTTCTTCGATCAATTTTAATTCTGAGTCAGAAATCGTTGGCTGAGGGAGAACTAAGTCAGTACGTCTATGATCTATTGGTGTTTCAAGCTTTTTCTCTTCGTTTTTGAGTTCTTGCTTGAGATGATCTAAACTTTCTAAATTTTTCTTAACTGCTTTCTGTTTTGACTTGATTCTTATCAATCTGTTATCTTTGAGAGCTTTATCGTCTTTATCTGTATTGAATTTAACAGAAAAAGGCTTATGAGTGCGAAATGGATCAATTTCGATTTCTTCATCTTCCCACAACCTCTTTTCTTCAATAACAAGACCAGCAGCATCAAGTTCGCGTTTCTTTCGCATCTTTGCAATTTTTCTAAGTACATTTAATTGACGTTCTCTTGCTTTACGACGAGCTTTCTTTCCTTGCGTATTTGCGAGACGGGCACGAGCTTCTTCAAGCATTTCACGCTCATCTTGGTCGAATTCTTCGCCATCTGGAGTTGCTTTGAGGGTTTCAAAATTTGGCATCATTTGGTGTTGAATTGCGGACTCGTTATCATCTATATATGGTGTATTTGTAGCCTTGTCAATAAGTTCACGATATCTTTCTATGCATTGATAAGGAGATCTGTTAAAATATTGTGAAATAGTACGCCATTGCATAGGCATAAAGCGAGCAAGGTGAAGTAATTTCTCATCATCAGCATGAGTCCATGGTGTTTTCTTCAATGTTGGATCTAAATATTCTTCCCAACGAGCTTTTACTTGTGCAGGTGATTTCTTTGGAAGAAGAGAGGCAATTCTTGTCCATTGGTTATTACCATACTTCATGTACGCAGCGAGGAGAACTTGATCTTCAACATTTGACCAAATTCCACCTCGAATGAAGATTTTCATTTTTGGAAAAGTGACAAAATTGGATTTTCTTTTACGATCAAAATCAAGAGAATTCATCCTAGAATCTATAGAACAATCAGATAAAAAGGTATTTATGTCATTAGTGCTCTCATATGAACATGATATTTCATCAATAATCGATTGTTATTGAAAATTTTCCAAGATATTTTACATTTAACTACCAATCTAACCAGTTAAGCAAAGTAGCATCATGTAGTAAATCACAGAAATACCAGACATTTTACAACAAACAGAACTAAAAAGAAAAATAATTTCCTTATTTGAACTCAATATATAATTATAATTGTAATCATTACAGATATTTCTAGTATATTGACTTGACATATACATTTTCCATCTACAAACCTTTCAAAAAAATTTTGAATATAATTTATAGAAAAATTTAAACACTACTATATAGATTTACTTATATTAAGTGTCATGACTTAAAACTCATGACTTTTGTTCAGCTTGTGGTTCTTCGATAATAATTGGTTTCTGAACCTCATCTAAAAGAAGAGACTGAGCTAAGACATCATTATTAGTCTTTTCGACCTTATTACATAGCTTGTCATCAGGATCTTTCATGATTATTCCCATGAGAATTGCGACACTTGCGCAAACAGAGCTAAAGAGCCAAAGTCCGTTCTTGTAACCTTCCCATGTATACATATCTACATCAGAAGATGTCGGAATTGATCCATATCTCGGAATAATATCGGTAGAAATCAATTGAAAAACAGCAACACCGAAATTCAAGAAGAAATTGGCAATTCCAACAGCAGAACCAGATACCAATGGTGTGTAGTAACTAGTTAAGATCGGATAATCAAGACTTAACACAGATCTTGAAAATGTTCCCAAAATAGTGAAATAAACCCATATCATTACATATGATACATGATCACCATGAAGATACAAAGCGAAAATAGGAAGGAAAGTGAAAATTGCTGAGAAAATCAAGACGTATTTCTTTGTTTTGACCCATTTAGCAATTGGAGGTAATATGCCTGACCCTATGAACACTCCAATATGTAGAGCAATCATAGCATTTCCTCTTGTCGTTTTAGAGTATCCAAGAATATCGCAAAGATAAGGGCCAGCCCAGAGCCCTGCGATGTTCATGAACGTAGTGACTGTACATACGTTGAAGATAACAACAACCCAGAAGTATCCATAGCATAAAACTGTCCAAATATTGTAAAAAAGGGTTTCGAGCTTCTTGCAAAACGATTCGTCTGGTTTAACAACAGGAACAGGATTAACCGGATCAAATCCTTGCTTCTCTGGACTGCCTCTAGTAAAAATAAGTACAATTAAGCTTAATACTCCACTAATTCCACCAAAAAGGTGGAAAGCAACTCTCCAACCAAACTTCTTACAGAAGATCGATAACGGAGAGCCAGATAGTAATCCTCCAACACATGAAAAAGCCATGTTTATGCCTAATGCTATTGGTAATTGATCTTTTAAGTACCAGTTCGATATCATTTTGAGTGCAGCAACGTATGTTGGTCCTGTTCCAAGGCCTACAAGGAATCTTCCAAGTGATCCAATCCATAATGTTTTTGAAAAGCCAACAAGACATGAACCACCAGCAGAAACAAGACCAAGAACACCAAGTACTATCGCAGGATCAAACATATCTGAGAGTAAACCTGAAATTATTTGCATTATTCCGTATGGATAGTAATAAGATGCAGAAAAGCTACCTAAAGATTTCTTGCTGACATTGTAACTTAGTGCCATATCTTCTGCGACAACAGCTGGACATGTTTTCTGGAAATTCGCTAAAACATTTAAAAGAACTAGATTAACGAACCCAAATAAACGCATGAAATAGAACATACGTGGTCTTTTAGGTTCTTTAGGAACTTCTACTTCAGATCCAGGTTCTGTAATCGAAACTAAACTGTTGTCGTCTTTTTCCATTTTTGATATGAAAATTTCAATACATTACAATTTTTTGTGAGATTTACAAAATACTATGAAAAATAGCGATAAAGATTTCTCCCTTTTTCAATTTTTACACTCTTTTATCGTTGATGTTAATTCCAATCCAATGATGTAATATTTTCATTTTCTACTTTTTTCATTTTTTGTCTAATTTGGTCACTCACCAAATCTATTGAATGATTAAGTTTAGATAAGATCTATAGGAGATATATGCCATACTGATACGAGATCCATGTTCCGAACAGAAAAATGTTCATTAATGTTTCAAATTAACGATCCAGGCATTACCATGAACTTGTTTATGATTTGATATCCAAGTTTATATACAACCTTTGCATTAATGCACAAACAAAGGTGAAGAGATCAAAAATATAAAAGATCTTATCATTCTTTGCAATCGGCTATCTTCTTAGTAAATTTATTCAAAACATGGACCACATATCATTTGCCCCATAGATATTGAGTTCAAATGTAGCTTTTGCAAAAAATTTGATCAAAATTTCATTGTTACTGGCAGCAATAATCAAAGACAAAAGCATACAATCATCGTTATAATTCAATTTTAAAAATATACTTTTATTAATATTTATGGATGAAGATTATAAAGAATTAGACTTTTCTATTGATCTTCCAAAATCAAGTTTAATACTGAAAATGGAAGAAAAGAAAAAAGATAATGGAAATTCTGAGCGAAGCAAGCTTAGTTTTGATAAATTTAAAGAGACAATTGAAGAAATTTCGAATTTAAATACAAATCCACTTAATTTAGAATATAGACGAATGATGCTCACTAGGATCCAACTAATTGGTAGTAGTTTTCCTGAGATCAATGAGGAAATTTTGATTTATCTTGAAAACTCTGATTTTTTAGAAATAGTATTGTATTTTATAGACAATTACGAACTCACTAAAGAAGTGGAAGATAAAGATGATGATTTTGGAATACTCGCTGCATCTTGCATTTTCGTTATTTATAAATGTCTAATGTCAAGCGATCAACTATCAACAAAGATTATGAATTTAGGCTACTTTGACATAATCGAAAAAGCTATATATCAAGTTCCATTACATTTAAAAATTTATCTGCTTGAATGCACAAATTACATGTATAAAAAGGAGGAACTAAACGGGGAACAGATACAAGGAGAAAAATTATTACCAGTTATGAAGCTTTGCTTGATTTCTGAAGATATTGAATTGAGTATTACTACAGCTTCACTTCTCAGTAATATGTGCAGACATTTTACTAAATTTTCTGATGAATGCCAAGAGTTACTTTTCAATCTGATTGCTATTTGCTTTTCAAGAGAAGATAACAGTTTACTTATATTTGTAGGCGATGCATTAAGCCGCATTTTACATTTAATAATAGGGCATCCAATTCGACCAATTATTGATATGAGTTTAGACTTTGCTTGGAGAGCAATTCAAATTGAAAATGAAGATATTCAACTTTATGCACTTAAATGTGCAACAGAACTTCTGCTACACAAAGAAATCGAAAACATATTCAGAATTATTAGTATTGAAGATGCTGCATCATTTTTAAATTCATTTACAGAAATTTTGGTTAAACAATCCATCGCATTCTTCTTTTGTTTAATGGATGAATATTCAGATCTTATTGACGATGTAATAACATCAACAGTTCCTTCGAGAATTTTATCTTTAATGGAATTTGCTCCTTGTAAGGTGAAAGACTTAGCTTTTAGATATTTCTTCTGTCCAATATATAGAAAACCAAGTTTGAGACTTGATTCACTTATAAATGTGCAATATTTGGAAAGATTCTTCGAAATGATACCAAATTGTCATGGAACTTCCGTTTATATTGATTGCTTAGAGACACTAATTCAATATCCCATGTTTATTGAAATAATAAACCAAATTGACGGCGTTGATACTCTCGAAGAGGTTTATGACAAAATTGACGGCGATGAAGCTGATAGATTGAATCTTTTGCTCGATAAAATTGCAGAACTGCAAAAAGATGATTGATTTATATTAATAAATTGTTTGTATTTTATTTTTTTAATCATTCATTAATTTTTCATATCCTATTTACTAATACTGCTTAAGATATTTAATATTCATATGACCAATTGCCAATGATATATGATAAAAAATTTGGTTATAAATATTTTAAACAACAACCTATTGATTTCATAATGTTTTTATATAGACATTCAGTAATTAATAGTTATACTATGTTTTCATCATTTTTTATTATGGAGTCATCAGAACCAGGGATATTTCGTTCATGGTCTACTCCCCATATTGGTTCCGTTCCTTTAGTATCACCGACTATGCTATCTAATATATCATATTACGTTGGATTATTTGAGTTTGCTCAAGGTTCTTCACCAAGAATTGTTTGGGATAACGATGCCAAGTTGATACAGAATAGAGATTTATTCTTATTATATATTGTTAATACACCAACAGACTTTCCAAGTGAAACTTACATTCCGAAACCTACAATAATAAAATCTGTTTACAATGATTTATTCTATATAGCAATTTACATGCAAATAAATGATGTAGAGGCAAGAGGTTTTACACGACCATTTGTTTTAGTAGTTGCACATCCAATTAAAAAGCTTATTACACACCTTTATGAAACAAAAATGGAAACTCTTGAAAATTATGCGGATAAATTACAGAAATCAGCTGCAGAGACATTTCCTCATGATATTCAGAAATATACTGTTTCAATTCGAAATACAATCGAAAAACATCCAGAAAGTAAAGAACTTTTGCAATCAAAGGTTAACGAACTTGAATCAATGATGAAACTGATGAAAATTACACCAGAAAAAGATATAGAACCATATGACGCAGATCCAGAATATTTCTTACACATCAAAAACGACCTTAGACCAATCAAAAAGCTTACGCATTTCAATGAGATCAAATCAGACTTACTGAAATTCATATCAAATCTACCAAATGACGTAATTCAGAGCAGATCATTAACACAATTACGAAAAGAGACTTATACAATGATCGAATCAGTTTATCTCAGGGATAGTCCAACATTAATTAACATATTTAAGAACAAAACAATCATGGATTGCTTGTTTACGTTATATTCAGGTCATACTCTCTTTATTTTAGCGAATGACACTAATGAAGCACAGGCCATTGCATCCAGAATAGCTGTTTTGACCCCATTTGGCCAACCATTTCCTGTTGTTGGCTCAACAGAAAGATCAGATATCGCGCAAATTGTAATTTGCATGTCTTTCGATCCAGAAAAATACCAGAACTACTCATTAATGGACCTGGATAACCAAGCAGAATTTACAGGCATAAAATGTCCTCAAGACTCAATTCTAATGAAGGAATTACCAAAAAACACCGATCATTCTTCAACTTCCCTCGTGTCACTTTTTTCAATTGAATTGAAAAAGATCGGAATGCGCTTTTTATGCAAGATGATGGAGCTTTCTAGGAGAGCATCCCAACCTGAAGAAAGAGTCGCCCAACAAATGCGAAGCATCGGATTTTCATCCGCTGATGAACCAATTCTGAAGAACTGGACAGCTATTGCCCAGCAAATCATATCTTCTATACCATAAAATTGTTTTGTATTTATTATTTACACTATATTTCTTTATTTTTCACAAAATTATCCAAAAAGCTATTAATTGCTTAAAATTAGTAGGTAACATATTCATAGAAATTTAAGTTATACTAAAAGGACTTGAGTATTCAAACAACAAAGGCAAATTTAAAAATCATTTTCTGTTTCTTTTTCCTAATTTTGATTAATAGTAGTTATTTAAATATAATTCAAGGATCTCACAATATTTTTTCATATAGTTTCTTTGAACCCTATGCCGATTCTTTGAAAACAAAATTTCGATAATTTGAGATGACAAAAGGTGACAAAAATTTTATTATGGATCTTGGTGCAACAAAAACTAATGTTCCCACTTTCGAAACAGATGTCACATTAGTACGTAAGATCAAAAATTCGCTTGGTGTCATTCAAGATAACAAATTATTACTATTTGCACCATTTTCATTAAACAGAGCATTCACAGGTATCCACTACACAATATTTAAACATGATTGCAAGATTATGGATGTGACGTTCATTCTTGCTAATGACATGTTTTCGGAAAATCCCTATTACGAAAATTCAATTGGATATCCTACATCAACAATGATTTTATTTTATGATGCCGCTCTTAATTTTTATATCCTTGATGCGACCAAGCAAATTATCCAGTGCCAATTCAAAATTTCTGATAATGATCGCGTAATTTCATTTTGTGGCTCTTCTGTGAAGCCAAATGAGTTTATTGTATTAACACCAACTGATATTTGCATATATAATGTTGATTCAGAGATTGCAGACCAAATTTTTTCAACTCCATTTAGAGCAAGAAGAATTATACCATTTGGACCATACTATACACTTCTTTCGAACGATGAAGTTACAGTATTTGATGGAGTTAACCTGAAAAAGTACTTCCAAGGTGATGAAATCGAAAGTTTCGTAATTTCAGATGATGATATTATTATTTCGAGAAATGACCCATCACATGGAACAACACAAAGTAACATATTCGAGAAGATCAGCAATGGAACTGTTAAAAGTGCAATTGGACTCAAAAAAGTTTATGATAATCTTTGGGATGCAGCAAATGGATGGATTGTCACAATGGTAAGGACAGGAAGCCTTGCCATTGGAAACATTAACTATCCAAAGGCCAGAGCTCTTATTAAAACAGAAACTCAGATTGAATTACCAAAATGGCTCTTTGCTGGCATCATTAAGCACGACAATGCACTTGGAGTAGTCGTCATAGGCTCAAACAAACTCGAAACTTACCAAGTTCCACTTGATTCTTTGAATAAGCTTATTGAATAACTTGTTTATATTTTTTACCTTTTGATGTCTTATAGATAATAAATATATTATGTTTTTATTATGACTAATCTTCTATTTCTTAATTTTTTAAATTAAAATTTTAATTATTTTGAGATTTGAACGAATTATACTATTTGTACCACTTTACTTTCCAATATAAATAACAAACTATAAATATATTAAGATAATGAAAATATTAAGATATATGTAGATAGTCGCTATTTATACAAACAAATAAAAAACAAATAATACTAATTAACAAAAAAATTCTTAATTCACAAATCCACGTTGTGAATGAGCAGAATGTGGTTGTTGCATACTATATGTTCCTACCTTGGGACCACTTCCGAATCTCTTATTGTACTCATTTTCTCTTGAAACAATCAAAGATTTAATTTGCATAAATTCTTGAAGTTGAGATTTGAGGAATGCAGTTGTATTGACAAGTTTCTTTTCAAGCATTTCAATCTTTTCAACATCACACTCTCTAGGTTTCGTTATATCGAAGTTTGCATTTAATTTCTGGACTTCTTCTTCCAAAACTTGGATTTTTTCATCAAGGAAATCACTCAAACCAGTTAAATTACATTGTAATTTATGGACTTCTTTTTGGAAGTTCTTTTCTGCTTTCTCTAAGTCTTTCTCATTCTGTGACTTAGTACTTGAGATAATGATTTCATTGGTATTCTTATCATTAGCAATCTTCGATTTAAGCTGCTTAATCTTGATCCTTGTCGAATCAATTTCATTGTCATTTTTAATGTGAATTTTCTCCAAATTCTGGGATAATTCAAGAGAAGTTGTTTTATCATCATGTTTTGACTTTTCTATTATATCTTCTAGATATTCTTGCTTTTTCAAGAAGATTTACTGAATTCTCATTTTCTGATTTAATTTCTTGGTTCAATTTCTCAATTTTTGTTGAAATATCAACATTTAATTTCGAAATCGAATCTTTCATTTCTTGAATTTCTTGTGTTTTATTGTTATTCGCAGTCTTTATCATATTCTCAAGTATTTCATCAACATTTTCTAATTCATTCTTAAGAGAATCTACTTGAGTTTGATGCAAAGGATTTTCTAATTCTGTTTGATATAATTTTGATACTCTTTCTGATTCTGAATTTAACAAATTAAGGATATCACGAAGTTTCTTTTCATCATTCTCTCTTGATTCAATGACACCATCTATTTGACTCTGCAAAGTATGTTTCAACTGATCTCTGCCTCTTGTTGAAGGTCCTTCTCCAATATTTTGATGTCTTCTTTCTTCATCTTCAATTTGCTTTTTCCAGGAATTCAAAATTGTTTCTCTTTCTTTATCTATTGAGAGTTTCTGACCATTCAACTCGTTTTGCAATGTTTCTACAGTTGCATTTAACAATGCAAATTCTCCATTGCCTGTTCCTGGAGTTTTAATTGAATGAAGATTATTTTGTTCAGTTGTAAATTGTTCTTTTAATGCAACAATCTCAGGATCATCTTGGACAGGTGGAAAATCATTCTGAAATCGTTGTTTTATCTGGTTTATCGCAACAATATATTTATTTGTCATCAAATCTTGGAGATTCTTTTCTTCTTCTTGGATTTTCTGCATTAAATCATCAACTTTCTTATCAGATTTCGACTTTACATTGTTGTAGGCATCATCATAGTCCCTGGAAAGAGATTCTTCGTTTAATTTGTTTTGAAGTTTCTGTTTTTCGATGGCATCTGATGCTTGGGCATCAAATTCATTGATCTTCTTGGTCTTTTCTATCATTGCCTTTTCTTTTTCTTGAAGAATTTGATTCAATTGTTTTCGATTTTCGTTTTCTTGTTGATTTCCTCCTCTCCTCAGAGCATTTAATTGATCTCTAAATGAATTTTCTTCTGTTTTATATGCTGATGCCTGATTTTCAACAATTGAATTTAATTCACTCTCTTTCTTTGTCCGTTCAGCTTTATTTGCGCTTCTAAGTGCTGTTAATTCTTTCTTAGCCTTTTGTTTTTCTGATTTGAATGGTTTAGAAACAACTTCAATTTGAGATTTTGCGTAATTTTCTTTTTGAGTTAGTTGGTTTTCTTCTTCTACATATTTTTCTTTAAGAGCATTCAGTTCTTGCTTGTTTTGTTCTCTTAATTGAGCAAGTTCTTTAGACAGTTCTCCAGATTCTTCTAAAATCTTATTTTTCTTCTCTAAAAAGTCTGCATTTTCCTTTTCTAATAGTTCTGTGATTTCACTCTTTAATTTCTGATATGAAAATTTCAATTCTGCTTGTGTAAGTTCTAATTTCTTTTGTTTATCTGATAATTCTTGAGATAGTTTTGCCAAAAGAGCTTGCAAGTCATCGCGAGCCTTTTGCAATGTCTTGGGATCAATATTTGATGAAGAATTTTTAGCAATTTTCATGATATCTTTGAATTTCTCTCTTGACTGATAAATCCACATTCTATGAGCATTGACAACGTAATTATAGTCTTCATGCACTGTTTTATATACTTCTGACATCTGTTTGAGTGTATTTTTATGCTTTGTTAAATTATCAATTTCTTTCTTTGAAAGTTTTGGCATCGGCTTTGAATTTTTGATTGTATCAATATCACTTTGGTGTTTCTGACGCATTTCATCAAACTTTTTACGTGATTCTATAACAAATTGGTTTTCTTTTTCATCTGCATTTTTAATGAATTCTTCAATCTCTTTATTACACACAGATTTCATGTCTTTACACTTAGTAGATAGTTCTTTTTGTACTTGATCTGCATTTTTCGTGTAATTATCGACTAATTCTTTTGTTTTTGAAATTAAAGGTTGAGAAATCGCATTGATTTGAGTCATTAGATTATCAAGTTCTGATAATATTTTTTCTGCACCGTTTTGAATGTTTGCTGTTTTTTCTGAGATCTGAGTTTTAAATTTTTCGATATTTTGCTCATATTTAGATTTGTACTTCGAATCTATTTCATCTTGCTTATCACACTTTGGTTTGATATCGCTTTCTATCTTTTTTTCATAATCTTCAGACAATTTTGCAAATTTTTCGTCAAATATCTTACCTAGAGCGGATTTTTGGAATCTTCTATCTTCAATTTGTGTTTTAAAAACAGTAATAACACGCTGTAGCTGTGCAATCTTTTTACATGTGTTGAAACGCGTTGTTTTTGAAATTTCCATTGAAGATAAAAAATAAAAATACTAACGTGCGCATTTTCAAACTTCTCATCTATATTTCTGATTGCAAATTCTAATTGGATTCTACATAGTTTTAATATTTTTTCTGTCAAATAGTATCATTTTCATATGAGATATCCTTGGGCGGATCCAATCTTTTTGTTCTAATGTGATCTAATCACAACAGACATTTAAAATCATGTAACAATTTGATACTTACTCTATTTTTCTAGAACTTTGACTTATATTTCATAATCAAAATTTCAACTGATGCCTAACAATTTCATTTTAGAATTACATTGTATTGATCCAAACGAAGATGTTCAAACACTTCAAACATTTAGATAAAAAATGATAAAAATATTTAATCGAAAAAAATAAAAAAATAATGATAGAATCAGAGCCAGAAGTGGACTTCTCCAACCTCATCACCACAGACAATGCAGTGTGAGTCTTTGTCATAGGCGATTGAAGTTAATCTGAAACCCTTCAACAATCCATCATCAACAGTGCTGCTGAACTCCTCTTTTCCTGTCGAAAGATCAAAAAGATGAACTTTGCAGATTCCATTTCCTTTGGATGTGCAAACAAGATACTCTTGATTTGAATCAACGCAAAGAGGAGCGAGGGAAAGTCTTCTTTCGGATGAAACTGTTAAGGCTTTATCTCCATTGAAGGTGTATCCAAGGAAAACTCCTGATTTAAATACGAAAAAGAGCTTTCTGTTATAGAGGAAGAGAAACTCTGATGTTGATGCATCTTCTGTATCAGGGATGATCCTTGTTTCTCTTGTTGCAATGTTGTAGCAGTTGATTGGATTTCCATTTTGTTTGAAAAGGATGTTTTCTCCACTGCGTTCGATGAATTGAAGGTCTGCTTGGGGAATTAATGGTAAACATAAGTCACCTTGGCATATTCCGGTGGTAACGTCATAGAATATGAGATCAAATTTGAAAATTGAAAGGAGTTTAATGGACATGAAGGAATTTGGAGTCATCTTGATATCCATAACGTCATTAGAGGATACTGAGAACATCTCTGAATAGTCATACAAGGAGAAAATTCGATAATTCTTTCCTGGACCGAAATAAAGTACTGCTCTGCCATTTGTATTGTCCAGTTCTACAAATCCTGGGTAAACAATTGGATCTGTAGTGAACAAAAGCCTTCTCTCGTAAATTTTTCCTTCGATCAGATCTCTAGTGGAAATTGCATAGCCACGCATTCCACTGAACTTATCTTTCTTAAAGGTGGAGATAAATATGACATCTGACCTCTTAAAATTGAAGAAAACTGATCGAACAAGTTCTCCATGTGAATTGTTAATGTAAGCAATGAACTCGTTGGACCAGTTCTTGTAAACAGCACATAGTCCATTATGTGCTCGTATAAGAATTACTTCATTAGCGAAGATTATATCATCGACTGGAAATCGATTAGATATTAGTATCTCCATAGGTGATTCCAGCTTTCCAATATGATTCCAGAGGTTGTCTGAGTGCACAACTTGCTGAGGAAAGCTACAATTTGTATCAGGGAACCAGACAAAAGAAGAAAACAAAAGACGGTTTCCTTTTTCGCGCTGATATTTTGTTTTTTGCGGTGGCTTGGGATGTCTTGAGTTATTCCCGTTCTTTGCAGGGATTGAGCTGATCCTAGGGGACAGGCATCGAATACCTAGAGAAGTCATTCAGTTTATAATTTAGGTTTGGATCATAATCCATAATGAGTCAACCTCCTACGATAGCCTCTGAAAAGCAGAACATGCAATCGTAAATGTTGCATTATATCCATTGACCAAGTAATATACTCAGTTAATGGATTTAAATTTTGAAAATTTAATATTCAATGATGGAAATTACTGTGTGATTCAAAATAATTGGCATGTGAAATTTTAGTCATGATTCTCTAAATGAGAACGATAAGGTCATATTCAATAGAAGATATAAAGTTTTCCAAAAAATTATCCAAGATTGAACTGATATAATATAATATTTTAATTACAATAAAGATAAAAATCAGATCAGCATCATTCTTAATCGAAATAAAGATCAACTCCGGAAATTATTGTTTTTTGTTGAGAATATTGCTTATTTCTGTATGTGGACCAATATTTTATTAAATAGTTAAGCTTTATGCAACATTGGTCAAATGAAATACATATGACGAGGAGGAATTGCATTAATTAAGTAATATTACTTCTTATTGTTTGAATCATTGCTCTTTTCTCCTGGTGTACTAACAGTGATATCTTTACATATTATTTCAAGTGCATATGCTTTGAGAATTATGAAAAAAAGTTGTCGATTTTATAAGGATGAAAATTAAAAATTTTTAATTCATGAAAAGATGTCTAAACCATTATATTCATATCTAGTTCATTTCTTTCTGCTGGATCACTACCTTCATTACTTTCATTCTTCTTCTTTTTCACTACGAAGAAAACAGCTACTGCAATGATTGCTATTACAACAAGTACTGCTACAACAATTACTGCTGGAACCCACTTTTTACTCTTTGGGTCTTGATCTCCATCTGTCTGATCATCTTTATCATCAGTCTGGTTGTATTCGGTAATATTTGGCGGTTGCATTTTTTCAAGATGTTCTTCTGGCCATTCCCTTGGAACATAATCTTTTGGAGGATCTACTACAGTCATTGTTACTTGACTGAGATGCAAATACTTGCATCCGCCAAATTTATTTGATATGATGAAATGTGTATCAGAATATATAGGAGTTGGATTTTTAAGAGGTACTTCTTTATAAGCATTATCTGTGTAATCCTTTGCATATTGATATACAAGAGTATAATCAATCTCAATATCTCTGACGTATCCATAATAACCTGCTAAAGGATTTGATGGATTTGGCTCCACACACTTACAAAGCATTGACGTTGTGTAATTTGCCTGCGATAAAATATAATAAGGATTATCACGCGCTACATAGAACAAAATCATTTTCCCAACACCTTGATCAAATCTTGCACTTGTTCCAGTTGGAGATTGAGGATCAGAAACACTTCTTCTCAAGCCTTGGTTGAGATAATTCATCATGAAATCAGGGAAAATGAATTTATCTCCCTTTGCATATCCATATCTAACTTTGGAATCATGAGTTGTTGTATCAGCTGCCTTTTGGAATGTAGGAGCACCTGTAATTGTTTCGTATGGAGTAACAACAAAACGATGATTAACATTATATGTATTTGAAGGTGTGACATAATCACCAACAATAGAAACTCTTATTTTCTTGGATGTTCTGTTCATATGGATAACAACTGATTCGAAATAGTTTGGACATTTGATCTCAACTCCCTTTTTGGTTGCTGGATCCATAATGATAACTTTGTCTGCTTTATCTAATGTTCCACCACAATGATCAAATTCCATGTTATTCATCAGCTGATGAGATTTCCATTCCTTATTTCCAATCTTGTAACCAATAAATGTTGGATCACTGAAGTTCAAAGTGATCATAAACAATGGACGCATTTCAGCTCCAGCAGACATTCTGGCATAATTAATATCAATGTTCAATCCAGTGCTTGTAGCCGTGTACGTCTTTGTTGTTGTGGCAACATTATCTTCGGTAAGTTTATATGTTGTTGATGTGGATGTTTTAGATTGGAGTTTGTAATCCAATAATAAAACTTGATTGTAAATATATTTTGTTTCCGTGAAATAATGGAAGTAAATACCTTCTTCAGGATTCAAGAATTCCATATTCTTCTTCTTCAAAGAAATAATTTTTCCGCCATTAACAGATTGTCCCGCGGAAACAGCTGTTATATCAGAATTCTTAATTATATCTGCATCAACACCATAAGCGTATTGATTGAGTAAATACCTCAATTCTAATTCCCATCTGATTCTATATGTCATTGCACAAACACCTTGAGATGTTTCATTCCTGACATATGGTCCAGGACATCTTCCTAAGATTGTTCTTACAGCATTAACGAGTTTATCATTTCCTTCAATCATTACTTTTCCATTAACAAGTGTTGGCGTTTTTGTCCTTTGAGAATTTCTAATATATTGGACATAGAGAGATGCCAATTGACCCATTTTTGCATTAAAATTAAATCTTGGATCAATATCTTTATCGTCTTCGCTTGCTTTAATTGCCATGTCCCAAATCCTTTTCATGTGATCAGCGTATTCTTCTGGAATGAAATTAGGTATTTCAGCATGATAAGTTCCCATCCAATTATTTGCATAATCATTCATCATTAATGATTTTGTTTCATTGAGAATTTGTTTAACATAAGGAGCAGCACTTGGACCATAAAAACCATACAAAAATTCATCTTCAATATAATCAGGATTTGCATTAGGATTCCATAATAATTTTGTGGTCATGTATCCTCTGTATTCTTCCATATCATTGTGATATCTATTGTAATGAGTATTATTTAATACATGAAACCAGTTTGAATCTTCTGAATAAAATCCAGTGAAATTATACTTTGCATATGTTTTAATATTAGGAGCAATAACATGGTAATTAGGATGGAATCCCATGATGTGATTAAAGTTTGTTGTGTAATCCCAAACATAAAACTTATCAGCAACTTCTTGCCACTCTTTAATATCTGTGAAATAGTCATTGTTGATGGGAGATTCAATTGGATGTCCATAATCAATGTCGATTGCAGCAAACCTGATAATTACGTTCTTATGAGCTTTGATGTTCTTTGGAGCTTTGCGAGTAAAGTCCCATGCGAATGTTCTTATCAGAACTTTAGGATGTGTCTTTTCAAGAGCTGTTGCAATTTTGTTAATGAACTCAAGGTTGACTCCAGAATATCTGTCACCGTATTTTTTCATTCTATCCATACAATCTTTGCAAAGACAGTGATCACCTGTATCAAACTGACTTACATCAATTAAGTACACTTCTCCATTGTTGAGATCGGCTTCAATTCGTTTCATGAAAATCTGAAATGTTAATGGATGCGATAAGCAAGGGGCAGCATCGGATCTTCTTCCATCCGCAAGCAATGCAAAACGTTCTGGATACTTACTCTTTGGATATTCGTCCGATGTCATAAGCATCTTAAATGATTCAGACCCATAATATTCAGTTGTGGGTCCTCCATGAATCCGAGCACGACAGTTTGGCGTGTTCATTCTAGATCTTGCGCAATAATAAATATTTTGCTCAAAATCTGTATTATAAAATTCACGATGGATGAATGATGAGCTTGAAATGATATTTACATCTTCAGGGACCTTTAATATGCCTGGTTTTGGGTAAACATACATCCAGCTTGCATAATAACGAACACCACCAAATTTTTCTAATAATTCATATGTACCTGATGAGATTCCTCTTCTATTTCCTACTATAGCTAAATTACCATTTGAAAAACGGATTTCGAAGAAATCAATTTCCGGATCAGCAAAATTTGATGATGGTTGAGGAGATAATTTTGTTGGGCCAATTAAAATCAAGTTTTTGGTCTCTGAACTAGCATCAGTAATAACTTCAAGTTTAGCTCCCGTAAGTTTTTCGATTTCATCTCTTAATTCTTGAGCTATCATTTTTTGAGAATATAGATATGAAGCACTTTTCTCGTCTGGATACATTATCCTGTATTCAGATTTTCCATTCTCTGCCATGATAATGTCTTTTGAGAGAATATACTGGAAAAGAAAGGCAAAAAACATTGTGAAAAACAATTTGAATAAAAACAGTGAAAATTAGATTTCTTCCTTTGAAGATCAATATAATATGTTTATTGTATCAGAATAAAGTTTCAGATCCAATTCTGAAACAATCAAAATTTGTGAAGCAATGATTCAGTTGATTCAATGCATTTTTCTTGTCCATCAATGTATTATATTTTTCCGTAATTTCCACAAAAAAACCGTTGCGAAGAATAGTCACTTTTCCGAAATATCCATTTATCCTCCAACAATGATGGTTGAAATCAAATTTTAAAAGAGAATTTAATTTTAATGTCTTTTCTGAAATAATTCACATTTCTAATAAATATTGGATCGAGAAATCTGAATATTACATGTCAAGACTACATGTTCAATATGCACTTATCAATACCAACAAAATTTAAGAGGTGCTGAGATAATCCTTTACATTTTTCAAATTTTGAAATTCATTTTAATATAAACTCTCCAACTACTAACATTTGCTTAAGAATAAGAATCTCATTTCTTATTTCATAGTTTAAGTTGAATCACTCTCAATATTTCGATTGAATACGAATGGTTTTTCATAATAATCTATAAAAACAACGAAAAACATTAATCCAAATGATATATTTTCCAATTATATTCAATATCCAACCATTTTTTATAATGTTATATTTAATTCAGTAGTAAAGAATGAGTAATTTCCCAGATGGTGGCGGTGGAATATATAGTGATGACTATACATCATTGAAATCTACCACAACAAATGCAGAAACGGTCATTATTAATTCTAAAACTAGGATTATCAAAGGTTCTCAAAGCGTATATGCATTTCAACCATGTAAAAATACACTTTTATCATTTAGTTTCGGTTCCAGTCCTTCTCTTGAGATAATTGAAGATTATAGTTTTAGCCAATGTATCAAACTTCAGAGTATCGATCTTTCATTATGCACAAAACTAATCAAAATTGGCAGTTATGCATTTTCTAGATGTTCATCATGTATATCCATCAAACTCCCAAATTCAGTAACGAATCTTGGTCAAAACGTATTTGAATTAAACAAAATACAAAGATTTGATTTACCTTCAGCAATAACATCCCTTCCATATATGTGTTTTTTTAGTTGTTCTTCGCTGACAGAGATAAATATTCCGCAAGATAGTAGTTTAACAAATATCGAAAAATGGTTTATCAGAAAAACTTCTATTACAAGCTTCCGAATTCCAACCAGAGTCGACACATTAAGTGATGGCATTTTTGAAGATTCAAAACTGGAAACTGTTATGGTTAGCAAAGACAATCCAAATTATGAAGTCACAAACAATTTATTGATAGATAAAAGAACAAAATATTGCATTTGTTGTCCACCAAAAACAACAGGAAATGTTGTAGTACCTCAAGGTGTTGTGGTCATTTCTTCATCTTCATTTAGATCTTGCACAATAGATAGTGCTCAATTACCATCAACTTTAAATTCTATTTGGGGATATGCTTTTGCAGAATCTTCAATTACATCTATAGATATTCCTGATGCTGTAATAGGAATAGGAGTTTCTGCATTCAATGGATGTAAAAGATTAAGCTCAGTGAAATTTCCTGCATCATTAAACTTTATTGATCAAAATGCATTTTATGGAACTAATTTAAGTCATTTGGAATTCCCATCAGGTTTGAAAACATTAAATTCTGGATGTTTCATGAATTGTCCTAACTTAAAAGAAGTAGAACTTCCTGAAGGTATAGCGAAGTTAAACGGGCAAGTTTTCGATAGTGGTGTGATTATCCACTTTAATCCTAAATCAAATTTCTATATTGATGATCAATTTTTAATACTTGACAAACAAAATACAACTGTCAGCCAGTATATTGGTTCGAATAGCGATGTTAGTATTAGGTTCTTATCATCTATTTCTACAATTAATACTAATGCATTCAAAGGAAATAATAACATCAAATCATTTATCTTCCCACCAGATTCTGCACTAAGTACTATTAATATAGGAGCATTTAGTGGATGCAGTAGCGCTACTTTCGAGAATCTTCCAACAAAGATATCTTTTATTGGTAATAGTGCGTTCTTAGATTGTATTAGATTGAAGAGTCTTGTTTTTACGTCATCACTTAAAAATCTATCATCTAACAGTTTCTATAATTGCAGTTCGCTGAAAGAAGTACATATTGAAGACTCGTCTATTACTTCACTTCCTTCATCATGCTTTAGTCTATGCAAATCTATTACATCAATTATCATTCCTAATACCGCGACATCAATTGATTCATCATGTTTTTTAGGTTGCACATCTCTTACAACTGTCCAGTTTGGAGCATCTTTAAAGTCTATCGAACAAAGCAGTTTCCAAAGCTGCAACATAAGTACACTTGATTTACTTTCCTGCAAGTCTTTAGTAAATATCAGTGACTATGCATTCGCATATAACAAATATCTTTCTTTAATTATTCTTCCAGAAAACATCGAGCGCTTTGGCGCTTACTCATTCACTATGACTTCATTAACTAATATGACAATACCATCACATCTTGTAAGTCTTGGTCCATACTCATTCAGTGAATGCGGAAATCTTGACAGTCTTACAATACCATCGAATAGTGAATTAGACACAAACAATATTGGTATTGGATCATTCAAAAACTGTTTCAGAATCAGGAGCATTCAATGCGATAGTTCACGCTTCAGTGTTTTTAATGGAGCACTGTTTAATAAAGCTCAGACATCTCTCATCTTGTTCCCTCCTGCTTCGGCAACTGTTTTCTTTTCCCTCCCACCTACAACACGTACAATCAATGAAGGAGCATTCATGTCTTGTCTCAACCTTATTTCAATATTCATTCCAAGTGACAGCCTCACACTAATCTCAAATAATGCATTTGAAGGATGCTCATCACTTTCATGGATCAATATACCAATATGCGTTTCAAACATTGGCAAGGATGTTTTCTTAGGATGTAATAGTCTTAATTGCGGTCTGGAAATTGAAAACAAAAACAAAGATTTTCGGAAAAATCTTGTAAAAATTTCTAAGTTGAACTCACATTGTTTAAGCAAGTGCTCAAGCGTTTATTCATGCAAATGCAATGAGGCTCATATGAATATTAATTTAATACAACCATTTATTGTAATGCTAATTTAAAATATTAATAATTTTTGATCTTTGAATTTTTTTTATTAAAACTATATCTACATTTAAGTTAAAATAAAATAAGTGAAAGGAGAAAAAGAAATTGGAAAATTGTTGAAATATTGATTAGCACAACTGAATTGAGAACATGGACGAAGTGATGATTTAGGAAGACCACTAGAAACAAGAAGTTCGATGAATGGTTGTGTCTTGTTCTGGAAAAGAACACCACAGCGAAGACTGTCGCAGTGAATGAATGCATCTGAACCAATGGAAACAACACTGGATGGGATGCTGATATGTTCAAGACGAATGCATGATTCGAATGAACGACGACCTATAATACGAACACTGTTCTCAACAAAGACAACAAGCTCGATGTAACGGCTGTTGATGAATGCACCTTCACTGACAGTAACAAGACGACTGTCGAAGCTGATGTACCTGTCCTTGCAACCGGGAGCGTGGATGTAGACTTGACTGAAACCGACGTCGTAGATAGTGCTGTTAACACAAACAAACTTAGAACTTCGGAAATCACTGATGTATGACAACGAAGTGCATCCGGCGAAAAGACCAAATCCGATCTCTTCAAGACGAGACGATGATGAGATATCAACACGCTCAAGATTTAAACAGTTACTGAAACACTGAATTGAAAGTTTAGTAACACTATCTGGAATACTTATATAAGATATTGATGTTCCACTGAAACACTCATTACCTATGATTGCTATATTTGTTGGAATAATGATCTCTTCAATATTTCTACAATCTTTGAGAAACAAAGATGGAAGAGTATCAAATGATGCAATACTATTTTCGAAAGTGAGAACATTAAGACTACAATTCATGAAACATCCAGAACCAAAACTTTTGATTTTGTCATTAACATTGAACATCGAAAGAGAAGAACAGTCTGAAAAGACATTCTTCCTGAAATAGATGTTGCATGTGCAATCATGTAAGTCGATGCTTGAAAGTGATGTGCAGCCAGAGAAACAGAAATCGTTGAAATAAAGTGCAGTCGTTGTTGATGAGAAAGTAATTCTCGAGATTGACTGTGCTAAGTAGAAACAATATTGTCCTATTTTCTCAAGATATGGAGAGAAAGAAATTGCTGAATTTATCTTTGTCTTTGAAAATGCATATTCTCCAATTTGTTTCAACTTAGGGAAACTTGGGATAGAAGTCAGATTCATACACAAATTAAAAGCTTGATCTTCTATAACCTCTAGTTCAGATATTCCGTCACATAAGATGGATGCCAACTGAAATTTAGATATAAAGGCACGTTGCTTGATTGTCTTTACAGTACTTGGTATTGTGATAGTTTTAACATCAGGATTTAAGCACAATGAAATGTATGTTTTATTTTTAGAAATAATAAGCTTTTGATCATCTAATTCAACAGATGCATTTTCATGAAAGGTTATATTTGCATTTGAAGGAAATGCATCTCCTCCAATATTTGAAATGTTTTCTGGGAGAATTATAGTAATCATGTCTTTGCAATCCAAAAATGCATCGTTGCCAATTGAATTAACTTTATTTGGTATTTCTATTCTTGTTAAGCCTGAAGATCCAAAACATCCAATTGGAATTTCGGTAATATCAGGTGGTAAAGCTATCTCTTTTAAATTCTCGGTACTAAAGAAGGCATATGGTCCTATCGAAGTGAGAGATTGTGGTAATGTAATTGAAGTGAATGTAGCATGTATAAAAACACCGTTTGCAATTGTCTGAACTCTTGGATCAATTATATACGATGTCGATGAATTAGCTGCATAAGCAACAATTTTCAAATAATCCTTAGTATATACAGCACAATCATCATCTACAAAATATTGATTGTTCTTATGAACTTTTATCTTCCTCATTGTTACAACACTATTACAAAATGCACCATTTATATAATTAACTGATTCAGGAATAGTGAATTCTAAAAAACTTGCTCTAATAAATAAATTGTTATACAGAGCTTGTAATTTTGATCCCTCAGTAAATGTTATTGATGAAAGAGTCTTAATATCTCCAAATGCATTTTGTTCAATACTAGTAACAGTTGATGGAATGTTAAGAGATGATATGTTAATGAATGCAAACGCCATCGATGCAATGGTTTGTAGGCCTTCGGGTAATAGTAAATCTTGTACTGATGTGCAACCATAAAATGATTGATAATCTATAGTTTGTAATTTTGTGCATAACGATAAATCGACTCTAATGAGCTTCGTGCATTGAAAGAAAGAATATGATCTAATATTTGTAAGTTGAGGATTTGTTTCAAAAGAGAAAGATCGTAATGTCTCTCTTGAATAATAAAATGCGTAATCTGTATCTGATGCACCATATATCTCTGTACAACGCGAAGATATGATAAGGTCTGGATCCTCCAGATTAACATCCTTAAGAACTGCACCGGGCTCATGATAATATCTATCAGGGATTAATTTCATATATTATTTATCATTTTTATTATAGAACAGGCTATTTGAAGACTGTATAACAAGATCTGAACCAAATTAAACTCAATAATATTCCAAATCACGATTTAAAATATAATTCAGATGTTATTAAAATTTTGAAATTGTATTCAATTTTTGAATGTTTTCTGATTAGAAAAATGTCAAAAGATTAAAAACTTCGAATGCCGAATGAAAAGCGAGATTTCACATTATCATTGACAATACAGTTGAAGATCACCAGTGACATGATGATCTTGCCAATTGATATCAATATTTCAACAAACAATTTTTGCATTTAATTTATTGAGGCGTGAGAGTTATTTTGATTTGCTTTGATTCACCAGCAGCAACAGACATCTTTATCAATATTCTTTGGGTTCCTTCATTAGATTCTTCATAATTATTGGGAGGCTTATTGTTTGCAAATGAAATTCTGCAATCAGACGGACTTTTAACATTTAATACACAAGTCTTCTCTCCGATTGTTAGAGTCACTGTTTTAGAATCGGTTAACGTAATATTGGCATATGTTGTCATTGTCCAAACTATGTTCACACTTGTTTTGCCACCTACAATATTATCAGTAATTTCCAAGTATTTTTCATTTACCAAAATAACATCTCTTATCACAGACTTGAGCTTCCCGAAGAAGTTATCTGTGAAATCTATCTGACCTCCTAATTTATTATCATCAGAATCATAGATAACAGTAATGTTTGATCTTGCATCAACATTATGTTTTTCTCCTTCAATAGTTAGAGTATTATGAGCGATTGGTCCAATTCTATGCACATTCCATCTAGTAGAATTTTGTTTAAAGTTCCATAAATCAATTCCTGCAGAACTTAGTTTGGCATACTCTGATTGGCCTAAATCAGAAGCCCATCTCACACCCAGAGCATCAAATACAAATGATCCTGCATCCATATGAGCATGTGGATCCATTGCACATCCGCCTTTAAAACCAAAAGACATTCCATTGTATCTGTCCCAGCGGGTTCTAACTAGTATAACAGGAGTCGTACACTTTGTATAAAATAATTTCTTCTCAGGAGGCTTAATGTTTTCCAATTTTAGTTTGGATCCATATATTAAAATTAAAGGCATGAAATCACTGCCTGATGTTTGTTTCCATTCCGTCATCGAATAATAATCATAGAATATATAGGATGGATCTTTGTAATAATAAGCAAACCAAAATAAAATCGGGATAATTCCACCTTTTTGGCCTGTATCATAATAATTAAAATTAAGACCACTAGTTCCGACCATATATTGAATAGATTTTCCTGACTCCGCGAAACCATGCCATTCAGCCATCTTGTATGTATGACCAAAGAACCGATCTAGCGCAGCAAACATCATGCCTGCATAAGTTGCGCCATAAATCCAATAGAAATATCCCTCTGGATGGTTTCCATCAGGTGAGAACTGGTTCATTGAATTCTTTAGATTATTTATCAATCTGTTTATTATGAAATCAGAAATGTTTTTATCTGTATCTCGTATGGCGATTGCTGCAAGGGTCAAACCAGAATTGCATACTTGATTCCAATTATTGGTCATTTTTAAGAAAGAATTTGTTGATTCATTTATTGAAGGGTAAATTGCATTTTTAATAATGCACTGACGTATTGATTCGCGTTGGGCTTTTGTTAGATTATTATAAAGCCAATCATATCCAATGGAAACAGCAGTCACCATTTCGGCAACATCTAAAAAATGGGCAGGATGCCAATTATCAAATGAACACACTGAGTTAATCTCGGCAAATGCCTTGTCAAAGTATTTTTTCTCATTAGTTAATCTAAATAAAGTTGAACAGTAAAAAATTCTGTGTACAGCTTCTCTCGAAACTTCTAGAAGGGTTGTTCCTCTTATGTTATAAGTTAATACACTTGTATTAAGTATTTTATCAGTGCTTTTTACCAAAGCGTTGAATGAATTATTTAAGATATTATTTGAAAGAATAGCTTTCATTATTTTTGCTTCATCACCATTCGCTATGAATAACATTGGCCTTTTGTATTTATTTTTGATGATATTATAAATGATTGAATAAATTACTAATACAATACAAATAATTAATATTGTTATGGCAGAAATACTAGCAACTATTTGCATTCTTTTTTGCTTTCTATCCATAGCTGCATGGTTTTGATCATTTTCATCCGGTGCATCGATGGAGATAAATGTTTCGGAAGTCAAAATCAGATAAAAAAAATTTGAGAGTACATTAAAAAATTTCATTAACTAGTTAGATAGCTTATTTATGATTATTCAATTCAACCCAAAGCTAATTGCAAAATTTTTCAATTCTATACAATTAATGATGCTATTGAAATATTGACTACAACAATTCATATTATTAAACTCAAACAATTCGAAATAATAAACAAAATTAAAATTTTATTTACATTAGTATAAAAACAGTGAATAAAGAGAATGAAATAGAGAAAGTGTTGCAATTACGAACAGCACAACTGAAAACGGAACATAGACGAAGTGATGATTTAGGAAGACCACTAGAAACAAGAAGTTCGATGAATGGTTGTGTCTTGTTCTGGAAAAGAACACCACAGCGAAGACTGTCGCAGTGAATGAATGCATCTGAACCAATGGAAACAACACTGGATGGGATGCTGATATGTTCAAGACGAATGCATGATTCGAATGAACGACGACCTATAATACGAACACTGTTCTCAACAAAGACAACAAGCTCGATGTAACGGCTGTTGATGAATGCACCTTCACTGACAGTAACAAGACGACTGTCGAAGCTGATGTACCTGTCCTTGCAACCGGGAGCGTGGATGTAGACTTGACTGAAACCGACGTCGTAGATAGTGCTGTTAACACAAACAAACTTAGAACTGCGAAAATCACTGATGTATGACAATGATGTGCAACCTTCAAAGATAGAACCCATGATAGTAGTGAGGCCTGATGTTGAAGAGATGTCAACATGATCAAGTTGTGAACATCCACTGAAACACTGTGTTGAAAGTGTTGTAACACTGTCTGGAATACTTATATAAGATATAGATGTTTCACTGAAACATTCATTACCTATGATTTCGATATTCGTTGGAATGATAATCTCTTCGATGTTTGTACATCCTTTGAGGAACATAGAAGGAAGTGTGTCAAATGAAGTATAACTGTTAGCAAAGTTGATTGTTTCAAGTCCACTGTTCATAAAGCAGCATGAGTCAAAACTTTTGATTTTGTCATTAACATTGAACATCGAAAGAGAAGAACAGTCTGAAAAGACATTCTTCCTGAAATAGATGTTGCATGTGCAATCATGTAAGTCGATGCTTGAAAGTGATGTGCAGCCAGAGAAACAGAAATCGTTGAAATAAAGTGCAGTCGTTGTTGATGAGAAAGTAATTCTCGAGATTGACTGTGCTAAGTAGAAACAATATTGTCCTATTTTCTCAAGATATGGAGAGAAAGAAATTGCTGAATTTATCTTTGTCTTTGAAAATGCATATTCTCCAATTTGTTTCAACTTAGGGAAACTTGGGATAGAAGTCAATTGCTCACATAAATAAAATGCATAGTTCTCTATAACTTCGACTTCTGATGTTCCATCACATATAACAGTTGTTAATTGTTTTGCTGACATAAACGCGCGTTGTTTTATTGTCTTAACCGAACTTGGAATTGTTATTGATATTGCAGATGAATTTAAACACATTGAAATATATGTCTTATCTTTAGATATAATAAGCATTTGATCATCAAGTTGTACTGATGATGCTTCAGGAAAAACGATTTTAATGTTTTTATTCGAAGGAAAAGCACCACCGCCTATATATTCTAAGCCTTCAGGTAAAACAATAGTTGTCAAACTATTGCATGATGCGAAGGCAAGGGATTCAATTGATGTAACATTATCAGGAATAGTGATAGATGTTAATCCTGAATTAAAGAACCATGCTTCTGGAATTTCTGTTATATTTGGTGGTAAATTTATTTCTTTAAGATTTATTGTTTCATAAAATGCATAAGATTGAATAACTGTAACAGAAGGAGGAATAGTAATAGAAGAAAGTCTAGCTCTCATGAATGTTGCGTTGCCTATTATCTGAACTTTTGAGTTAATCACATAAGATGTTGTAGAATTGGCTGCAAAAGCAACAATTTTTGAAAAATTCTTTGTGTAAACAGCATTTCCATCACTTTCAAAATATTGGTTGTTCTGATGGACTTTTATCTTCTTCATTGTTATCACAGCGTTAATGAACATTCCATTGATAGAATTAACTGATTCTGGAACTGTAAACTCAAGCAAACTCGTCTTATAAAATGCATTTTTTGTGAGTTCAAGAAGTTGCGATCCTTCGTTAAAAGTTATTGATAAGAGAGTTGAAATATCACCAAATGCTGACTCACCAATGGTTTTTACTGAAGATGGAATAGTAAGCGTTGAAATTTGAATTCCCAAAAATGCAACACTTAATATTTCTTGCAATCCATCTGGTAATAATAGTGACTTTACGGATTTACATTGATAGAAAGCTCTAGTGCTTATGGTTTGCAACAGTGAACATTTCGATAAATCAATTTTTGTTAAACTTGCGCAAGAATAAAAGGCATTGGAGCCAATCTTGGTAAGTTGAGGATTTTCTTGAAAAGTAAATGATTGTAAGGTGTTCTTTGAATATAAAAATGCGGAATCGTAAATTTCGGTACAAGAACTTGAAATAATAAGATCAGGATCAGACATTTTAACATCTTTGAGCACAGCTCCTGGGTCATGATAGTATGCATCAGGAATTAACGTCATTTATAAAAAAATCATTATTGAAATCTAATAAAATAAATAATCAATTTTGAATTGATGCTTTGAATAGCATTTAAAGGTTTTCAAATTCAATTCATTTTATAAATGAGAGAAGATTAATAAACAATGGTGTTAATATCTGATGAATATTATCACGATCCTGGTGCAGTACTTAAAGAAGTTAAACAAAGTGATCCTGATCTTATCATATCTTCACGTTGTACAGAAATTTTCGGAGATTCAGAAACGACTGCTGCTTTTTACTATTCACGAGACACATTACAATCATTCTCATTCGAACAAAATCCACAGCTTACAAAGATTGGTTCATATTCATTTTATAAATGTACCAAATTAACGAGTATTGATTTATCATCATGCACAAAACTCATCACAATTGGTGAAAAAGCATTTTGTTTGTGTTCATCAGTTCAAAATCTTCTTTTGCCAGAAGGTTTAAAAACAATATTTAAATATGCTTTTTCTGGACTTAAATTAACCAGTGTTGAGATACCATCAACAGTCTCAAGTATGTATGATCATGCTATTGCAGATTCTCAAACATTAACATCAATAACTTTTCGAGAAGGATCACAACTTCTTTTTCTAGGAAATAATATATTCATTGGAACAAAATTAACCCAAATTACCATTCCACAAAATGTTAATTCCATTAATGGTGCATTTTGTAACGGTGTGAAAACATTAGAAATTGTAAAAGTGCATCAAAATAATAATTATTTCATAGGTGACAACAGAGCAGTTTATAACAAAGATTACACCACTATATATTTCTATGCCGCTGGTTCAGGGACATCTTATACAATTCCTAATACTATTAAGGCAATTAGCTATGCCGCATTCATTTCTGCCGAATTTTCTTCGATTATTATCCCTGATTCAGTAACTTCAATAGGTGCCTTTGCATTTGCAGACACGAAGAAGTTAACGCAAATAACTCTCCCAAAATCTATCAAAACAATTCTTTCTGCTTGTTTTGCTGAATCAAGTTTGACATCAATTACTATTCCAGATAACGTAATTACAATTAATGAGAACGCATTCAGAAATTGTAATTCTTTAACATCTATTGAGTTACCAGAGAATATTTCCTCGATCGGAGGTGGAGCCTTCCCGATTTCAAATAATTTGCAAATAACATTCAAAGGTGAATCTCTTATGTATATCGATGACCAAATGCTTCTTATGACAAAAAACAATTCTTATATTTCCATGTTCCTGAATTCTACTTCAACATCTGTGACTATTCCAAGCACAGTCAAAACGATTAAATCTTCTTCATTCAAGGACAAGAAGAACCTTGTGAAAGTCCTCTGTGATGGAACATCTCAACTTGAGATTATAGAAAACTACGCATTCCAAAACTGTAATAGTTTGACGACAATTCCTGACTTTCCTAACCTGAAATCAGTTGGAATGTATGCATTTTCCAATACAAAACTATCATCTGCGATATCATTCCCTGAATCGTTGACTTTGTTAGATGAATATTCATTTGCAAGTGTGAAAACATTACCATCTGTTTCATTTAAATCTAAAGTAGAGAATTTAACAATCAAAGATTGTTCATTTTATGCATGTTCTTCATTGACATCTGTATTGTTTATTGATTGTAGATCAGATATTTACATTGGATCGAAAGTATTTTTCGAATGTACATCACTTTCTGCTTTTAATATTATTTCGAATATCAAAACAGTTGGTAATAGTTGTTTCATGAACAGTGGTTTGAACACTATCAATTTTGAAAACAGTGAAACATCTTTTAACACACTTCCTTCTATGTTCCTCAAAGGATGTACAAACATCGAAGAGATTATCATTCCAACGAATATCGAAATCATAGGTAATGAATGTTTCAGTGAAACATCTATATCTTATATAAGTATTCCAGATAGTGTTACAACACTTTCAACACAGTGTTTCAGTGGATGTTCACAACTTGATCATGTTGACATCTCTTCAACATCAGGCCTCACTACTATCATGGGTTCTATCTTTGAAGGTTGCACATCATTGTCATACATCAGTGATTTTCGCAGTTCTAAGTTTGTTTGTGTTAACAGCACTATCTACGACGTCGGTTTCAGTTAAGTCTACATCCACGCTCCCGGTTGCAAGGACAGGTACATCAGCTTCGACAGTCGTCTTGTTACTGTCAGTGAAGGTGCATTCATCAACAGCCGTTACATCGAGCTTGTTGTCTTTGTTGAGAACAGTGTTCGTATTATAGGTCGTCGTTCATTCGAATCATGCATTCGTCTTGAACATATCAGCATCCCATCCAGTGTTGTTTCCATTGGTTCAGATGCATTCATTCACTGCGACAGTCTTCGCTGTGGTGTTCTTTTCCAGAACAAGACACAACCATTCATCGAACTTCTTGTTTCTAGTGGTCTTCCTAAATCATCACTTCGTCTATGTTCCGTTTTCAGTTGTGCTGTTCGTAATTGCAACACTTTCTCTATTTCATTCTCTTTATTCACTGTTTTTATACTAATGTAAATAAAATTTTAATTTTGTTTATTATTTCGAATTGTTTGAGTTTAATAATATGAATTATTGTAGTTATTCTTTCAATAACATCACTAATTGTATTCAATATTATAGTAAATTATACAATAAATACAAAAAAAGTTGAAAAACTTTTCAAATAACTAATATCATAGTAATCATCAATGGTTATTCACAGACAGGAACCTAATGCCCTAATAAAACTTTGCACCGTAAAGTTTTTCTTTATCTTTATAGTACTATTATAATCTCGGGTTCATCCCATTCAATTTTGAATGCTTTACAAATGGGCTTTCAAATATTGAATTGAAATGGACCTAAGATTTTAACGCGACGATTATTTTTAACCTTAAAAACAAAGATAAAAGATTTTTATTAAAATAGTAATGTTATACAATAAATTAACATTTTCCGTATAGGTTTTGCCCTTTTGAAGGGAAAGAAATTTTTCTGATCTTGATTTCGAGTAAACAGTTAATGATTATCTGGTAAATGGCTTTTCCTTAGACAGACGTCGATTGGCTTTCTAATTTTCTTTGTTTTGCCTATGATAAATTTGAGATTGCAAGGCAAATGTGTATAAAAATTTGAAATTTATAATTTGTAGACCTAGGATAAGTATTTTATAGAAAATGATAACACTTTTTGTGGAATCGCACGGTCATAATTCCATAGTAGTATATATATGCGGGGTTTGTGACTTTTTTTGTAAACGTAAGAATTCATACAATATTGAACGATTTTGAAAAAAAAAAAAAAAAAAAAAAAAGGAAGTGGGGCTTCCAGGCACTTCGTGCCTTCTAGCCCTGAGGATGATTGGTATAATGAAGTTTTTTTTTCTTGGGGTGGTCTTCCAGGCACTTCGTGCCTTCTAGCCCACATAAATGAAGTTTTTATTCGGAGGTCTTCCAGGAGCTTTTCACAAATTATATATGTTTTCATGTTTTGTCAAGACTTCTTCGTAAATGTTTTGTCAAGACTTCTTCGTAAATGTTTTGTCAAGACTTCTTCGTAAATGTTTTGTCAAGACTTCTTCGTAAATGTTTTGTCAAGACTTCTTCGTAAATGTTTTGTCAGGACTTCTTCGTAAATGTTTTGTCAAGACTTCTTCGTAATGAGCGTAAATGACCCAAAAATAATGTTTATGTTAGAATGTTAGATCTAACACGTTTTCTAACATGTTTTCTAACATCGTAGAAAACTCATGATTTCATCGTAAATGTTTTGTCAAGACTTCTTCATCGTAAATGTTTTTTACTTCACTTAAAATGCCACGTAAGCTACGTAAGAATATACGTAAGAGGAAGAGAGCATTGAAACATCCAATAGTAAAACTGACACCACAACAACAGTTGCAACAACAAATGATGAATGACCCCACTATGTTGCAACAAATGTCAAGCAATCCTATGCTTTTAAACCGAGTTGTTGGTGCACAGAGTGGAGGTTTAAGAGCGGCACTTTTAGCGAAAATGGCAGGCTATGGTGGAGCTGCAGACGGAACAGCATATAACCCTCAAAGTCAAATGAATTTGAGTTCACTCAAAAATCAAATAGCAGATGTCAAAAAGTCAAACATAGACATACAGAAGCAAATAGGTGAAAACGAAAAGAAACTAGAATATGACAGACACACAAAGAAACTCAATGAGTTAAACGTAGAGAAAAAGAAGAAAGAAGAACAACTGAAAGAACTAAGTACAGAGGAATATGCGAAAAAAGTGTCAGAAAAAGCAGCAGAAGTAGCAAAAATGGAACAAGATGTCATAAATTTGAAAAACCATACTACTCAATATAAAATACTGAAAGATGAAGAGATAAAACAAAAAGCCCTGAAGACATATATGGATAGCGATGAGTATAAAAAGGAAGTTGAAGCAAATGTAAAGGCAGAAAAACTTTTACAGTTGCAAAACCAAACCGTACAGTATGAAAACTTAGCACAAGAAAGTAAAAATAACGACGCGGCTATGCAAAAGGCAATGAAAAGCGCAGAGTATATAAAAGCTAACAATGACTGGTTAGATGCCCAAGCTAACGCTAAAGCAGCCCAACTTATAGGGTCAATAAGGACAAAAATACAAGCGGATGAAGACAGTTCAAATGAAGCTTTAACAAATGCTGACTTTAAGAACGCCTTCGAAGCTCTTCATAGTAAGGTGAAACAAGTGAACGACTTCTCATCTGGAAAGAAACTGAAGTCTGAAGGTTTCGACAACGAGTTAAGAGAAGTAGCACAAAATATGACGAAAATAACAGATGCAGCAACGAGACAGGCAGTTCAAAGTGCCTATGACGCCGTTAGAGCAACTGTTGTGAAAAGTCAAGAAAAAGAGTTACAACAGACCAAAACAGACCTAGTAAATGCTTTCTTAAAAACGAAAAGTCAGGTAGGACATTACGCTGCAGATGGAACATATGTGCCAGCTGGTGGAACTTATATACCACCAAACCCTCCAAGAGAAGCACCTGCACCAGGACTACCTAAAACATTTACATCGTCACATGGACACAGACACAGGCATGCACCACAACAACAACCAACAGTTCAAAATCCAACACAACAACCAACACAACAACCAGCACAGCAACCAACAGTTCAAAACCCTGCACAACAACAACCACAAACAGAGCAAGGACATAAAAGAAGTAGAGAACAAGGAAACCAAGAATTCTTAAAAATGCTTAAAGAAGAGTGTGGTTTCCCAGATACTGTTGACTTTAGTGACAGATATAAAGAAGCTATTGGAAAGTTCAAGGATGGAAATACTGACCCGAACCTATTTAGCTTTATGGCTCAGCACCAAAACGGATATAATCTCAAACCTGGAAAATACAAGCTCGCTAAGGGATATGATTTAATAGCATATCATCCAAATGACATGGATGAATTTACTCCGAGATATTTGATGTCAGAGCTAAATGACAATTCAACTTTCGTCATGAAACGCGTAAAAAATAGAGACGGAACGAAAGAACAAAAGCTTATGAATGCGGATGACGTAGATAGGGAAATTGTTGAAAACGGTCTCGGAATATATGAAATGCCAGCAGATGAGGTACAAGAAACTCCACAGGAAGAAGTTCAGATACAACCAGACATGGAAGAAATAGTTCAGCAACAACAGCTAGAAGAGCCTGAAGGAAACGAACAAGTCCTTCCTTTGGAAACTAACTTCACAGAACTAGATGAAGATTTGGAACAGCCGAAAAATCTTGACCCTCAACAAGAGTATGCGGAGAATATGGAATATTTCCAAGAGTCTAAAAAAAATTCGGCTGACATAGTAGAAGAATATCGAAAAATGTTTGCCGACATACAAAAGACTCCAACATCAGATGAAAATATCCAGCATAGAATGGAAGAACTGAAAAAAAATGTACACAAATACAACAACCCTTTTTACTTACGAGCATTTAACGTTCAATCTTCGGATGAACTCGGTGAAAATAAAAGGTTAAATTTCAAGAAAACATATAGAAATGAAACATTGTTTAAAGTTCATTCAGAACCTAACCAAGATGGAAACAAACCTACTTTTGTTTCTGCAGACGATGGAACTACAATGAGATGGGGTCATAAAGCTAACCCGGATAGGTGGTTCATAAACTTACAACCACAATTCCAAGAAGTTGTAGACGCAATGGAAGTCAATGGTGAACCAGATATAGCTGGTATTTTCAGCGCGGCTTTAATGCCATTGAAAGATATGAAAGATGCAGATATTTTGGACCAGTATGAAATGAACATGGCTGATGGAAATATAACACCTGACGTTCTAAAACATTTATCTCAAAGAACTACACAGAACCATAAAGATGGTATATTTGGTGAAGAGTTTAGAAAGAAAGTTAGGGAGGGAGAAGGAAGAGAACCTATTGTACATGACCTTGCAAACGAAAGTTTACAAAATGTCATAAAAACTTACTTTGCAGGCGATGAATCGAGAAGGGATGAATATTTAAGAAAACTCAAATGGACAGTACCAAATGAAATGTTAGTATTGAAAAACATGTTCCTTGACAAAATAAAACCAACTACAGAAATAAACGACGCAAGACTGAAAGATTGGGTAAAAGCTTTCCCATTCACAAAAGATATAGTTGGTAACATGGAAAGAAAACCAGAATGGCTACAAAAACATATATTTGGAAACGAGCTTATTCCATATGGACAGGCACTGTTTGAAGAGCTTGAACCGGAAACTCAGGAAAGAGTCATGCAAACAATACGCAAAGACTCAAATACAAACTATGACAAACTCTTTCTAGGATATAGGTTACCTGAGATGGGCGACCAGAGCCCAAAGGCAAAAAGGACATGGGAAATTTGCAACATACTAGATGAACATAATGCAAAGATGCAACAACTTCAAGCAGAGGGCAATGAAGGAAAAAGAAGAGTTAAAAACTCAGTCAGGAAGAAAGTAAAGCTTGGTCCACGTGGGTTCTATTATGACATATAAATCCAACTATTCTATATTTTTACTCATATGAAATGTACGCCGCTCAGAATATTACGCCAACAGTTTTGGATGCCATGAACGGAAATGTTTCCGAATGGTATAACGAATGCGACAATGCCATTAGAAGGTCAGAAATAGTTCCTGGAACTTACGAATATACAACTGCTGTTTCTTATGGAAACGTAGGTGAGTTTGGAGAAGGTTCTTCAACAACAGTAGATATTGCTTGCGACAGGTTTCATATTATTTCTATTGACAACTCATTCTTATACGTGGAACAAGACATTGAAATAAAACCTTCTGCCAAGTTGTCTGACAAGAAAGGTTGCAATGGAATTTTCTATGTCGGATACCAATATGCTCCAGAAGTTTTCATGGGATATAAGATATATTCTAACTCTGACTTAGTTCAAACAGTAACATGGGCAAACTATGAATGGTTCGCTTTGAGAAACTCAGTACAACCACAAGCTAGAGAACAAACAGACCAGTATGCAAATATTGAGAAAATAAGAAGACTTGACCCTAACGTTCCAGGAGTTTATGTTAACCTTTCTGGTTCAGATGGAAATGCTGCCACTAAAGTAAAACTGAAACTTAGAGTTCCTTTGTCATCTTTCCTCATCTTCAGGTTTTTAAGATACTTGCCAAACTGGGCAGGAAAAATTTCTATCGAACTTACTCCAAGCAAAAATAACTTAGTCATTGCACCAACACAAGACCCATTCAGCATTACTGTAGCTGGAACTGGTGGAGCCAAGTTCTGTGACTTTTGCAAAGACAAAGTTGACTTAGACTTTGGTTTCTCAAACTTCAACAATGAAGTAAACTATTATTTCAATGCTGCTGGAACTGCTTGGGACCCAGTTAAGTTCACATGCGAAAAGTTTGAATGCAAGAGAATAGAAAGCAGACTTGCAGTCTATATGTTGGACCCAGATATTTCAAATGCTTTAGCTGCCAAATATATTGCAGTTCCACTTATGTTCCCTATACACCAAATATCTGTCAAAGACTTTGCAGGTGAAGTTGGAAACCAAAGTGCTGACCCAGGTGCAAGAACAGATATTGCTTTAACAACTGCAATGAAACATGCAGATACTATGTTTGTACTGTTCAGACGAACTATAAATGACTATTCTTGCTTCTACAACCCTGGTATTAAATACCATATAAACATAGATGGCAAATACTATCCAAGAGAAGAATATTCTACAGTTGAGGATATGAGGTCATACAACTTGACATTAGATGCTATGAACTTTAACAACAACTTCACAACAACCATTAACCCTGAAATGCAAAGTTCTATTATGCCATATGTGAAAGTATGGACTCATACAGGAGGTCAAAAAACTCAATATACAAATGGAGACCGTTCAAACTTTTGGCTTGGCATTCCATTTGCTGACTCAGAAGACTTTATGGGTGGTATTTCAACTGTTGGTACTGTACAAATACAATATACTGGTGACAGAGACGGTCCAGATGAACTGAGAGCAAAGAAGTTTACAAAACCAATAGCACTTTTCACGGAAGATGCTCTTTTGAAGATTCGTTCGATGAAACCTGCTGGGGCTCCTCAGATTGGCATAACGACAGCTTCCATCGAGCAGATTTTGGCAGCAGGTCAGTAAGTTGTTCTTGAACTGACTTCTCTCCGTCAAATATTGACAGTACGCCAGTTTTGACATAAAATTGTAAGATAAACTTTCCTTTAGAAATATCGGTCAGTTTTGTTGTTATATTTTTGTCTGCTTCAAGAACTTTCACCATCTCGGTTATACCAACTTTCTTTGCTTTATGAAAATATTTTGGTTCAGCAAAGACTGCTATTCTATAACATTTTCCATTGTTTGTATAAAGAACTATTCTATCAATGAACTTGTATTGTTTGTGTGTGTAAACTTTGTTCTGCTTCAATTCGAAGAGATACTCAAATACGTCCATCTTTTTATTCTAAGTAAAATGTCATTTCCGAAAAATAGAAGCGTAAGTGTTTCAAAAGGTTTAATGGCGGTGGCAGATGTGAAGTTAAATTCACCAACTCAAACAAACAGTCAAAGTGTTGTTGTCAATGTCAAAGAAAGAGATGTTGAAGTGGGGAAACCATACGAAGACGAAGATGGTATAACAATAGTTCCTGTAAAAGAACAACCAACATATCCTGAAGTTAGCAGAGACTTAAGTTCTGTTGCAGATATTCGAAATGACTACCAACAACTGAAAGACAAACTTCAAACTCAGGAGAAGATTTGTCAAGCTTTAGGTATAATGTTAAACTTGGTCGAACACAACCCTGTAAAAGTGAACTCATATGTCATCGCACCTCGTGAAGTTTTGAAAGAACTATTGAAACTTTTGACAGAGGCAGACGATATAAACATCAAAGAAATAGAGCCCGACATTGCTTGCTGTGGTGTTTCATATAATGTCATTGACAAGATATACGTTATGAAAGGAGGTGAAACGTTGAACTTAAAATATAGTTTCCCAGACGTTATAAAAATATTTGACGACCACAACATTTCATTAAAATTTATTTGCTAAGTAAAATGGCAGAAGACATAATGGTTTATACTATTACGACTAAAAACCCTGAGTCATATAATTCTATAACAACAAACTTACAAAGTCCTCAAGGACGATATTGTAAACTAACTTTAAACACGATGACGACTAAAGCCTGTTTTGCTCTTTTGACACCAGAAGACTTTGTTGTTGTGAATGGTAAAAAATACTTCTTTGAAGATACTTACTCAGATATACCACCAACAGGTTTTGTTGACTTATTTAATACTTTAAGGACGGATGTAACATGTGCTGCAACTAGAGCAGGTTTCATTATGTTTGGATGTCCGACTGAGTTTAGTATAAACGATATGAGCTATAATACAAAACTTATATCTGGTTTTTACTACCAACAGTTTCCTATAACAGGAAAAGGTGTCATACAAGGTTTGTCTGTTCCATTGACTTTAAGTACACCTATTTTATATATTGTTTCAAACTTAGGTTCAAAGTGCTATTCGAATGTCGACAGAAACTACTATGACCAAAAGATACTCATGCGTATAAACAACACTTTCTCTGCTGGTTTGCCTATTGTTCATTCGAATGCAGAATTTTCAGCTTTAGTAAACTCAAACACTTTAGCAAACATAAACTTAACCTTAGTTGACGCAAACTTTGTTCCTGTAAAACTTTTATGTCCTATGTATTTGTCAATGACGGCAGAAAGTTTCGAATTGGAAGATGCAACTGGTGAAAGTATTGTACTACAAGAACAACTTCAACAACAAATAGCTCAAGAACAACAAATGCAACAAATGGAACAAATGCAACAACAAAGTCAAGAATAAAAAAAAATATTTTTTTTATTTTTATAAAAATGTACAGAATAGATGTTTCAGATTTTTATGACTTCCAAGCATTCAGAAATATGTGTCCATTTAGAGACTATAACAAAGCAGTCGAGAATTTGAAACGTTTAGTCATTTATGTCGACTCTGCCCCAGAATGTTATGTCATGAAAGAATGGGATGTTGTCTTTAACAAACCAAGAGCAACCATAGTTTCAGAACAAGAATGTAGACAGAAACTTAAGAAAATAAAAGTCGTACAAGTTGGCATGAAGATGTTAGATGCTTGGGATATCTTATTGTCAAAGTTAGAAGATTTTTCAGTTCGAGGTATAAAGTTCTATACACCTTCTCCAAACTTCTATTCTATCTTCACTGGATATAAATACGAACAAGTAGAATGGAAAGAAAATGTTATAGAAGCTTGGTTAGACCATGTCAAAGAAATTATATGCAATGGAAACGAAAGAGTCTATGAGTATATCTTATGTTGGTTTGCAAATATCTTACAACATCCAAGTGCTAAAAATGAAACTGCTCTCATTATAATTGGAAAACAAGGAACTGGTAAGAATACTTTCTTTACAGATATCTTATGCAAACTGTTAGAGGGCTATTCGAACCCTAATATGACAAACTTAGAAAACATCTGCGGTAAATTTAACTCTTCAATAGAGAATATGAAACTTATAGTATGTAACGAACTTCAAAGTATAGATACAACAAAAGTTTTGAACTCAGATGCTTTGAAGAGTCTTATAACAGACAAAGTTGGAGTTGTTGAAAGAAAGTATAAAGACCAAAGAGTTTGTGAAAATGTTGCAAACTTCATTATGGTTTCAAACAATGTTGTTCCGATGAAGTTAGAAAGTTCTGACAGAAGATATGTAGTTGTCAGAACGTCAGATTCTCATATGCAAGATACAGAATATTTTGACGACTTAGCAGAAACTTTGACATCTGACTTTTACAACCACTTGTTCTCATATTTCATGACATTAGATATTTCTAAGTTCAATCCAAGACAAATTCCACATACAGAAGAGAGACAAACATTGTTAGAAGCAAACAAGAGTGTTTATGAACTGTTTATAGATGAAACTGACTTTGTGTCATTAGATGAAAGGTCTTTATATGATGAATATAAACAATATTGTCAAGAGTATGGTTATATGGCAGCTTCTAAACGTACATTCTTGGCAAATGTCAAAAATCTTTTAGATGTTCAGAACGGCGTATATACAAAGAAAAATTTTTCTGAGTAAATTTTAAAAAAAATATATATTTTTATCCGATAGAAAAGATGGCAAAATTCATCTCAGTAAATAAGTACATGACAGAAGTCAAAGATAAGTTAGCTCCATTCGCATATTTGAATGTTTACTTCTACAATTTTGAAAAGTCTACATTTGACAAAATTTGGAACATTGTACCAGTTAAGTTTGCTGTTGTTAGAAAAAGTGGTGCAACTTTTGAAGACTTATACATTGACGGTATGTTGACAGTCAAAGAAAATTTTGACAGAAAGTTCTCAAAACTCGAAGAAGGCAAAGCATACAAACTTGTTATACCTTATGAACCAAAGAAAGCAGACGACTATGAATATTATGAGTCTAAGATAGTTGAAGTTCAAGGTAAATTGGGTAAAAAGATTTTAGAGTCTAAGCCAGTGTTTGCTCCTAAAGAGGAAGAGAACATTGACATTGACCCAGAAATGTTCTAAAAATAAAATTTTATTTTTACATGTCAAATTTCTTTTTCTCTGGAACTGGTTCAGGTTCTTTCTTCTCTTCTACTTTCTTTTCTTTCTTTTCTTTCTTTTCTCTCTTCTTCTTCTTTTCTGGTGGAGTTATGTCAAATTTCTCAGAACCATATTTATGTAAAAGTTCTTTGTCCTTTAATAGCTCTTCTATTCTGTTTTCTATTTCATCTTCAAGAACAGCGCATGTGCCTTCTTTGCATTCTAAGAACTTTTGTTGGACTTCATCTTTCCAATCGGCGTCATCTCTGTCAACAAGTCTGTCATTGACAAATTTTAAGACTGCTCTTTGTAATGTTTTATGGTTCTTGTCATATTCCCAGAAACAGAACTTTAGAACAAATTCACCTTTCTTGTTTACACTATGTAAGATTTTATGGTCGACAGATGTTTTGCTGTCGAAAAGTTTGTCTCGAATATAGATAGCGAAATCGCTAGACATTTTCTAAAAGATAAAAATTTTAATTTTTCTAAAAATATGTTAGAAAAAAAGTTTGCTGACATTGACAAGAAATTTGAGAATGTTTTAAACAAGAACAAGAGGAAGTTGGAAAATGCTCAGATAAAGCCTATACATGACAAGTTCTTATTTGCTCAGAATGGTATAACAGGTCTAATCGCACCACCTGGGTCGGGCAAGACTTTCACTTATCTTAAAATGGCTGCACAACAACAAGAACTAGATGAGAAGAACCCATTCTATGAGTTAGTAGTCATTTGTAGTACTTCTGGTCAATTTGACCAAACCGTCAATTCGTTCAAAGATATTATAAAAAAGTCTAAGTTAGTATGTATAAAGGATACTGAGTTGTTAGATTGGATAAAGAAGTACCAAAGAAGAGTTTTGAAGTACAATGCTATAAATGAGTATATAAATTCTAAGTTTAAAGACCCAAATGAGGAAATGCAGAGAATATTAGAGAAGAAACACTTCCGAAACAAACAGAAAGAGATAGAATACATTTCGAAGAAATTGCAATCTTACGATTGGAAGACTTACCCTCACAGATGTCTTCTTATTTTAGATGACTTTGCTTCTCATCCTTTGTTAAAGAATAGAGAACAAGATATGTGTCGAATTCTTAAGAAGCTCAGACACTTTAACATTTCAGTCGTAATATGTGTACAGACAGCAAAGAGTTTAAGTAAGGATGTTAAAAGAATACTTACTGACATTATACTTTTCCCTGGATTGTCCGAAGACGATTTCATGGAACTTATGAAAGAGTCCATGGCAGGTAAGTTTGACAGACATGAACTATGGGAGAAGTACAAAGCCATACAAGACCCTCATACTTCTTTCAGAATTCATATCTACGCAAACAAAGTTCAAATTGTAAAAAGTCAAGCTTGAAAAATGTAAGTGTTTGGTCTTAGTCTGTTGTGGTGCTGCAGCTTTCGGTTCTTCTGGCTTTGGAAGACATTCAGGAAGAGGAACGTCGGACATTCGTTTGTGTCCTGTCGGAAGGAAGAACTTTTCCTGTTGGAAGGAAAAACTTTTCCTGTTGGAAGGAAGGACTCGGAATGTCGGAAGGAAAAATTTTTCCAGTTGTCGGGAAATTTTTTTCCAGTTGTCGGGAAAAATTTTTCCAGTTGTCGGGAAAAAAGTTCTCAATTTTCGAAAATTTGAATGGTTTACGGACGGACAACAGGAAAATTTTTTCCAGTTGTCGGGAAAATTTTTTCTTGTCGGATGGAAAAACTTTTTCTGTCGGAAGGAAGAACTTTTCTTGTCGGATGGACTCGGAATGCCAGAAGGATTTGACAAGGCAATTTACTTTATAGAGCTACCTGAGCCATCTGAAGTCAAGCGTAAAAATAAATGGTTCATCTACCCTACTTGTTTGAAGTTGTCAAAATACTCTGTTATTTTTTCCTTCAGTAGCGGTAAGTCTTCTTTGAAGGTAAGTATTGTACAACCTTTCATATCATAGTGTGTTTGAGGTAACGTATCTTGAACTATTTGTTTCACATCTTCATTCGGTGTCATTGAAATCGGTAAGTTTTCGCGATAGAACCAATTTCTGTCAGATTTGTAAATCTTAGCAAGGTCGTAAAAGCTTTTGTTGTTTCTTCTGACTAAATGCAACATAACCATATCTCTGTCTTCTTCATTTTCCATCTCTTCAGTGTAAATCATATACTTATAGTTCTTTTCCTTTCCTTTTGGTACCGAACGTGGTATTCTTTTCTGTATGTTTTTTGTCTTTGGATTCAATGACTTCATCTTTTGCTTGAAGTTTCTTTTCCATCTCTTTCACGTTCTTGTCTATGAATTTCATCTAACATCATGAAAATATAACAAGCGTAACGAGGTGAAGCCCACATTGCAACAGCATTTACAAGAAGTCTATGTACATACCAACCTCTCAAACCAGGAGCCAAATTCTTGCGATTTTCGTACGGAATCTCTACCTCGGTTTTCCGAGGTAGCAAACATATGAGGAAATTCTTCTAAAAGTTCTTTGTCTGTTGGTTTTCAAACCAATGGTATGCTTGCTTTGTAGAACGAAGAGCATTCAAAATACTTTGCATTTGGTACATGTCATCTTTGACCGAACGAATGAGACGTAACTGTTTGTTATACTGAACCCACTCGTATTCTTCACTTATAGCTTCATGAACGATAGCAGTTGTTGTGTTCTCTGTTGTTGACATATCTGTCTTTATATTCCGGATAAAAAAATAAATAAAAATAAAACTAACTTTATTTTCTATCTTGTATAAAAGACCAAAAATAAACGCTTTACATGTATTTTTCAGCAACTTCGTCAAATAATTTTATAGCTTTGTCGATCTCATCTACTTCAAACGTTTCTTTACCTTTCGTGGGAGCACCATACATTTTCTCAAACTTTTCAAGCAGTTCTGTTTCTGCAGCTCTCATATCGTTAACAAACACAACCTTAACTCTATTGACTGTAGAGTCATATCTTTTAGTTATATTAAATGTTCTTCCTATCTTATATCTCTTTGTATTGAAGTCTTTCGGTTCTGAACGATGTAAAGTAAGCCTTCACTGCAACGTTCCGTATCGAATGAACCATATGTTATGAAATTATATCCAACAACTGGGTCTAACCAGAACACAAACTACTGGTATAAGACTTTTGTCTATAAGATATGCTGTAGTTCCATGAAATCTTACCGATATCATAAGCTCAGGATTTCTTGTCAAAATTTTCTGAGATGAAGCATTTTTAACCCAGTCGTTTGTTTTCTTTCCAGATGGAGATATAATGTCTGACAAAGAATATTTATTGTATTTCTTTGAGTATCTTACGTTTAAATCACCTATTCTAACCAATTTAGTGTTATTGTCTATCTTTTTAACTGTTTCAAACTCAGTGTTTGTCATTTCCTGTTCTTACATACAAAATAAAAAAAAATATTTTAAAAAAACTAGCTTTATTTTTTCTATCTTAAGGAAATTCATGATTTTCATAGAGTTTTAGGCGACCAGGATTTCTTACCTACTCGCTGTTCTTCATGATTTTCATAGAGTTTTGGCGAGTAAGATTTTCTATCTTGTATAAAAGATATGATTTCAGGGATTTTTTTGACGAAGTGCAAAAGTTCTCTTCGTAAAAAAATAACAGTTATATAATGAAATTTGGTCATTTTTTCAATAAAAATAATGTTTATGTTAGAAGTTAGATCTAACATGTTTCTAACATGTTTTCTAACATGGTCTAAAACACACAAAAACTCATGAAATTTCATACGGAATTCAATAAAAATAATGTTTATGTTAGAATGTTAGATCTAACATGTTTTCTAACATGTTTTCTAACATAACTATTTACAAGCGTTTTACATGGTATATGTTGCGATGGTTCATGACTCTAACAATTTCGTGGCTTCAATTTCTTCTTTTAGTACATCGAATGTTTTAACGATACCGAAAGTTTCTTTATACTTCTTCTTGACGTCAGATAGAAGGAAATCGTCAGCTGTTGGATAGTTTTTGTTTAGAAATGTCAACATGTCCATTTTATCTTCTGCTGGTTTTCTGCTTCTTTCTTTAAATCTGCATAGTCGTTTCGCATACGTTCTATCTCTTTGACGGAGTAGTTATATTTCCTCATTGCTGCTTTACATTTTGAACATTGCGGGTTCATTTTTGCGTTATATTCTGAAACCTACCTGCTAAAACAACTAAGGCGTCAATGGTTTTCTTCATCTCGAACATAGCGGGTCTTATTTGTTCGTTCCATACCTTACCCCTACTATCTTTATCTCTTATTTCCCAAACACATTTTGCAACTAACGAAACAAAGTTGTCGTAGGTCTTAAATTCTTCGGATTTGTATATGTCAGAGATGTTCTTATATACCATGTCGCAATCTTGTCCATGACTTTGTGTTGCAATGAAATCCAAGAAACTCATAGTTAACCTTTCGTATGAACTTCTTTATTTCTACTGAGTCAGTCAGTCCGACTTCTATTTCATCGAATTCTGGAATAGTGAGTTTTTGTTGTTGGATTTCAGGAAGTTTAGGTAAATGGTCAATAATATCCTGCATTTCATAAAGATACTGTTCATTTGTTTCATCTTTCGCACTACAGTCTAATTACTTGTTAAAAGTTCTTGCTTTATCTTCTGATTTTTGTTTCGAAAGTATATGAAGAAGGAATGAAGCTTTTCATCTCTACTAACATTGAAGTTGGGTTCATGACTAACGAGTTTGGTGCTGTAGTTGCTAACATGTTCTTACAATAAAAATAAAAAATATTTTTTTTAAAAACTAACTTTATTTTTTATGTTTTTTGTGAAAGTGTCAAATTCATGAATTTCGAGAGTTTTCTACGATGTTAGAAAACGTGTTAGAAAACATGTTAGATCTAACATTCTAAATAAACATTATTTTGGGTCTTTTACGCTCATTACGAAGAAGTCTTGACAAACATTTACGAAGAAGTCTTGAAAAAACATTTACGAAGAAGTCTTGACAAAACATTTACGAAGAAGTCTTGACAAAACATTTACGAAGAAGTTTCGACAAATTCGAGAGTTTTCTACGATGTTAGAAAACATGTTAGAAAACATGTTAGATCTAACATTCTAACATAAACATTATTTTTGTCGAAAAAAATGGTTCATTTACTCACAATATTTTTGTACAAAACGACCCCAAACTTTTAACTTCTTTTCTGCAGCTTCTAATGCTATCTTAGCGAGTTCATATTCTCTAAATTCTCTCTTTAAATCTTCTTGTTCCCATTGGTCTAGTTCGTATGGCGAGTCTCTATAACCAGAACATATCTCACGTTCATGTTCTATTTGTTTTTCATGCATTTTTTCTAACTTCTTCTTCGAACAAAGGTTTTGCATTCTCTACTGTATCTTCAAGTTCTTCTTCATCTAATTTCTCATGAACTTTCTTGTCTATGGAGTCCATAATTTTTCCAACTGCTATGCAATATTTTGGAGAGGCCCACATTGCTATATAGTTTACAAGTCTTGGGTCTACATACGTTCCTCTAACATGTTTGATTTCATCCGGAATTCCTGCATGAACTTTGTATAAAAAGCAACCGCCGAATTCCGGCGGTTGGTATATTCTTCACAAAATGCCTCAAAAATCTTCCAGGACTTATTTTCCAACAACTTTCTAAAGTCTTTCCTAAACTGCTGACACATATTTGTTGCATTTACATAACCATCCATGTCTCTACGTAAGACTTCAATACCGTTGTAAGTGCCTTTTGTGAATGTTTCGCCATTAGATTTGTTCGTGAACGTTTTTGCTTCGACTGTCATTTCAGTTCTTACAATAAAAATAAAAAATATTTTTTGGTGGGACGTCGGACATTCGTTTGTGGCTTAACCGTCGGACATCCGTTTGTGGCTTAACCGTCGGACATCCGTTTGTGGCTCGACCTCAAAACAAGCATTTTGTGAAGAATATACCAACCGTCGGAATTCCGGCGGTTGCTTTTTTTATACAAAATTCATGAGTTTTGTGTGTTTTCTACGATGTTGTCAAAATGTCATGTTGTCACACTTTTTCAGAGAAGTTAAAATGACCGAGGCACATAGGCACATAGGCACACCTAAAAAACATCTACCCTAAACATTATTTTTCAATACTTTTTCAGCACTTTTCCGTAGTTGTATATGAAAGACAATTCGAGATAAAAGTCATAGTACAATGGAATAATATGTTGCACACCGTTTGTTGTGAACCAGACTTGAAAGTCAGAGAAACTGTTACTAGGTGGTTCGTAGAATTTAGAAGCAAAGTCATAAAAGTCCTTACCAATACATAGAAAACTATTGTTGCTTGAACTGAAACTTGCATGACACATAACATTTTGAGGGTCAAACACGTTTTTATAAACTGTCAAATC